GCCGAGGGCGGGACGAAAGCGGTAGTAGATGAGATGAGATGGGATGGGATGAGATGGTGACAGGCGAAGGATAGATGCGGGTGCGGGTCGGGTGTCGTTGTGTACGGTGGGATGCGATGCGATGCGATGCGACACGGTACGACTCAGTCCCCCAAGGTTAGAGGTTCAGAGGTCAGACAGATGGATATTTAACTATCTCTATCTATTACTGACCGAGGGGGGTGGTGGTGGTGGTGGTTATGCTGGTGGGGAGGGTTCAGAGAACTGCAAACGGCAGCGCTCGTGCTCGCAATTGTCTGTGAGGCGGGTGCGACTGTGCCAGGTGAGACTGTGCCGGGTGCCAGGTGCCAGGTGCCAGATGCCAGATGGGATGGAGCAGATGAGTGGAACTTCGTCTAATGGGAGATTCCTGGTCTGGGACTGTCTGTTCTGGCCGGCCAGATGCTAGATGCGAGATGCTAGATGCGGAGCGAGAGAGGCAAAAGCAAGGCGCTGGACTGGATGCGTGGGGACCGCGTGTGGCTTGCTGCTTGCTTCTGCTGCTTGCTTATTCCTCGTGGACAAGAGTATGTACGAGTAGAGTAGAGTACGAGTAGAGTGAGTGCGTATCTGTCTCTGATTTGGCTATTGTCGTGCCTGGTTGGTTGGTTGGTTGGTGGGTTGATTGATTGGTGGTGGTGGTCCCAGTCAAAGTCGCGAGAGGTAGTTATCGTAATGGTCGTAGTTATTGCCGATGAAGAGGCAGTCCAATGCAGAGGAAGGAAAGGAAAGGAAAGGAAAGGAAAGGAAAGAGTTGCGCAGTCTGACGGGGCTGTAGGGCTACCTTTCTTTCTATGTATACTCCGTAGATTCGAAGGAACAATGGATTGGAGGGTTGGATGGTTTTGGCTTTGATGATTACTCGCAGGCGCCCAAGTCCAAGCTCGAACCGAAGGGGAAAGGAACAAAGACCTCTTGACCAGGGATGGATGCCTTTGGGAAGGGGTAGGGATGGATAGTTATTATTATCATTGAAGAAGAAAGAAGGGGATGGAGAAGAGGAGTAGAAGTAAAAGTAGAAGTAAGAAGTAATAACTAGAAGGAGAGATGATGGTGGTGGTGGGCGCAGGGACGGGCACAGGTATTACACCGCAACTACACCGTAAACTGAACTGAACTGACTACAGCCCACAGGCGCAGGCGCGGGCGCGGGCGTTGGGTGGGGCGTAGGGTAGGGGCGTAGGGAATTGCTCGCAGTCAATCGTAGGTGAGAAACGTAGGCGCACTACCCAGTACAAAGTATGTACCTGTAGGTTTCTCTCTGCAGGGGTGTGAGTTGCGCGCGCACAGGATGAATAAGTGGATTGGTCGATTGTTGGATCTTTGGGTGAACGGATTGATTGAAGAGGATGTAGTGTAGTTACTTACTTGTATGGGGGGTGAGTGGGGATTCCGTTCAATCTTTTAAAGGGTCTGGTCTGGTCTGGTCCAAAACTCTAAGACCTGCGCAAATAGGATAGGAGGGAAAAGAAGGTGAAAGACGTCTGTCGTTTACACCAGTAGTCTGTGTTGTGTTGTGACTTTTTTCGATCTCGTCAATTTCTTCTTTGATTTTCCACGTCCAACACGGATGCGATGGTGGTGGGATTGCTTATTGAGCTCTGATCACCGGACAGGCCACGCTGCGGCGTCAAAGGGTTGGACTGGACTGGATCTAGGAGGGAGTTGGGAGTTGGACTGGGACTTGGGAGTCAGGTCACGTCAGGTTAGGTCACCTCGGATCAGCGCCAGTCTGTGTGTCTGTCTCTGTCTGTCTCTCTCCCTCTATCCTCTCAGACTCAGACTCTCTCTGTGTTTCTGATATTCTGGAACTGTGGCGACCTTTGCGGCCTCCTGCGACAAGCACGTGCGGTGGGTACTAAAGAGGAAGAAGAGTAGTTGTAGCAGAATTGTAGCAGCAACTAGTAGTTGGAGTTGGAGTTGAGGCTAATCGTGGGCAGGAGAACGAGAAGTGAAATTCAAGTCAGGTCATGAGATTCAACTGGACGTTGATGAATGAATGGGTGAATGCATAGATACTGGAAGAAATGAAGAGGTGAAGAGTGCGCAGGCGGTGAAAGCATACTCGTAGGAGAGAATAGGACAGAATACTTGTTACATAGCAGTATAACCATAAGCAGTTTCACATGTATCAAAGCATTGCGGTACATATCAAGCCATCTATGTCAATTGCCAAATCTCTGCTGCTCTGCTGGACATACTAAATGGAGACTTGTGGTGGAGCGATCATGGTACACTAATTATTACCCGCGTTAAGAGACTATGTGCAGTACTCCATACATCTTCACAGTACCTAGACTTGCGAATGGCGGGGCGGGGTCGAATACTACTCGTAGTAGTGCATCGTAGTCGTGTGAACAATCGACGGTGAATGAATACGAGGTGGTGGTGAATGGTGAATGGTGAATCTCCTTACTGGAATTGCTCCTTGTCTTAGTATTCGATCGGGTTTCTCTGAACTCATCACCATCTCTATCTCTATCTTCTGGCTGCCCAACGCTTGTACTCGTAACATAATACAAAAGTTGTGGGCTACATAGATACGTACAGCACCTTCAATACGATATCACGTATCTAAGCGGTATGTACTTGTACTTGTATGCATGCAAGCATGGATGCTGGCTATAGCATCTGTATGCTGTAAATATGCCCCCCTCCCGGTTGGTGCAGGCATGCATGCGAGCACACACACCCATACAGTGGCATTCGCAGTACACAATGACAGTACATACATATCTAGGTAGTCATTCATTACAGACACTCGCACTGACTGGTTTGATCTAACTTGGACTGCATGCCGGACCCTGCCCTGCCCTATCCTGATTCCTGCCCTGTCCCTCTCCACTGCACGCGACGCAAGCACGCGCTTACAAGGGGGTGTCCTACCTGGACATGGGATTGGGATTGGGATTATTGGGATGGGCCTGTGGATGAGGGGAGCGACATTCCATCTACTGCATCTGGGCAATGAACTCCGTAGCTATCTGCTAACTATTAGCTACTAATACCTACTGTGCCGTACTGATTCTAGGAGGATGAAGGACGAAGACGGCGACGGAGACAACAGAGGAGGAATTATTGCATACTACGGAGTTCATACAAGGTAATCAGAGAATGAAGGACAGAAGGATAGAATCATGAGATGGGATGACCGGGCGCATTACAGGCTGACCCCCCTTCTCCTCGTCTTCTGTCGCTTTTTCTTTCATCAATCATCAATCATCAAGTATCAATTATACTTACTCCGTACTCCATACATTTATTCACATGTGACCATCTCCCTCTGCCAGATCACAAAAGCTACGAAGTGGTTATTGCATAGTTAGCAGATACCTGCTACCTTAGCTACCTAGGTACGGAGTACTTACTAGGTGTCTACTTACCAACACGCCCAAGCTGCTGTACTGCCCGTGACCTTTCTCCCACGGTTTCACGATTCCATCTAGGCTCACTATCGTGAAAAAAGATCATAGCGATCTCTTGTCGCAGATTCCACCTCAGATCGCTTCCGAACATTGCACCATCGTGCCAGCCTAATCCCTTCCCCTCTCTTTGTTGTTCATCCATCATCCAGCCATCCAGCCTTCGACAGACCACTGAGTGGTCCTCACTCCTCCAACCCTCATCCTGGTCTGCGGGAGAAAAGAAAAGGAAAGAAAAAAAGAACAAACCCCATCGCCCTTCAACCAATTGTGACCATCCCAATCTCGGTTCATTCCGATTACTACTCCCTCTTGCGCAAGCATCAGCCCTCCGTCTACCAAACCGCCATCCGGCTACGGCCTCACCCACTAACCGCTGTTGCGTCCATCTCTTCCCTCCGCTCGTTTCATACCCATTCGCCAACTTCATCGCGCCTCTTTTTGTCTTTTCCTCTCTCTTTAGTTTCTTTTTCCTTTTCTTTTTCCTCTTCTCTTCTACAGGACGTCGTAATCGGTCGAATGAATATTGGCCAGCGCCGCAAGCCCACATCAGTGCAGAGTGCATACTCCGTCCGTTGGTTCGTTCTTACTCATCCAACATTGTCCGTCGCTGCGACCACTGCGCCCTGCACCGAGTTCGGAAAATGCATCGCAGAACATGTCATCCAACTATTGTGTAATTATCGTGCAGTCGCGGATTGCAACGGCCTCAATGCGCTCTGACCTCTTATCATGTTGGCCGTGACAGCCGTTGGCGCATCCAGCGAGAAAGCATTGAGTTCGTGCGCATTAGTAAAACGTACATACACATATGAGTGCCCATTCATTTCTCTTGAGAAGCATCACGTGCCGTATTGACATAGGATAGTGGAGACAGGAGTCAAGGACACTTCACCACCAACAGTCGTACGGACGGACATGCGAGCCGATCGTCCATGATCAAACAATTATTATTGTACGAGAAATAGTTGGTTGACTAGTCAAACGAAACATCTCGTTTGCCCTCGCAACACGCACAGATGCCTCAAACAGGCGCTACCCCGAGTCAGCAGTTGAACTTTTCCTCGTAGGGCCGCACCGCACAATACACAGTAATAATCAACACTAACCCACCCACTGGAGGTATGCAGTAATAGTATACACAGTAGGTACGGAGTGGAAAGTTAGAAAGAAGTTAGGAACCCTGAAATTGGGTCTGAAAGAGTTTCCATCTCCGGGCTGCCTGTCACTCCCAAGCCCAGGCCAATTCCACTCGCCTCTCCACTATCGACGCATCTGCGCCAGCGCCAGCGCCACCTACATTGTGACAACTGCCCGTTGTTTGATCTCGTCGATTTCTTTCCCACTCGGACGGTTGGTGGAAATGATATCTGGATCAGGATCGACCAGTCCGGCTGCCGTCCGCCCCACTCGATCAAGTCCACATCCGGATTCCTGAGACCATCGCAAACATGTTTACTGCCCCAATTTGTACCTTCATTTCACCCATATAGACTGACTGCAACTGACAACATACCCTACGTCGCACCTCAAGCATTTGTTACACCCATTATTCATCGTTTATCGCTGCACCGGTGAACAGTAAGTGGGTCCTTTCAGATCTCGCATGGGGCGTTCCGTCGTACATCGAACCAGGCACCCGTCGTTGTTCAACCAGCAAGACGGTTCAACAATTTGTTTGCTCGAATAATTACTTGTCCCTGCGAGGCAGGTGGCGCAGGTCATACTCGTAATCACATCAACTCTCCCTGTGGCATATGTCTACGACGGTCTCACGTGAACTGGTTGCGTTGATATCCAATTGATGCTGATCGCTAGGGGGGACTCAAGTCTAAATCATTTCAATTCAATATAAAGATCATGGACGTGATCGCTACGTGGCTTCACAATATCGGTGGTCTCAGTGCGTGAAATTACGAAGACCCAATGTCACACTATCGTAGAGATCTCAACGTCAGATTCACACTATGTTGTATGCATCGTCACCGAGGAACGCTTACTAGCAACATACTCATCTTCAAAATGACACACTGTGAAATGGCCACCAACCACACAGAGTATGCGGCGATGGATTTTGTGAGCCCTCATATCTCCCGTACGGGTGCCACATACTATTCACATCTCAACTTCATGCCGGTTCCCGCATATTGCGAGTATCCATTCATTGTGCGACGAAACGATTGACATCCCCTTATTTGTACATCCTCATGGAGAGACCTTCACGTAGCCGATAGCCTCGTGCAAGCTACTTTACTCACTTGACGATGGCCATATCACAAATAGATGGGGACTATAAGAAGCTGCTTCAACTCTCAGGTATCGTTATCTAGTCTGAGTCTTTTACATACAAAATCTTTTCAAACCACGATACCCTGTTGATATTCTGTCGTCATGAAATTACTATCACTTGCAACAGCAGCAACGCTGCTCGCCGTCACCGTACAGTCGATCCCCATCGATCAGACTGACCACTTCCAGCCATTTTCGCAAGCAGAGACCATACCCCTTGTAAGCAAAGACTGTACCCACAAGATCATTCTCATTCCGCTTGAACCTCTTCATATTCAAGAATGTCATCCCCTAACTGACTGGTCCAAGGCATACATCACGACCGAGGAAGACTGGGGCCGTGGCAAGAAGACAGGAGCGTCGCAACTTCTCTGGGGCAAATCAGGCCAATGCATCAGCTTTGAGAAGACAGACTAGTACGCGGCAACACCTCTATTCCCTCTCTCTCTCTCTCTCTCTCACACACACACACCCCCCTTCTCTCTCCCTCTCCCCGGCACTCACTCACTAACCCATTTCACATCCGAGGGGTCGTCAAGGAGAGTAAGACCACTGACTTGCGTCAAACTTAATAGTGACCAACAAATCTCCTCGTTCGGGCCAGAGCAATTCACCACATGTGTGGTTTACGAGTGCGTCTAACCATCCACATCCCCGGAAGTACACTTCGTATCATGGATGTCGTCTTTCTTTTCGGCATTCGCTCTGACATTGGCATGTCCGCCTTTATAGTAACACATACTGTGACGGGCACTATGAACCCGAGCAGAAGATCATGATACTGAATCCCGGCTACGCGAAGTTATCCGAAATAAGTTGAGTCATTCCCTGTTACATCACTGAGAGACCACTGTATCGGACAGTGCTGATACTATGTGCCATGGAATTTATAGACAAAAACGGCACGGCGAAGACGAACTGGGACAACAAGATCCGAAGCGTGCTGTGCATTTCGGGACGGCCTAGTGAGTAGTAGAGAGAAGGAGTCTTTCGACGATTCGGGGAAATGGTGGTCGGGATCGATGGAGAACTGCGTTGACCTGCCATGCTTCAAAACCTGTGTGTTCAAGTCGTAACGGTAGCGCGCCTGCCTTGGACCGTGGGATGCACTTTCTTTTTTGTTTCTGTTTTCATTGCGGAATTAGTTGCTTCGTTTGAAAAGTATCTCCCATTTCTCAATCATCAATCTCTTGTGATTTTTTTTTCAGATGTGGATGCTTCAGAGATATCGCAGATAATTAGTTGTATTCATAGGGTACCTACGTGGGAGATCTCGCAAAGGGCATCGCCATCCTACCCCAGAAGGTGCTTTTCCACCTCAATGCATCCCAATAGCCCTGTGTCGGTTCGTACAACAGTCCAGTATCTCCATTCACGTCAACTGTGAGCTCGTGTCTCTCCGTCCCCGGCTCGAGTTTAAACCTAATGAAAGGACTGTCTCCGAGCCCCTCTCTGCCATGAACCACTGCCCTAACCTTCACTCGCCTCCCAGTCCTTTGCACCATATCCACACTTGTCCAACATAAATCTTTACACCCACATACACATGGGTCGACCCCATCCAAACTTCTGACAGCCTCGCGCTCCATTGCCGGGTTTCGTATGATACCATTCCTTGAACCACCATCATGGTCCATTTCCGTCATGAACCTGCTGCTATACTGAGGCCACTCCACCGCCCATTCCTCCTCCTTCGGCCATCTAAATGCGCGGTCGTTATTGGTGAGAAGCTGCCTGAACCAGTGTGGCGCAAACTTCTTGACAGCCTGTCGCTCAGGCTCGCTCAAGCCCGTCATCCCATCATCCTCGTCGGTTCCCGGGCACCACACGATGCTTACTCCGTTCAGATAGTTGTAATGAGCGACTCTCCTTGGGACATTGTCTGCCTGGGACGCCCTCTCGTACGCATCCTTGTCGACACAGAGCTCGATGGTGAACACGGCCAAAGAAGGGAACAGCAAGAGGCAGTAGTTCAATAATTGGCCGCAATTTGCGGTCGCTTGGTAGTACGTTGACGGCGGGCCCAGGTCGTGTGATATGCGAGTTATGGTGGAGACCTTGGAGGGGGGAAGCGGATGTAGCAATATCTTGAGTGGATGCTTGCGTATCAGGGCGAAGCTGAGGGAGAATGTATGGTGAGAGAATGCAAGGAGGTTGGCTTCGTTGTGGACGAGACGGCAGGTTTGGAGGAGAGAGAGTGGGTGGGGTGGTTCATGTTCGGCTTGCGCCTGGACATTTGGATTCGTGCGGTAGAAATGTGATATCGGATTGCATCTACTGAGTAAGTCTGTCCTCAGTGGTAATGTCGATGCGGGACTGGTACTAGACGATTCGTCCCGTAGTTGCTCTTGCTCGCTTGTCCCTGGGTCGCTGAAAACATAAAAGTAGATCTGATTCCTCGTCTCGGCAGGTAGTTTGAAGAAGGGTGACTGGTGCTGCATATCCATTAGGCTATCGCATTGAGTTTTGTGGTGGAACGAGCTCTGTGGTGGAGATTCGAACATTCTGCAGTCTGTGTTCCCGTATTTGATGTAGTTTACGAGACGCATCATGGCGACGGTCTCGAGCTTGCAATAATCTACAGCCAACCGCAGGTTTTAACTGATCAATTGTTATACGCGAATTCTTCGATGTAATATAATCGAGGCAAACGCAATGAATATATATGAGGTTGCAGGTCGCTACACAGATGCGCACTCGGTAGGTACAGCCACGGAAACTGATGCCTGGATCGCTCAGCCTCAACTAGCGGCAGCACCTACTGAATCGCATGTACCTTTTGCAGCAGAGCGGAACCCGATAGATACCAAAAGAGTGACTGCGAAGTTGAAATGTTTCTATGTATCCATTTAATGATCTATCGTCAATCTGTCCTTATACTCCAGTAACGTGATGCCTGATAGACGCGCGGACTCGCTGATATATGCCAACTAAGACATGTTGGCCAGGCATCAAATATAGGCAATACGCCTACCGCCTTTTCCTCATGGTTTTAAGGATGTTGATAATAACATATTGTATGTACGGTGTAAAACAGAGTCACCTAGAATGGTTGAGTGGGGCTTACAGATAGAGAACTGAGATGGCTGTACAAAAAGTTCGAGTCCCATAGATCAGGCACCAAACATATTGGCTTGGGTTTGAGAATGATGGGTTTGTAGTCACTAAAAAAAAATCAGAATAACCATAGTATCGTGCGCACTTGTGATTTTTATGTATTCATTGTAGAATGACCAGACCGCAAGCCAACTGAAAATTGGACCGTGAAGTCCGAAACACACCAGGTAGATGTCCAATCTACATAACCCCGCTCGCATGTACAAGAGCCAGGTTCATTGCCGTGGGAGGAAGGGTTACAGTATGTATATCGAGAGATCTCGACATGCGTGAGTACCACCATTCACAGTATGTAACCCCTTGGAAGTGACCCTTGGACCTACGGTAGGTTGTGACAGTACGTACTCCCATGTCCTCAATGGTACTAGTAAGACGGAAATGCTAAGTAGTATCGCGATGTTCACGATGAGCTTTCAGTAGCACAAAGACCTGTTTCCATATTGGAATATGCTAATTTATCCCAGATAAGGAAGGAAGGCACGGTGTTGACATCTTGATCATTAGATAAACGACTTATGGCATCTCAACAACTTCTGCGCAATTGAGTCATCCTAGTAATAGGTAGCACGAAGCGTTACTTTTAGAGTCGGTTTGAAGGGCTTCGAAGATTTTGATGTCACACATAGACCTACGGCATCGACCACCATGAGACCTTAGTGGACTCTGTTGACCCTGTGAAGGCAATGAGAAGGTAGCTTGGTAAAAAAAGCAGCAGCCATAGAGGATGACCCTGACGTTTTATCCTGATCTTACTAGAGCACTGCGTATTCATTGATTTACATTGACATGTTCTGGACTATTGATGCAGTAGTTAGTTCCCTCGTGTAGATAGCTTACCCCGGCATTGACTGTAGCTCGACCATTGTCACACTGGTCGCGCTGATATCTTGCGTTGAGCCAAAGCCTATGAAAGGTCTCCTGTCCCATCCATGTAGACTATGAAGACTTGGAGATACTAAATCCCGCCGATATTAGGGACAAAAGTCCTGTTTGCTGAAGTGAAAATAAGATGAGAGTAAAATTGGCTGCTTTGAATAAGGTTCTTCCAATTTAATCACTTGAATTACAAAGGGTTATTTTATGATTCAAAGCTAAGCAGCTGCTATAGTCCAATCGTCGAAGTTGATGGATGCATGAAACGCAGAATGACTAGCCGACAATCAGAAATGTTCATTTCAGGTCATCATGAGTACAAAGCGAGCATTATCAGTACGAGAAGCCCGGGGTACGAGAGTCCAAAGATGCTTTCATGTTGGTTACGAAGACAGTCACTTGAGACCTTTGTAGAGGCGCTCCGTCGAATATGGCATCGACCTTATTGCATAAGCTACGTCAACAGGTAGAATAAGTCCACACTTATGTGCCCAAGAAGATGCGAATGAGTAAGAATGTGTTTTGAAAGCAGTTACTTAGGTACCCAGGTATCCATCAGAGTAATTTTGCGAGCTGGTCATAGTTTGCTGTGAAAGACTTTCGGTACAGGCGATCAGCGCGCTGAATTTGTAGTATATCTATTCTAATTTCCAAAGGATGTTTGCATCCAAGATTAGGATTAATGCCATTCAGGAAAAAGAGGCGTGGGGGTGTGGACGATGCGCTCAAAGTGAAGTACGAAGCTAAGATTGTTGAGCACGGTTCTGTGTGACAGCAGCCCACAGTACCATCTCCTAAGGAAAACCTCAGTGCCTGGATCCTCTCACCCGCACCACCGCCTAATGCCAGTATCATTACCGAATACCATGCAGGCGCTTTTCATTGTGGCAATCGTCATCTACTTCAGCTGTGGCATTACGTCCGGCCGGTATGTCGACCTTAGCTATCCTTCGGTCCCGGACGGCCTTCCCTCACGAGTTTCGGGAACTATCATCAATGGAGAGAGCCTCGGGCGTAGGATGGAATGGCCGCAGAATTGGGAGAGTGCTGCCAATGATGAATTTTGGACTCTGGCAGTTTGTAAAGGCGATATGCTTGGAGCCGGCATGTTCGCGGACCCTGAGAATGCTGGCGTATTGTTTACGCCACCACGTCTCTCTTCCCAGAGTGTGTTCTCGAGTTTTCCAGGTATGCAAACAACTTATTGGAAACTTCTCAAGACTTTGAGGCTGACCGTGATGATTCCAGCTGAGTTCGTCAAGTGGGGTTGGGACGTGCAAGAAATTGTAGGCGAAGAATGCAATTTCGAGTATCAATGGGGCATCCGCGAAGCATTAAGAGGTATGGGTTCATCTGGGGTGCCGCACAACTCGAATGGAGGGTCTGTATGGTGCTATAAGGTGCGCCACTACCGACCGGAGGATGCGTATGACGAAGAAGGAGATTTCGACATCAACGACCAGACATATCAGGTGGATGGTCGCACGTACCGAGTAAGTCTACTGCACAGTGCTTCAGTCGTTTTTCGAAGATTGCTGACCACTCAATCAGATGACTGGCGCCAATTTTATTCTCGCAATGGATCCTACACAAGGTGGTAAGTGACAACAAAACCCTCATCAAACCAAGGGGGTATCTTTCGCTGATAGTGGCATAGTGTTGGTCGGTCTTTCACGTTACGGACCTATTCACGAAGGGAAAGATCGAAATCCACCCATCGCTAACCACGAACTTCCTCTGCTCAGATCAGCATCTGACATTATGTGGGGTGCATACAAGTTGCCATCAGGAAGCATGAACATTCGATGGCTCGTGTCTGCAACGATCACGAACAAAGCGACAACGTCCATCATCAAACGTGTATTGGACATGCGCCACGCTTCTCTGATGCCATGGCCTGGGCTATACATCCGATTCGACTCTGAGGAAGGCAGGGCTCTTCTCGGTATGGTTGTAGCAAAATGAGGAACCGATGCAACTCGCTGACCTGATAAAATAGGCACACCCAACGCGCAAGGTTTCGGATACCTCCTCATTCAGCGAAAAGAGGAATTGGGCAAGAAATTCATATTTGCGGTCCGTGTCTTCCACACTTCTTCACCTGACCCCCTCCCATGTCTCGCATTCGAGATACGAGATGTCCCTCCAGGTGTAGGAGGTACGATGGATGGAATATCACTAGCAGGATAATGCTCGCCGGACAAGGTTAAGAATTTCTAGGTTCATTGTGTGGATCTTGTGAATCACTCCGGGAGGATTATCATGAAGTGATTTGTCTATCGAAATGTACTTCTTCTCGCACACACAAATGGACAAGCAAAGTGACAGTGGAATCCAATCCCTTTACGAAAATACATTACTTTGAAGGCCGGCAATAGCCCTGATTCGAGTGAATGCTTGCAGTCCACAGACCTGAGGTAGTAGATAAGAAATTTGAAGGCATACATTATACACCGTCGTTGCCAAGTCAATAGCTTGTCTGAAGGCGCGCAATACTCGATCGCTCACAATCCTCGCTGACATAACCATGATAAATCTAGGAAAGAAGTATGACCTCAAAGTACTTGTGAAGCGGGTCGTAGTGGTACAAACGTCTTCTTGGATCACATGACTGTCCTGAACAAAACGTTGTAGGTATCTTGCTAGGCTCTGCCATGACTTCTACTCGCCCATTTCGCTGTCTTTTCATTACCTTCGTCACTCCATCGCCAGATATGGAAACAACTTGAATACCTGCATAAGACAGAACTCGTTGATGACGTCCACGCCTTCGCACCCTTTCAACGCACTGGCGAATGCGGACAACTCTGGTGCAGCAGATGGTTTGCCACGACATCATCGCCGACAATTTACCCATACTGAACTGCGAAATGGCGAGATGGGCTGGGCCTTGGTTGTGCCCAGCTGCGAGTTCCCCAAGCGTCGAGAGATCGTGATTTGCAGACGTTGGGGAACATACTCGCCTGCGCGGGGTAATTGACTACCTCAAGGTTGGGGTATCGTTGGAGAGGTGAGGGCCTGCGGTCCCTAATAGGCTCTGCTAGTCACGATAAGTCAGAGTTATGCTGGGTGGTTATTCTTCTCATACTTTTAGATTGTCGTCGCATTGATCATGTGCGTTGATTGGTGCGGCAGTTGGATTCCCAGCATCATCTCTAGTGCTATTCCTACCATAAGGGGCGGTGCGCACTAACAGGTAATATCTTGGTCGGTATTTTGGATCCGAAAGGGATCATGACGGCAGTTGTGAGGTACTGTGAACAGCCCAAGGAGTGAATCTATATGATGGATCCTCGGCTCTCTTACTTCAAGCCGTGAGCAAACCCTGGGCCTCTGCGAAAAGAAACACATCATACTAATCACCACGAGTCTTTCACCATGCTTTTGGCTCTTCTCCTCCTAGTGGCAGGCAGCGAGGCCCAAAACCTCAATGGCCTGAACCATCTACGCTTTGGCTGCTCGCAGATCACCATCGAACGCCTTGATCCTTTGGTGAATCCCGGACAGGTCCCAACTCCTCATATGCACCAAGTTGTTGGTGGCAATTCCTTCAATGCATCTATGGCCACCTCAGATATCTCGAAGATAGCTACCTGCACCACTTGCGGCCCCCCCGAAGATCTCTCGAACTACTGGACTGCAAACCTGTTCTTCAAAGCGCGGAATGGCTCATACAAGAGAGTACCGCAGGTCCCCAACAGGTGGGTGTTTAGTGATAGTTTGACCATGACTTTTGAATCTATTGTCGGTCCTTCAGAGGATGAAATAGTCGAGAGAAACCCAACTTCGCACGGGTGAGGCTAATACGAACGGTGTAGATTCCTGTTCAACGATCGGTTCACTACACAAACTAGTGGTGGCATCACCGTATACTACATCGCGCCAAAGAAGAGCACAGTCACGGCCTTTAAGCCAGTAAGTCAACGGACCTTGGAATGTGATCATTTGACAAAGCTAAAGGATCTCACGTAGGGCTTCCGAATGCTTGTCGGGGATCCGGCGAATCGCCAAAAGAAATATAAATCGCAGAGCTGCTTCCGCTGCTATTCTGGTCCTAATTTCGGAGGAGATAATGCAGCACCATGTTCTGACACCAAGCTTGACTTCGAGGGCTTCCCTCCCCAGCCATGCCTTGGCGGAATTCGATCCAACATCTTATATCCAACGTATGTTTTATCTTATCTGCTTCTGTATTTCATGTCTAATATAATTCTCTATAGATGCTGGGACGGCAAGAACTTAGATTCCCCTAACCATAAGGATCATGTAGCGTATCCTACGGCAGGACCCTCTAACTTCTTGTCAACCGGCAATTGCCCTGCAAGCCATCCCATTAAAATCCCACAGCTCATGCTGGAGGTAAGTTTATAACCCCAGACACTCAGTGTGCGGTCGCTAATGGGAACATAGATTGTATGGGACACAACCCAGTTCAATAATAAAGCAGACTGGCCTGCCGATGGCTCCCAGCCGTTCTATCTTAGCACTGGAGACAACACCGGGTATGGCCAACACGGGGATTACGTCTTTGGATGGAAAGATGATGCCCTTCAGAAGGCTATGGATGCGAATGGATGCTTCAGTGCAACCTGTGGTGGTCTCAAGACGCAGGATATAAGTGTGGCAAATAAGTGTCAAATAAAGAAGACCGTCAAGGAGGAAACAGAGGGATGTGAGTATTTCCAGTATCTTCGATTATCACGTTCAATTTATTGACCAAACTTAGGGCTAAGTGAGCTTCCTGGTGTTCCCATGAAGCTGTGAGCAGTATCTCTAGTGCAGAAAGTCGGTAAATGTGATATGTGTTGAACAATCTTCCCTTCCATACCCAGATATGAAATACATCATGTTCTCGGAAGCAAAATCAATCTTAACTGGAGAAGTTGATGTGACCTGTGACGACCTGGACTCCACATTGACATATTCACCACTAAACCGGCTCGACTATGCAAGCGGTGCCATACGAACAGACTTGCGCAAATTGTAGTAGTTCACTGGTATCAAACCTCAGTGCCACAATAGCGTTCCCACCTCTGCTCACACATTCTCCGACCATTCTCTCCACAGCCTGATCTCGTGACGAGTAAAGAAGTTTCGTCATTGACTGTCCAAAGTCAACACTGAAGCTGATCCCAGCCGTCTGGCAATTCTTACCTTCAGTTCTCCACCTGCAACAGATCTTAAAGCTGTCCAGGTCCCTGCCGCAATATTGCGCGAACGCACAGATAACCCATAAACCGTACCGAGCACTTTGACAATGCGATACTGAGGAATCTCATTCATCGTGGTCGTGATGAGCCCGTGCGTATCCGCAAACATGCGGAACTCTCCGATATTATCGCCAATTTCTTCCTCATGATCACCCTGCACCTTCATAGCTTGGCCTTGAAGAGTTGTCATCTGAGTGGCGAAAGTCAAAATTTGAAAGATTTATGTTCGATGCCATCGTCGTTGGACCAAATACATATTTATAGACAAAAAGGTGTGATGTCAGTTGCCGAAAACGGTGCACCAACGGTAGAGATTGGTAGCCGCATGCAGCATCGTACGGTCGTGCAATGACAACCAGTCTCTTTGGTCTGGTGCCTGGGATATAATACGGTCTTTGCGACCATCCATGACGCTGAGTCTTACTATCATTTCCGCTGCCAATTGTCTACAGCTTCATCGCCTTTCGATATCCGTTTCGAACAGTGTAACGAATGCCGTTCTTTGATCTAGTAACTAGAGTGAATCAAGAACGGGCTACATTCCGGACGATGAGACTCAATATGGAGGAATGTGGAACTTTGAGGTAAGACTGTCGCATATTCAAGACAACACAGAGACAAAAATTCCTTGCATTCTAGAAATCGATCCTTGAGTTTCTGGAAATTCGAATATTTAGGGTGATGAATTATTCTGATGAGAGTCACAGGCTCTTCCTAGGTGGACATTCATTTGATAACCCCTGTAGCATTATAAGCTATACAACGGCCATTTCACTTATGTTCTACGGCTTTGAAGGTGTATCTGAGACTGTTAGTTCTTTTCATTCATCTTATTTTCATCCTTATTTAGATGTGGTTATGGAGTCAACCAGTAACTGCGGATATTGCCCTATCCTATTCATCAACCCGATTGGATTCAAGACATGCGCTAGTCTATAAATGGATTAGGCGCTGGCATCGTCATCGCAGACCTCAGGAGCTGCGCCGTGACCTTCTACATTCTACATCCCGTAATGAACAAACCATCATGCCATCGAAAGTTTTTGGGAACATAGTAGCTAAACCCTTGATATTTCTAGCAGCTTTCGCTCATTTTATCGCGCTCATAGCTCTTCTGTGTTCATATCTCGGCTGGAACCTCCGCATCTCTTCGGCCTCTATATCATCATCTGGAAGAGTCACTGCGCTTACGCACCATTCCGATGGAGATGGCCTCGTTTTACGGCATCTGATTCATCATGGGGCAGGACAGCGAGGACCTAGGGCACGAAGACTCGACCTTTACCCGGACAGATTTACGTCTAAAAGTCAGGCGGCACGCTTAGGACCATTTCGTATCAAGAAAGCGGCCATACCTATCAATAGGCCAGCTTATCTATCAGACAACCTTCAGAAGTTTGCATCCCCGGTCTGGAATCTGGAGGATGTAACTGGCCCTGCCGTTGATGACAAGGAAACCGTCGTCAACTTTGCGCGCATGTCCGAGGACGCGTATAAACCAGACCCCTCAGATAGCGAGTGGATGGACATTGGCGACAAATTCAATGATTCTATCCCATTTGGCTGGGAGGACAGTGGGATCAGGGGTCAGGTATTCTCAGACTCTTCTAATTCGACTGTGATACTTGCAATCAAAGGTACCACGGTAGCTGTCTTCGAGGGCAACGGAACTTCAACACGGGACAAAGAAAATGATAATCTCTTTGGGTCGTGCTGCTGCGGACAGGGAGGCGCTTACCTTTGGCATCAGGTATGCGACTGCCAGACGAGTACATACACATGCGACAACAGCTGCGTCAAACAGGAATTGCGCCAACCCAACAAGTACTTCGAGGCGGTGTTGGAGTTGTATGATGAGGTCATCCAACTCTATCCCACTGCACAGATAATGACTGTCGGGCACAGTCTCGGTGGCGTATTGGCTTCGCTACTGGGTTTACGACATGGCCTACCTAGTGTTACCTTCGAGGCCTATCCACAGGCACTGGCTGCCACCCGCCTGGGCTTGCTCGGACCGCAAAGTCCATCAAGTCGGAAAAATACTGGTGGCTTCCACTTTGGCCATTCTGCAGATCCTATATATATGGGAACTTGCAACGGAGGCTCGAGCTTTTGCTCGATTGCCGGGTACGCCTTCGAAACAACCTGTCATACCGGAAGGAAGTGCATCTATGATGTTGTGAAAGACTGGGGGTGGAGACAGAGTACGAACTACCACCGACTTCGTTACGCTATTGCAAATGTCTATGAGAAATACGAACAAGCCGCACCTTGTCAGGACGAGGATGTCAATTGCGAAGATTGCTATCTTTGGAAATTCGAAAATGGCACGCATACGAAGATACCGAGTACCACATCTTCAACGGAACAATCGACGCGGACTCGGACAGAAACCTGCAAAACGCCTGGTTGGTGGGGCTGCCGAGACGAAGCAACCACTTCGGAACCCAGTACTACGGAATTGATTACCACCACTACCAGTGTTTGCAAAACAGTAAGTTGTATTCCAGCTCGACCCATACCGAGTCCTTCTCTTCAGACCTTCATGCTGACCATTCAAAGCCCGGTTGGTTTGGCTGCAAAGACCAGACTTCCACAACTGAGGCAACCACTACCACCTCTGTAACTACGTCATGTACTCATAAAGGCTGGTTCGGGCGTTGTCTTGATGAAGAAACTACTTCAACATCTCCCGCACCGATTCCGGTGGCCCATCCAAGAAGCGCTCATGTTGCTATACAAACTTCTGCTTGAAATCCTACCACCATCTTGAGTACTATTCAATAAGGGGTCCATTTAGCCTGGATCTCATGGAGCCATATAGCTATATTATAGCAAGGCTGAACAGAACAAAGCGACTAATTATACTCTACATCAAGTTAGCCCAATGAGCACCATTTGTGGACATTTTTGCACCTGTCGTTGCGATGACGCTATTTGCTGTTTTTCGCACGAAGGCCTTCGTAGTTTTATCCTTCAGGACCTAGAAATAGAACAGGTGATAACATACGAGTAAAGATGCTGCAATACACTGTGACTTTTTCCAATCTTGCCTGCGAGTAACATCAATTTTCATCTTTTAATGCTCATGAAATTGAAATTTGGCATTCTTCAACTCTCTCCCCTCTCTCCTTTCCGAATTTCGACAGATCTTACTGCCCAGGGAAACAGAATTGAAAGTAGGTTTGGGAAGGCGCCATGTACCAGTTCTCAAATCTTGGAAAGGCAGCATCAACCTCAATTCTCCTTGATCGACAAGACTAGATTCTCAATTCCGCATCTCTTCGAACCACACAATAATATCATTCCATCTCTACCGTGCTTCAGCTCCGGAACCTCTATCGTTATCATCAATCGCTTATTGACCTTTCTGGATCATCATGCCACTTTCAGAAGCGAGCAACCTCCGAATCTTTGTGGCAGGTCTCATTATAATCAACCTGAGGTCCACATTAATGAGCCTTCTGGAATCAGTCTTGCCCATCACGATACTGGGGTCGATCGCTTTACTGGCCACTATCTTGTGCTTTGCTTCGCGTCGCGTCTTTATTGCCGTGCTGATTGCCACAATCTGTCACGTCATCGGCGTCCTGACACGATATGTGTACAAGGAAGATGCTGACCAACTCATCATGAATCTCCTTATATCGTTCTTTGCCTGGGCTCCTTATCTTCTTCCGGCGCCGTACGATTGGCACGTTACGGTATCTGGCTCGAAAACCTCTTCCGTTCACTTTCCTTGTTCATTCTCCGCTATAGCGTTTCGATGATACTGACTATTACTGCTGCAGATAGACCTACATTACCTGCTGCGTGGTGGCAAATACTGGCCGATGACAATCGTAGCCCCTCCGCCGATCGCAGTTCTCCTATTCAGTCGCTGGAATTCTGTTTTCAACCCAAGAGAGCCCATACGATCGTCAGTAGCCATCACACTCATGATTCTCTTTATGGGCCACTTCGCTCAATATCTTGGTGTTGCGTCGGTACGCCGCTTCCCAGCCATCAAATGGTTCTTCCATATCAGATTGAGTCCCGAAGTCGACGGGTATAGAAAATATTCCGACGATGAGGAGCAAGGGGGATTTCTTGCTTCGTGAGCATGAAGGGATTAGATACGGTTAGATACGTATGTCAAGGGCTGGGGAGCTTTGGATCACATAGCCTTACATCGTGTATGGTCGTCTCTATACATCAGAGATTCATGCGCGTGGCATCTATGTACATACGCATAACGATAGAGTAAGCGTTAGGCTGGTTCGAATTACAACGTCAACGGAATTTCTACAAGGTCGCGCTTCTCCCTAATCTTGTAGAGCAAGGTGTAGGCGGTCAAGTTGTAGGTACATAGAATTGTACTTTGTGTTTGATTTCAACAAATATACTCATTAGGTGCCTGATGTACACCTGCAACGTACAAGCCAAAAAAAGCAATTCTTACAAAGTAAATAAACATAGGTAATTACAATACCGTATGCTCTCCGATCATCGGTCCTTTACAATGCCATCATGTGACACACCCTCTAGAATCCACCCTATCATTCACTCCGTAGTAACAATTGACATCCAACATACCTAGGCATGAGTACAGAACGGAAAACACAAGTCGGCGTCTATTCTGGTACTTGCATCACACTCTCCCGACCCTTGAGCCTCATCTCCAACCGTTCGCCGTTCGTGCGCCCGCACACGCAGGGTCAAGGTCACCCGCCCGCCACCGCATCCCAAGGATGTTGACTCGCATAAGGGCTTCTCCCCCTCTCCCGTCTCCACGCGAAGAAGCAACAATAGCCAACACCACCTGGGTCCTGCAGTAGTTACCAGTGCCCCTCGTGACCGCGCAGTTAGAAACTATTGGTCGCGATTTGACGTTGACTCGACCCTTTTCTTTGCTTCTCACTGTTACTTGGGGAAGCTGTGCTGTACCTACTGTGATGGCGATGTCGACATCAATGTCGAGTCACGTGGGACGGAGGGGACCCTGGTCGTTGTGCGACTGTGTTGGTGGATGTTGTGTACGACGTCGGCTTCTAGGGTCTAAACTGGAATGTACCCAGGTACCAAGTACGGAGGATATAGATATAGATCCCGCGGGTACATGAGGAGTACTTGTGTTTGTTGAGATCGGACACAAAGTACGATTCCGTGTTCCTACAACCAATGCACATTGGAACAGTAACAGCTGGAAGAAGGGAACCTGCTAAGCGCGGACTTAAGCGTACGGGATTGTCTACGGATGAAACAACTCGTACTCATAGTTACCTGTGTTGGAAGTCAATCGTGTCTACGGAGTGAATGATAGGGTGATATTTTGGAGAGAGTGTCACTTGATAGCATGCATTGTAAAGGAGGGATGATCGGAGAGAGTTGAACTGAATTAAGCTTTGCTATAGATCCGACGGAGGTTTTTGGATCTGGAAAAAGAAAAGAAAAGAATTCCCATGGGGAGAGATGATGGGGATGTTTTGTTTTGTTTGGAAAGGATGGTTACACTCGACTCTCCAGCTCGTGCTTCCAAGTTGCCTCACTAAACCTGTTTGGGGGGTGGGCGTCGATGGGCGTACGACCGATGATGGCTGTCATTCTTCGTTTTCATCTTCCGACTTTTAAACTTTCAATGATAATCTCTCCAGTCCTTCTTCCTCTTTCTTCATCCTTCTCTCATATTTTCCTTCCGTCTGGATATCATTTTGCTGAGAGGCAGAAACCAGCAGAAAGACACACATATCAATAAATCTTATCGGCTCTATCTCCGCTCTCGCCTCACTGACCGGAATTGATACGAGTAGACACTTAATAGTTACTACTATTACAAGTAACTATGTACCGTAACTAATGGATTGGGGAGCCCCGCCTGCCTCGATCTTCGTCTCCACATCTTCCATCTCTTCTCTTCTCATCTCATCATCCCTCCATCCTCATCCCTCGTCTCGTCCCGTCTCGCATCCTCCCATCCCAAGTCCTCCGACCGAAGCAACCTTATTATTGACTGTCTGTCCACTTCCATCTCCTAATCACCCACCCCGGCAAAACCTTGCGTAACCAACACAACTCTATTTCTCCCTCTCCCTCTGACTCTCACCGATCGCAATCCGCCTAGCCGACATCATTTATCCCTCTTATCTGACCCTCCCCCTCGCAACTTCGACACTCACTCGTTGATGGTCCCTACATCTCAGCCTCCAAGAGAGCGAGTGCGTGCTTGAGTGCGTGCGTGCGGTGCGTGCATGCGGGGTTTGTGCGTCCATCTATGCCATTCACAGTTCTCCGTACATACATTATACATCTGCCTGTGCAGTGTGCAGTGTGCAGTGTGCAGTACAGTGCCATACCCATACCCTACACAGTACACCTACCAACCCTGCCCTACGTCTGAGCGCGCCGCAGTTGTCGTCACTGCAAGTCAGTCCAGTAACCATCCATTAATTATTGCCAACGCACATTCGACACTCCCTTCACCAATCAAGCATCAAATAAAATTATTCTCGGGCCGGGAACACCAGCGGCCGCATCCTCCTTATCACGGCTGTACATTGCGCTCGCTGTTCAATCTTCTAGTGTCGCCGAGGAGTTGGAGACAGTCATACTACCGAGTAGCTCCGTATCGCCTTGTTCGCACCAGGCTAGAGCTTCCCGCAGTGGGATACCCCATTGCAGAGTGTACGGTACTCGTACTACGCCGTCCTTCTTCTTCATCGCCATTCTTCTTTGTCAAGATTGACACATCCCGACATCATCGACCGAGCAGTCAGTGCGATTAGAACACCCCCGACCCCGTCACCCACCGTATGCGACATCCACGTCCACGCCTGTCAATCATCTCACCTCTCCCCTCACCACACCTCTCCCACAGATCCTAGTATATCGTCCTGTGTTGGATTGGCTATTCTGCTCACTGTAAGTTCTCAACATCTTTTTGACATTATCCGCAGGCCAGTCAAGATGTTCTTACTATAATGGTCCGTCATGTTGGGTCATCACATGTCAACGAACCACCCTCACCCATGTTCCCATATTACTTCTTCCCATGTTCTGCAGCTGCGAGCAACTACCGCCATCCCATCCTCAGACCGCCACTAACATGACGTACATACAGGTACGTACGATAGCTGTCCGCGGTGTCACACCACTCACTGCACGCGATCGCTTCGCAGCCATATAACCCTTCGATTCCGCCGTCCCCATCATGTCCGCCGCCATAGACAATGAAGACCTGGAGGACCTCGCCATGTCGACGAACCCGCGCCGCAACGCAACACCCCACGATCTCTATACCGCCACTGCCCTCCACGCGGCCGATGGAGTCGGACACCGCAAACGCTCCAGTCGCGATGCCAAGGCAAGCCAGCGGCTCGGCCAATACACGATCGTGAAGACACTCGGGGAGGGCTCCTTCGGCAAGGTGAAGCTCGCGACGCACCAGGTCAGCGGACAGAAGGTTGCTCTGAAGATAATAAACCGCAAGAAGCTGGTCACCAGGGATATGGCGGGCCGGATAGAGCGCGAGATCCAGTACCTGCAACTGCTGCGGCACCCCCACATTATCAAGTTGTACGTGCGCATTCGGTATACCGCTCGGGGCAGAAGCTAACTTTGGATTCCAGATACACGGTGATTACCACACAGACCGAGATCATCATGGTCCTCGAATTTGCCGGTTACGAGCTGTTCGACTATATCGTCACCAACGGGAGGCTGAACGAGGACAAGGCCAGGAAGTTTTTCCAGCAGATAGTTTGCGCTGTGGAATACTGCCACCGTCACAAGATTGTTCATCGCGACTTGAAGCCCGAGAACCTGTTGCTGGACGAGAATTACAATGTCAAGATTGCCGACTTTGGCTTAAGTAACATCATGACGGATGGCAACTTCTTGAAAACCAGCTGTGGCAGTCCCAATTATGCAGCTCCGGAAGTGATATCCGGAAAGTTGTATGCAGGGCCGGAAGTTGACGTCTGGAGCTGTGGTGTGATCCTTTACGTGCTCCTGGTTGGGCGACTCCCCTTCGACGACGAGTACATCCCGACGTTGTTCAAGAAGATCGCTGCAGGGAACTACAGCATTCCGAGCTATCTCTCCAAAGACGCAGTGTCTCTGATCAAGAGAATGCTGATGGTGAATCCGGTTCATCGAATCACCATTGGCGAAATCCGCCAGGATCCTTGGTTCCTGCAAGATCTCCCTCCGTATCTCGCATTGCCGCGCGAGGAATTCTTCGATACCGGCGTGGATCCCAATAAAGCCATCGATCCAAGCACGCTTGCACCGTCTCAACCGGTCGCGGTTGTACAGAAGCTCCACGAGACGGTTGTCGGGAAGCTGGGAAAGACCATGGGTTACGCAAAACACGACGTTCAAGAGGCATTGGCTCGCGACGAGCCAAGCGCGATCAAGGATGCATATTTGATTGTTCGCGAAAACCAAATCATGAAAGATAATCGTAAGTTCCCCTTGTCCCGTGATTAATCTGCATACCCCACGCCAGCACCATCGAATCGCGCGCCCGCTATCTGGCCGGAGACCGCGAATCTGTGGCACATTGTGCGACCACATCAATTCCAGATCGTCCGAGAGTGCTCAAAGACGCATTTGACTAACAATCATTGCAGCCCTATTGGCGCAGGAGCAGGGGCTACAACCTTTCCTCGCCCAGTCGCCCCCCACTCACGAAAGCTATATGAGCCAGTCTATCCCGCAAGCACTTGCCGCCTCTTCCGCCTCAAGCAAGCCACAGATGATCCCTCCGCCATCAAATTCGGAACGAACCCGTCAAGACTCGACCTCGAGCAGTCAAATCGCCAGCGTGCGAAGCCCCATCAACACGATCGCCGTCCTTCCCAGCAGCCTTCCGGATTATCACAAAGCCTACATGAAGGGACACCCCAAACCTCCCCCTCCAAACGATCCCGCCTCTGACGCTCCTCATAACGCTGAACAACGAGCTGCTGCTGCCCGCCGATTAAAGCCAAATTTCCGAGCAACCCAAGATACTGCGCGCATAAAGCCTGAGCCAATGACTAGTCTACCGACAAAGAAAGCTCGACCTACGAAATGGCAATTTGGTATCCGTTCCAGGAACCAGCCCGCAGAGGCTATGCTGGCCATTTACAAGGCGTTGCAAGCCATGGGTGCTGAGTGGGAGAAGCCGCGAATCCGGCGCCCTGGAGGCGGGAGCAGATCACGAAGTCGCAGCACCTCCCTCAACGGACGCTCCGGATCAACGTCTCGTCGAGGAGGATCAAGAGACTCATCCAGGTCCTCTCGCGAAGACTTTTCACACGATCTCTCCCCGCACCAACGCGAACCCCTCTCCATACGAAACCCCGACGAACGCAGGGAACGGCCCCGAGGCCGCCAAAAGAAAATCTACAACGAGCACAACGACTGGGGCTACAAGATCCCCGAAGACCCGTGGGTGATCCACGCGCGTTTCCGCAAAGACGGCATGTTCGCACCGGGCGTTGCCCATCCATCGTCCACCCATTCCTCGCGCGTCGATCTCTCCCACGAAGCGCTCGCACGCCGCCGCAGCTCGACCAACACCAGCCGCTCGAGCAGCCACGGCCACGTCGAGGGCATAACGTCTCTCAACTCGCGGGCGGGCTCCATCGGCAGCACCGGGTCGTCGCAAACCGGGGGGTCGTCGCAAACGGGGGGCAAGAGCAAGCCCCCGACCCCAGACGAAGCCGTCTACATCTACATGTCGATCCAGCTCTACAGCATCGACCGCGAGTTCTTCGTCGTGGACTTCAAGTGCGCGGGCTACGAGCGCCTTGTCAACAACCTCGTCCGCGAGATCCGCATCCCCAGGTACCACCACGGCCGCTTCAAGCAGCACGAGGACGCCTGGGACGACCAGCAAGGCGTGTGGCGGCGACTCGGCGAGGGGGAACCCGTGCCCGAGGACCTCAGGGGCGTGCTTAAGGAGACGCTGGTGGAGAGGGGGGCCGGCCGCGCTGAGGGCGAGAAGCAGGCCGCCAGCCCATTTCCGTTCCTCGACGTCGCGAGCTCCCTCATCTTGCAGTTGAGTGGAGAGTAGGTAACGTAGAAGTACATCGTACGATATACATATGTTCGCATTACTTTGTCCGTCAGTTGAATACATACATATCAAGGCACGAACGACAGTAGGAGGAGAATGTGTATAAGTCGAAAGGGGCGGGGGTTAGGAGAGTCCAGACAAAACGTTAACCCGTACAAATATTTCTTTCTCTTCTAGATAAATCTTCCACTTTATGTAGAAAGGGGTGTGAGATTCTCCGAAAAATAGTTAAAGTAATATTTTTCGTTCACGATAAAACGTTCGTTGCTTACTCTTTCACGATGCACTCACTCCCTTGAGACGACAACCTCTCTGGTTAACTAACTACCAACCACCACTGACTGACTGACTGCTGTTCAATTCCATCGTTGTTAAATGTGAAAAATCCATCCTAGATTCTCGAATCCTCTATACCAATACCTAAAAACCTGAAACCTGAGAGAAAAGGAGAGACACACCCACCCACCTACCCAACCAACCAACCCTTCCATTCCTATCCAACCCCCCCGTCGCCCGGGATGGAGGTAGGTACTTGGTAGTGGAGCGAGCGAGCGAGCAGCATACGGGGGGGAAAAGTGATTCGTCTCTAAGATCTTTCGGTTTCAAGTGACTACTTTCATTTCAATCAATTGTGTGATTGTTGATTGAACGTTTGGAATGGAATCTTAACCCATTATCCCCCCCTACTCCCCCCCAACTCGTGCCTTATAAGTAGATAGGAGGATATAGCTGCAGAAGCCGAAAATCTGGCTGTAGATGGTGGTTGTAAGTTAGTGCAGGGGGGCTGGCGGGAGAAGAGCTTGAGGAGCAGGGTAATTGCAGCTGGCTGGCGGATTTGACTGGAGTACCTCTGTAATTGTATGCGCTTGGTACGTACTCCGTACAGCCCTTGTCGAATCATTCGTCAGTCCACTGCCTTGGAGGAGGTTAAGAAAGTAGGTAGAGTAGAGTATTGCACTGCTGAGAGAGGGAGTCCGGTTTATAGTATGTTTTTGAATAGGGAAAGGTTCTTAGGAGGACTCTCTCTCTCTCTCTATGTTCTAGTAAATACGTCTTGTACTGATACGCGTTTGGCTGGATCTGTGGCTCTATAGCATGGGAAGTCCTATTGTAGTTGTAAATGACGCCTGAGAATTCTCGGCCCCCCCCTGCTAGGAGACAGTTTGCCTTCTCTTCCGTAACACCAAAGCAGCTGGGGAGGGGGGGAGACGATTGCCTTGCTTTCCAGAGCCAGAACCGTTTGCCTCGTTTCAAGTAGCACGAAAGCAGTTTCAGGCACGACGCAATTCGCCTCTTTTCAAGTAGCACGAAATCAATGAGTCATTGCAGATATTTGCCTTGTTTTTTCTCCCCCAGCAACACACGACGGACATCTCTTCAGTACTGTACGGGGGGAGGGGGAGAGAGTGCGAAAGGCAGACATTTGCCTTGTTTTCGGTAGCACGACAGCAGTGATTATACCACCGTGTTACGATACGCCTTCCATGCTGTGAAAATACACGTTTCGTCTTTTTTACTACTGTTTAAATGGTTCCTAAAGATTAAACTGCTTAGCTACCTGCTTTAATAGCGTAGTTTGTAATTCTTGTACGGAGATTGTTGGAACCTGATGGAGTGTATCACGCTTCTTTCAATTATTGATACTGTGGTGTAGCAGCAGGATATGAGGCTATTCGGGGATTACGTGTATGGGGAAGGGCAGGGCATAGATCGATCAATTAGGGCTACCCAAGAGAGATCAAGAGTATCATCCACTTTACCTCTGGAGGCCTATCAACAGAGAGAAATATCTACTTATTCTACCTTATCCACTGATTGCGGGTCGTGGCCTGCGATGCCACCTCCCCCCTACTACAGAGGCGTCTGTACGCGACAATATCTCTATCCTTATCAATAACCTTCTTCGCATGATCGTTGTTAGAATCGATCAAGCTGGGTTATCCAGTTGTAGTATATTTGATTTCTTTCAAGAGAGGTGTCTGGTTGATCCTTCCACTACTTTGTGAGGCTCCTTTAGCCTGTAACGTTACTTGGTGATTGAAACTGAGCACTTTGGTTAAGGGGAAACAAAGCAACTGGCTTCTTCTTAAGCGTGGGTGTTGAACTAAGTGTTGGATAGATGGTTGTATCTGTTGACTGATAGCTCCTTGATCCTATCTATACAATTTTCATAATCTTTAACTGTTGCTGAGTCTATAGCTTGATAGAATAGTTCTATGAAGGCCTCGGTTTTCCTATTATCCTTCCCTTTAGGGGTAAGTGTTGAGATCGAGTGTTGTAAGAGGGGAGAGAGTGTTATAAGAGTATTGTGGGAGAGTGTTGTAAGAGGGGAGAGAGTGTTATAAGAGTATCGTGGGAGAGTGTTGTAAGAGAGGGGAGAGTGTTATATGAGAGGGAAGAGTATTGTGAGAGAGACCTTCCTAAGAGAGGGTATAGAGTGTAGACTGTAAGTGAGAGAGAGTGTGTGTATGTGTAGAGTTCATGTAAGAAAAACCGTGAGGTGTGTGAGAGTGTATAGGAGAGAGGAGAGGGAAGAAAGAGGTATGTTCATAGGTATTCGTGAAGAATTAGTATCTAAATTACCATGCAACGGATTACCTGAGCTCAACCTCGCGGACCCCAGTAGCACGTTTCTCTTCATCTTCGCTCTCTGTTCTATCAAGAACAAAAGCCCACGCCAACGTAACTGACGACACAACACACATCCAACTCCACCATACAAGGCCGACCGACCCCCGTCTGATACCACGAGAAAGAATCACTCCGCCAATCGCGGGTCCAATTGCACTTGCCAAAGAGCTCACGGTGTTGCCTGCACCATGAACCGTTCCAAGTACGCCCTTTGTGGGCGATGTGCGGGTGAGTAATATCACACTACTCGGAATCGCCATGGTTCTCGCAAGAACTTGAAGAAACAGGATAACAGCCATGGCAGGCCACTTTAGGCTCGAGACCTCCGACAACAAAGCCAGATATGGCGCAAGGAGATATGCGACTGGGAAGATGCCGCTAGCGATTCTAAAAATACCAAGGTTACCAACATGCTTTTGAATTCGAGGGTAGATGAAAAGCTGAAGCACTATGCCAAATATGCCGAAAGTTGCGAGGAAGAGGCCTATGGTTGGCGAGGACAGCCCAAGTCCTCCGGAGAATTCAAAAACTGTCGGAAGAATTGTCGTCACACTGGGCATGGCTAGAAAGACCGGAAAGAGATGAAGAAAGGTGGAGTTGTGGAGCGGTAACAGACCAAATGCGACCAGGGTTTTCAACAAATGCCAGGTCCATATATTCTTGAGAAGTGGCGGCGCGTCTTGTTGAGCTGGGCCTGTACGAGCGATATCAGAGCTTGCTCCAATGTTGGTGGGATCGCTTTGTGGAGTACTCTCAGTATCTTCTATTGGAAGCGCAAGGTATCCACGATTTTCACGATGATCGACCCTTCTTCTCCAATGGCCAAAAGGTCGTTGTCCAAATACCACACTCGTGTCGCGATGTCGTTCCTGGTATTGAAGGCTTTCCTCTAGCCAAAATATAGCGACTAGCAAACATAAAGCCAAGACGACACCATTAAACATCGCTGGGAGTGCATAGGGATACTTGATTGCCCATATGACTCCATCTGGACTCTTCGAAAGATTCAGTAAGCCCTTTGGACCGAACAAGGTTGGAATGTTCTTCACTGGATCGGCAAGACACCCTCCTATCGCCAAAGCCACGACCCTTCCGGAATTGAAAACCACTGGAGGAGCAAGGAATGCGCGAGGCTGGTATTTCCGATGCTTGACGATCTCCGCCGTCATCGTTCTCATCACGCCGAGTATGCCATTAGCCATGCCAGCCACTACTCTCCAGAATAGCAACATGCCGATGCCTCTTGAAAAGCCGAAAGAGAGATTTGCGAGAACGCTCAATGTTATTCCAATAAGAATAATTGGTTTCCTTCCATAGATATCAGAAAGTCGTCCCCACAAAATGCTGGTAAGAACTTGGCCAAGTGGATACGCCGCGACAAGGAATCCAGTACGTTGCGATATCGTCTGTGGAGCGGAGGGATGTTCCGGATCGGATAGAAGGGACTTGACTAGGAAGTAGAGGTATGGCAATAGGCAAGCATTGGAGAGTGGACTTGACAGGCGACAAAGTGAAAGTATTAACAATTGTTTCTTGTTTGGTAGATTTCGCCATGTTACATGCTGGTCAATCTTCTCGGTGCCATCGGTGAGAGACTTTTCGGATCGAGCTTGATAAATTAGTTCTGTGGTAGGCGTAGTAATTATGCGTGTGCGTACTGATAAGGAGACTTTCGTGCTCCTGTGCGTCCAATGATGCCCTCATCCTAGATCACTTGTCACAATCGATCTGGAGGTTCTAGATGGATTGGAACAGAGAAAACACCAAGGGGGAATGCCAGATGTCGGGGTCCGTTCGTCGGTCAGGGGGAAGCTTGGAGCATTTCCATGTTACAGTTGGGAGGCAGTACTGAAGGGAGAAGGGTTCAAAAGATGGGAAAGATGGAACACCCTGTAGGTGCTCCTCGCATGATATAACGCAAGTTCAGCCATGGAGAGATCTCGTTACGATGAATCGCACGGTTGTTGAGCGCCGAGGACAAGAGGAAAGCTGTTTACCATTACGGAGTCTCTCTTGTTCCTTCCCCAAACTTAATGAAAGCAGTCAAGAGTTGATTGACTCGGAAATGGTGTGGGGCACAGGGAGATGGTATTTGATATTGGGCAAGGTATCTGATTGGCCGCCCGGTCTCGCTTTAGAGGACATGATGCGCAAATTGATGAATAGAAGCATTGACCCGGTTTTCGAGAAGCAGCTCCGAGGCACCATATCAACGGGAACGTCTGCAACCCAAGTCTGCTATTTGCTCCATATTAGTTGGCGGGAAGTGATTTCATTTACTCTTTTTGTCGTCGAATTCCATTACTACAATTCACTCAAATCATTGCCAGACTCAAGCTTGTTGTATGACTTACTCGTTCAGTGCCGACGAGGAACATACAATGAGCTTTTCTTTTATATCCCTTGGTAGAATTTTCAAGCAAGCAACAATTTCAGGAGCGTTTAAAGTAGCATCTTGCATTTCATCGAATTTTCATGAACTTTTCTTGCATTCATAGATCTTAAATCGCCTCAGCTCATATTTCTATCTGAGGAAACGCCTGCCTTCAGACATATAAGACCGCGCGTGCGCCTGGGCTAAACCACAAATATATAACTTAGAATGCATAGTCGCAGAAATCCCATAGGATTGTAATGTCACCTTCTCATAGCCACTCTATTATTCCAAGACGCTCACTGCTCTGCTTTCCTCCCAGACGTAGCCATCGCTCTGCAGGACCGGTGACCACACTTGTCAAAACCGGATGGAGGCCTGTGTTCAAATTACACTCAATCTCCGCTGCAAACTCTGCACCTTGACTTCCAGTGCATGACATTCGTCTTCCCTCCGATGCAGTTCTCTCTGCAACGTTTCCTTTTCGCTGCGTAGCGCTTGCATCTTGCCTCCGACCTTCTCGCGGTAGCTGGCGTGCTCTTCGTGGATTGCTTCGATTCGACGCCAATCGGTTGTTGTCCCCATGTTTCCTTCTCCTTGCGAATGTGAACCTCCCCCCGACGACCTGAGCCGGGCAATCTCAGCATCCTTCGCCTTGACGCGCGTCTCCAGATCCGTCACCGTGTCTTTCCATGCTTTGTGAGCTGTCAAGCGGTTCAGGTCATCGATGCTTGCCCCGCCCTTGAGGCTCTCAATCTGTGATTGCAGGTCCGCATTGCGGGATTCTAGCTCCAGTGCACGTTGTTGTAGAGCAGCAGCCTGAGCAGCGGCGAAGAGATCGGTCGTATTTCTACGCTCCATGAAGACACTCGGTGGCCGAGCTCCACGGCTCGGACTCGATCTACCGTTTCCGCTCCCAGTCTGCGTCTCCAGTCTGTCCAGCTTGCGGGTTGATTCGGCAAGTCTCGCTCGAACGATTTGTAAATTCGCAAGGTCATCTTCACGCAACTTCGTCATGCCCTCAAGATCCCGGCGGGCCTTTGCAAGCATGCCTCGGATCTTTATGTTGTTCTCCACATCCTCGTCCCTCAACGCATATATCGATTCGTATCGCTTCTTCCATGACTTCTTCTCCTCTCGGAGCGCTTCCAGTTCTGCCATTGTGGCGGCATGATCTTCTGGTGTAATTGACACCGTCGGATTCTCGCGTTCCATGAAAATCAATTTAGACATGAGTGAAGCGAGCTGAGTCTCCAATGGCCCGGGAACATGCGACTTCGGTTCGCCATCCTCAGGAAAACTGTCGACTTTGATAATCTCCTGTCGGATCTGTTTTGGCAAAGACGTGGGGGTTTTCTCGGGAAAATCGAAATCCTGGTCGGAGCCACCGAGAGTGGAAGATCGAGAATGAACATCATCGTCCATCTCGCTGGCTGTCGACTCCTCCTGGTGCACCCTCTGAGTTCGAAGAGGTGCCGGGGGAGGAATCTCAGCAACTGGACCGTTGAATCCAAACTTCTGGCTTAGGCGGGAAACAGAGCCGCCGGATTGTTGGCGCTGGGATTGCCATGCTGGAGGCATACTGTTAGGTACGGGAAAGCCGGAGAAGTCGTCTTCGGCAGCAGTGTCAGAAGATTGATCGGACTCGTATCCACCGGTGCGTCGCTGAAGTTGGGGAGATACCATGGAGGATGGGCGGCTGGAGGAATGTATTGACGCAACAGAGTGGACAGACGGTGTGCGTGAAGGGCGAGAAGGAGGGCGGTTTGCAGTCCACATTTCCTATTACTGGTTCTGGTTGGAAGGAGTAGAGGGGGTTCTTCAATAAGGCTGCGATCCTTGGTCCTTGGAGTGGATAGTAGAGTACCGGCTCTACGAACGCAGGGAAGAATTTGAGAATCCCGGGGCGGAGGGAAGCAAAGCCGAGCTTGCAATGCAAAGTTGTGTTGGTGAATCAATTCCTGAGGAAGAGGCATCGAGGGCTTTTCATGCCGGTGGTGTGAGGTGCATGCGCAAGTCACGGCTGGTGCTGAAACATTTGCTGAGACCAAGGGGTCTCCATGTCTGATGCTGCGACATTAGGGAGGTCCGAAGCATCAGCGAAAACGAGCCAAGATACTCTCCTGTCACAGGCTCACAGAGGCATACAATGAGCACTTGATATAATCTGTGCTACTGTGTATATTCTATGGGAGCCATCTTGTTCGAATGATGATGATAAAGTTCATTATTTTAATCTCCCGCGTTGCCTCTGTTATGAAGTTCTCATGCATACCAATCGCAGGTTCATACAACAGCGTTGCCGCGAAACGTGGGAGCTCGACTACCAAATAGGATAGAATGTGCTCTTACAATGCCATAGAACGACGGGTTGAGAACCTTAAGCAACGAATAGTTATTATTTGAGGTTCTCAACATTGAAATTGGTGGAGATTATTTTCTCCTCGAAGACAGGGCAAAGAATCGTGTTCGGTTAGGCTCCGAAACATCACTTGTATCGGAATCGAGCGAGCCGCGGCAGAACCCATGCTCTTCGAACCTGTCGTTCTTAACTACCGACACAGTACATGCCTCAGTCAAATTTCTCAGGAGTAGATTCAGATCCTCAGATAAGTTTATTTGTGCTAGGCAAACCCCTTATTGGTGCCGACATCCATCTGAAATTTCAAGGCGTTAAGGGCACATGACGATTTCGGGAGTGATCAGCTTGGCCATTCGCTCGGCTTTTACAAATCCATTAGATGTATGCGAAAACATAGCAACTAGTAAAAGCCTTAACTCTCGCGAATCTACAAGATACAAGCAGGGTATAGCCCATCATGCCTACTCTGCGTAGCTCTCAACTGTAGCAAGCAATGCACAGAAGCAGGGACAGTGGGTGCAAACAGATTATCCAGGTGTTGAAGGTTGGATCTGCGCATTGTACTTGATAGCCCCGAAGAATTAGGCTACAAGTCCTTTGACCTGTTTAAAGTCCTTGACCTTTATGTTCCGCCATGCCATCACAGCAGGAAGAGCAAGAGTAATGAATAATAGCCCACCAAGGTTCATCCATTTCTGCGCATCGCTGTAAGCCTGTTCGATGGCGATCCGCGTGGGGCTTCCTTTCGGATAACTTAGTTGAACCGAAAGGTCTCCGTAGATACTTGCGAAGTTCTCCAGCGAATCTTCGGGAAGTAGCTCCATGAGCCTCTTGGGAAACACGCCTGTCCAGACGGCTGCAGCAATGGAAGATCCAATGCCACCACCAATGTTGCTGAACATGGTTTCAAGGGCGATCACGACAGCAACGTGTTGGTGGTCGGTCGCAGCCATGGCGGCAATCTGTTCAGTGATGACCAAAGCTCCGCCTGCGAAGGAAATGAAGATCTGGGTCATGATGATGAACCCAATATTGACATCCGGTCGACGGAAGTGGATCATAAGACCGATTCCAAGCATCTGCAAAGGTACGGCCAAGTACAGCGCAATCCACTTGAAGCGACCAGACCAACGAATGGCAATGCCAGAAAGGATAGCGGAGATGCAAGATCCTATGCCGTATACTTCAACAACATAATTGGACTCAATTATACTGAGACCTGCTAGACATGAGCTTCTTTCTGGACCAGCCAATCACACTTTGCTTACCATTGACAACTTGAAGGAAGGAAGTAAAGTAGTTCCGCCAAATGTAGAAAGACAGGAACAAGACACCTGCCAAAATACATGCCCCCAACACCGTTCTGTCCAGCAGAAGCTGGTAAGGAATAAAGCTTTTGGGAGCGACATATTTCTCATAAAAGACAAAAGCAATTAGTAGAAGACCTCCAATTACCAGCATTGAAATTACGAGTGCCGATCTCCACTGGTCTTCTTGGTAAGAATATAGACTGAATGGCAGCAGGAAGAGTACGAGGCCTGCAAGCAGCAAGAATAGACCTCCGGCGTCGAATTCGACGATGTAGTATCTGACAGACTCCTTGAATGTGCGACTGCTTTTCACTGGGACAATTATTCCAGCCTTGATGGCTTTCTTATAGTTGATCGTGAACAGAATGTAGAGGGGGGCGCAGACAACAGTGGTAACGATAGCCCACATGCCGAAACTCCACCTCCAACCCGGCCCCTTCAAAAAGGCATCGGCGATCGGCCCACTGATCCACATTGTGATCAGATATGGCGAACTAATAAATCCGTACATGAAGCCTCGATTCTTGAGATGTGAGGTATCTGCGGCGAAGATGCTCAACGTGTAGCTGAGGCCATTGGAGCCTAGGATTGCAGTCAGTGGGTTGTGTGCTGAATTTCAATGGATACAAAAGACCGACCAATAGAATAGAATATCTGAGCCGCAGCAAACGTTTGCACATTGTTGCATGCCGCCATCATAATCAATCCAAGGACAATCAAGCCTACACTGAGTGCGTAACCTTGTGGGCGTCCGAAAATGTCAAGGATTTTGGCTAGAGGCAACTTGAGAACACCGCCTATCACTCCCGACATGACATAGGTGTAAGAAGTCAGAGAATGCTGCTCAAATGCAGAAGTAACATAAGGAGTGAGGTTGCCGCTCGTTCCACCCTGCGCGTAATCCACAAAAGTTATAATCCACATCCTGATACGATTAGCCTTTGAGTTAACTGAGGTAGCATGCGAGCAACATACATAACGTATGCCGCGATGAGGTGGCTCTTGGTCCACACTTGGGTCGTGGCCTGCATTCTTCTTACACCCTCTTGAGCATTCGCAGAGAGGGTTTCGCTGTCGGTATCGACAGGATGAGTGACATCGACCACGGGTGCGTGGCCGGCTTCTATCGCCTTGTCCACATTCATTGTGCTCGAGGCATTGGGCGTGCCTGTTCCAAGTCCTTCATCAGGGCGCAATTGGCTATGGCTAAGCCCATTTGTCTCCTTTCCAATGAGCCTCATGCTGGTCGTTTAGAGAGTGCTGGAAGTAGTTCAATTATAAACAAATATACGGATGTGACTTCGCAATGATGATGAATAAGGGCTCCAAAGTAGATGAAGACTTCAGCGAAGACAAACCAGGGAAGGGTAGACTCTGTACTGATAGATGTTTAAGTACTCTGTCCAGAGCTCGCAAAGTGACAGACAAGAGCACTGTGACCTCTCATGGTGCGAGGACAAGAGGAGCCGTCGTATGCACGGGAGACGGCTCACTTCAATCTGTACGCCAGTGACAGTTGAGAAACGAAGCGATGGGAGCTAGATCGTGGGTCTCCAGCGCCCGTCAGAGGCCTGCCAAGTGCTGTTGCAATCTTGGATTCTATCGTGAATTGTTGCTGCGGGCTTAGCGACGTTGGCATTTTCAGCCATCTGATAATGAATTCACTGTAGACAACTCGGCGGGCTTCGGATCTGCGTCGGCCCCATCCCTTATTCGCTGGCCACTCGTGTTAACCTGATGGCTCTGCCTGAGGAACGCTTGAGGAAAAGTTGTTTGGTAGTTGATCCATTGAGTGTTGAGTTTCAATAAGGTTATCAGATCCGAGTCGCCAAGTACGGCCCCGCCTACACCTACACTTCAGCTTCCACCCAATTCAAATACTACTTTGCACGCTCGCATTCCGTTAGTAGCTCCTTCTACCCATCTTTTGCTGTGCCTCGATTCACTATGACTACAGTAATGAGTCTGAGTTATTCGCTAGGCTCCTATTATTGGCCATCTATCATATGTCAATAACTCCACTCACCAAGCCGACAAGGCCATTGAATCAAGCCACATTCTATCCCGTCACGCCCGTCTCCCCACGCTATTGTATGCGACAGAAGTTGCCATCCCTTACATTCATGTCCATTGCCGGCTTAAATTGTTTCTCATTGTTGCAACATGGTACGTACACACTGTCAGATCAACATATTCCTGTGAAAAGGCAACGTCATATCACGACCATCGTATCGATTGTGTCGAAATCCAGTATGCTTATACCAAACCTCATTGAAAATAGCTGTGTGGCAATATCTTCCACCTATCTCATTTGTCAATTGCCACTTTGGTCGAGTCACTCCGCCTCGCAAACTAGCGCGACTTTTGTTATTCACGCCAATTCGATCGGCAGACTTACAAGCGGTGCTGCTCGCCCTCCTCTCGTCTTAAAATCACATGGAGACTGCGTAAACTTCGAAGAAGGTGACCGACGTTCGGAGCCTTGGTATTACTTGGCCTTAAATCTCTATTTCTCAGGTCCAAGATCGCCAAGGAGCATATTTGTGACATTCAGAGCTCTAGGAAATACGGACAGTACCATATGAGTTCCCCGGGCGCCATAGGTACTAAAAGCTGGTTTCTAGGCAATATGAGAGATCATCTGGTATGTAGAAACTTCTGTGAACAATGAATATAGCTCGGAGGAACAAATGCTTAGCCTTGTCAAAGTTGCTATGCGTTGCAATCGTAGAGAACTGCACAGGATGCGTCAACTATAGAAGTTAACATCCGAAGGTCGTCCAAAGATCAAAGCTTCAAATGTAGTTCCGAATTTCTTCGGCATGAGGAGCTCCCGCCATACTGTATTAGTTTTCTGGTGCGGTTTCCTGCTGGACTCTTGGTCGATTTGATCACTGTGTCCGTCTTCGTTGCCCTCTCTTTGTTGGTGAATGATAGAATTGGGGTTATATTAAATCAAACCCCCGCAATATTGTTTATATGACATGTTCACAGGTGCCCAGGTGCCTTTCGTCTTCTCCCAAGGTCCAGGTTACAGCATTCCTTCCAATCAGTCCTCTGCTCGAAACTGTCGCATTAACGGGGCTCTTTGGAATGATTTGATGGCCCTTGGTTGCCAAAATACTCAACACGTGAGCGGCTGTCTATTAAATTGGTCAGCAAACTGGGCGCTGTATAATGTCTGGATTCTTACCTTTGCATTGACAGTGATTGTGTTCGCATCGGGGTTCTCGATAGTATCACAGGCCTGGTGATAGCAGGGGTCCTGCGCAACACCTGTGCCCGTATGAAGTCCACCGACGGGCTTTCCAATGTTTATGAAGCTTTGATAGTCGCTGCCACCGGTGAAGCGGGCTGCCGTCACGTTGATGCCCTTGCTAGTGAGGTCCTCCACAAAAATGCGTTCAATGACATCCGAACCAGCAGGACCGCTCAGGTTGTACGTAGAACCATCGCCATCGAACACGCCAAAATAGCCGCGCGATACCATATCGAAGTTCAGATAGGCCAGAATGGAGTTGGCAGCGGTAACGTTGAGGTTGTTGGTGTAGAACTTGGATCCCAAGAGACCGTTCTCTTCGGCGCCCCACCAGATGAAACGGACCTTATTCTTCACCCGAAATTTCTCCAACGCAGTCTTGATCTCAAGTATCAAGCTCGTTCCGGAGCCGTCATCGTTGATACCAGCGCCAGCCTGAACACTATCGAGATGTGCCCCGAGAATGACGACGTTATTTGGATCTCCACCCTTCGTCTCTGTAATGACATTCTGGGTGATTCTCGTCTCAATCGTCTGCGACTGCTGGAAATATGCTTCAATGTCTTCCCCGTTCTCAAGGCGAGCTACTAATTCTTCACCATCATCCCGATTGATGAAGCCGGTAGGGACGTATTGCGGGTTTGGGCTGGACAAGGTTCCTGCAGTGACCTGGGTCTCAACGTCATTGTAGATAACAACTGCTGCTGCTCCTGCTGCCGCCGCCGGCTTCATGCGGCCTGCAAGGGTAGTCCCATCAGGGCAGGCGCCCCGCTGCACAAGCACAATCTTGTCTTTGACATCAAGATCCGCGTATGCCTGTTCGGTGCAGCCCGCATCTCCCGGAACACCGAGTGCAAGTTTCGCGGTCAATCCCTCCTCGGTCGTTGAGGGAGAGTAAGTCAACCCAATGACATAGTAATCATTGTCATCGACCTTGAAAGAGATGGACGTGACTTGCGAGAAGTTTGCCGGAAAGTCTTGCGTGTAGGTGTTGAAGTCCGGCGAGTCCTTTGTGCGAGAAAGGATGTAGTCCACCGAGGCGGCGTAGCCAGGCAGACCGAACGCACGATTGTTACCATTGGCCTTTGCAATTTCATCGAGCTTCTCAAGATTTCCCCACAATCTGGGGCTTGTCAGTCTTCCGCTTTGGGATCCCGAGTAGGAATATCTGGTGGAGCGATCTCTTACCCTTCTGTGGTGACTAGTCTCTGCAATGCCTTTGACTCGACAAGAGGTTTGTAGTTCTTATTCGTCTCGGGAAGAGCGCCTGCGATTGACTGTGCTGCACCCGCCAGGATGAGTCCCGAGGCAAGTTGGGACTTCATTTTCGGCCCTACGAGACGCAAGAGTATAAGTGAGATGGGTGGAGGAGAGCGCCCGATCGGTTTCAAGACTGTTGGATCTACGACTGATATCGGGGCCTAAAGGCAGGGACAGATAAAGTGCAACCCTACGTTATATAGTGTTTTCCAATCTACCACCACACCAGAACGGATGGTCGGTATTGCCGCAGCCGTACACATGCATCCAAGTACATTGTCCCTTGTAAGCACATCATCATCTACGTTTATTTCAGCCGTATCCACCTCCTCAGTTATCGTGCTACGGGATGGACATTTTACCCAGAAATGCAGGTCCAAGATGAGTGATGGGAAGGTCGCGCTTGCCACCTTCTCGATATAGCATGGATCTCCACCTTGGCGCGTTGGAGAGCCTTGCTTTCTTTGCGAAAACGCAGTACATAGCTTCTGCTCCGGAACAAAAGATGCACAAATCGATCTGCGGTTGCCACATGAGGATAAGTCTTATATCAAACCCGCCAAAGATATAGACGGGAATGACGCGCCAGCGAGATAAATCAGTTTGGCCAAGGTAATACCTCTTGGCTCCGCTCCATACATGGATTGCCATTGCTGCTTGCTTCGATCAGAGTTGCTTCGAGCTCATCGTTGTGATTTACATGTTGGGTTGGAATAACACTGTGTTGAACATTGCACCCCCATTCGGTTCTCGTGATTGGAATAGCGATCTTTTGGGATGCACACTTGGGAGCAAGACAGCAAAACACATCCTCAGATACCAATGGCCAGTGAAAATTGGAAAACAGTCGATTGGAAGTATCAGGTATGGTGCACTTGCGATTCGTGATTCAAGTGCGAGGAGTAAGTGAACCAAGCTGGCCGGCCAGGCTGGTTTGGTCTTGTTGAAACAGGTGTTATACAGATTATAGAACGATTCTGAACAGTGAGCATCGGTCACCTCCAAAGATCTAATAGAACTTTGCGCCCTGAAATGTTTCCACTTTCGCGATGCCATCGTCCATCGGTCTTTCTCCCTTCGCAGTTTGGTCGACAGTCTCGGATTCGGTAGTGGTGGCTGCAGCAGCTCCATTGCTTTCCTCGAGAGCAGCCTGGGCCCTGAGGTGTTTTCTTCTCTTCTTGCTCCTGAATAGCACTTCCTCGTCTCCAATCTCCTTCAAAACTTCCTCCCATTCCCTCTCCATCGCCTTATCCCCAGTCCCAAGCACCTTTTCCACATCCACATCCTCTCCACTCCGGACTTTCTCGATGACTTCACGGAGGAGACCTATCTGTGCCTCGGCCTTTCTTGTGAATCGCTCCCGATCGCGCTTTAGCCACAGTATCTGGATGGCTTGGGAGCCGACCAAAAGTCCTAACACCATGTATGGGGTGGCTGGATTCCATTCTTTTCGTAGGTCTGGGGAGGGTTGGGAAAGAGGGTTATGGCGAAATGACTTCGGCACCATGGACGCCCAGAACGAAGGTGTTATCACTCGAGGTATTGAAAGACTTCGAATCTGTAGATTTACTGGGCACACTGCGGAAGTTGGGAGGAGCGTGACGGTGGGTGTTTGAGGCCGTGAAGCGGAGAAGAGAAGACTAATGGAATGCTGCGGTACACGCAGTAGCTGGCGGAAAATCAATCTGGTGTCCATGATCGCGCGACAGAAGTTTGATGGACGTATGTACAAAGGCCGATCCACGGACGTGATATTTTTGGGTTTGCCTCGGAGTGATATCGATAAGCCTTGGCGTGCCGTAAGACTTCTGGTACGGAATCTGGACGCCGCTACAAGTACGGGTAACTTAAGGTATGTACTCCTACATGCTGATCTACATGCGAGGTGTGTGTTACGATGATGCAGAGCTGAGGTCTGCGCATGCGATAGACTCTTAAAGGGCTACATGGCATGCTGAAGGATGTACATACATTGAAATAAGGGTGTAGATACGTCATGGTCTCCTAATCATGTCCTCTTAGCAGAACAAGAGGCATCCATTCAGTGAACACTCATAGGTTTCTCTATCATCTATGGATTTCCCATGCCGGATATAATGCTCTCCCTTGGTGAATAAAAAAAAAGGTCACAATTTAGCTCCCAGATTTGCTTTGCCGTGATCGCAGGTATAACACACTTTACCATCCGCATTTCGGATAACACCGACCGTCAGTCCCATGTTCTTTCCCAGGTGCACGACTTCACTCTCGATGAATATCTTCTCTCCTTCTGCGACCGGCCTTAGATAAGTACAGGTTAGGTTTCGGCTTACATGTCCGCCGTCCCAGAAGCCTTCCTTTGAGCACGCAGCTATACTCATGGACGTGCACATGTCGAAAATGAGAGCAACGGCTCCACCGTGCAAATTTCCAGACATGTTGCAGAGCTGGCGAGGGACTGTGAGGGTGAAGACCGTTGTACCATGATGTGGATGGGAGACAGTCGGAGAGGACTCAGCAGATTCGAGAGTCAGCAGTGGCAGAAGTGGTGAATCATGGGTCTGTATATGTCTTCAATCGAGGCGTCCAGATTTTAGGGGGATTACAATGTAGAATCTTACGTCGTTGCTATATTCTCGAGCAAGGTTGAACCATTTGTTGACTCGATCAAATGCGGTATCATCCGCGGTTGCTACTTGAGGGAATCGCTTCCAGGGGGGTCCAGACATTGCGAAAACGATATAGTTTCTGGAGTGCGATTACAATGCGTATCTGTGCGAGGTTTCCCGAGCGTCGAGCTTTAATAAAATGAAAAGTTGAACGGGGAATGCTGCTATGGTTGTGTTATAGTTGAAGTTGTTGTTGATATGTTTCCATGGATCCTGTCTGGACCTCGGCACATGGGATGGGATGGGATATACCCGCGCACAGTAACGCAACCATTCCTAATCCTAGTTACAAGAAATTAATTGATTGGTTAATTGAAACAGACAGTAGCCTACATCGTAATTAAGTAGACACAGACAAGGTAATATATGTCGTACTCACAGTTTCAGTGAGGCGTTCGATTGTGGCGTAAACAAGGTGTGGCTGGATCCGATGTCATCAATCCATAGAAATGCCAAGGGTTCAAAGTGGGAAAGGCGCGAGTCCATCGAATCACCACAGCTACAGCCAACGTCCCGTCGTCTCTCCAGTCAATCAGTCAGTCAGTGCAATCCGAAGCTCTAAGACCTACTTTGGTACTCCGCCTTCGACGCAATGGATCTCGGTGACGAAGGAAGCTCCCCATGGGGTGGTAAGTTTATTCGACAATGTTCTCGTTGAGCGACCCACCGTCTTGCTAATTGCTGTCTTCTAGATGTACCTTCGAGGTCAAGCCCGTCGCAAAACCCTCCACGAACAGCTCCCGACGATGCCGCTGCACCTGGTATGCAGACTTTCCCAACAACACGGCTATATAGGCGTCGCCAGCTAATAATTGTGTACAGACACACTCGCCCCCCCGAAGGCTACCGCAAGCTCTGCTACCAATATATCTGCCGCTCCGCGATCGCCAGCCGGCCGAGGACCTCGTCGACGACAATATGGCGCGCAGCCCACCCGTATGGAAGCCGTCGACGATCCATTGGGTCCTTTGGGGGCAGCTACACCCCCTCCGGGACCAGAGGCACCGCCAGCCCCTCCTCAGAAGGAAACCGGGAACCAGCGCAACCAGCGCCCCTCGACTGCTGCCTCAGCATCATCAATCCGGGGTATGATGGATTCGGTGAACCTTGACGATGACGAAGAGGGTGACTCTAGAGAAGCCGACGGGCCTCGGATTCCTCCTCCCGTCCAACCACCAAGCAATGCGCCACCCCAACGACACGCCCAGCCCAGTATGAGCGTGGAGCAAGCGTCGAAACCATCGTTCTCTATCAGCGTGGGAGATCCACACAAGGTGGGCGACTTGACCAGCTCGCACACCGAATACGCAGTGTTCACCAAGGTTAGTATATTCCCAGTATTCATCGCAAGTGCTGCTTAGTTGACTGGGGGTAAACCTTAGACTAGCTCCAAAGCCTATCGGAAACCAGACTTTACCGTATCCCGCCGTTATCGCGATTTCTTGTGGTTATACAATCAATTGCACAACAACAACCCAGGTGTAATTATTCCGCCACCTCCGGAGAAACAAGCTGTTGGCCGTTTTGATGTCGACTTCGTTGAATCAAGACGAGCAGCGCTAGAGCGCATGTTGAACAAGATCACGGCACATCCCCAGCTACAACAGGATGGAGATCTCAAAATCTTCCTAGAGAGTGAGGCGTTCAGTTTGGATATCAAAAACAAAGAGCGCAAGGACCCTGGTCTTGGCGAGAGCAAAGGCATGTTTGGTTCCATGCTTGGAGGGTCGTCTGGAAAGTTCATTGAGCATGACGATGTAAGACCACCCCAGTTCACATAATGTCCAAGGATCAAGGCTGACTTCTAAAGTGGTTCCATGACCGAAAAGTCTATCTTGATGCGTTAGAGAATCAGCTCAAAGCCCTCTTAAAGGCCACCGATCTTGTTGTAGCGCAACGCAAAGGACTCGCCGAGTCCTGTGGCGATTTCTCCGCTTCCCTGCATTCACTCGCCGCCGTCGAACTCTCGCCAGCTCTGTCCGACCCACTCGACAGCTTATCAGACGTGCAGATTCGTATCAAGGAGCTTTATGAACGCCAAGCCCAGCAGGACGTCCTCACATTCGGCATAGTCATCGATGAGTACATACGCTTGATTGGCTCTGTTAAGACAGCTTTCTTGCAGCGTCAGAAATCCTACCATGCATGGCACGCCGCCGAGTCCGAGCTACAGAAGCGCAAAGCGACGCAGGACAAACTACTTCGACAAGGAAGGTCTCAGCAGGACAGGTTGAATCAGCTCAGCGCCGATGTGGCAGATGCAGAGAGGAAGGTGCACCAGACAAGACTTCTATTCGACGATATGGGCCGGCTGATGAGGGCTGAGTTGGAGAGGTTTGAGCGAGAAAAGGTGGAAGATTTCAAATCTGGGGTTGAGACATACCTTGAAAGTGCAGTGGAGGCACAGAAAGAGGTTCGAACTCCCGTGCCGATTATGCAGCGCAATTCAGCTAACTTGGAAACAGCTTATCGAAATCTGGGAGACTTTTCTCATGCAACTCGATACCGAGGACGGTGAAACATTCATTCCACCTGCCGGTGTTGTCGTTGCACCCCTGGCGGAAGATTCAGCTTCCCAGGGCGAGCGCCCAAGCAGCCAAGGTTCGGAAGGCATTGACTCTAGGCCCACAAGGTCAACTGGGGAGATAGAGGATTGATAGATATTGTTTTGCGGGTAACTAGTTGTTCTGGTCCCACTAATGGAGGCCCATTTTGATTGATGTGCGATAACCCACCTTGTTCTACATCATTTAATTACCCCACTCGCGAGATGGCTACACAAGTAACTTCATGCCTTCAAATTATTACACACTGGCTTGACCCTACTAGTACCGGACAATCGTCACGTTTCAGACGTAACTGAGCTCTTTATAACACCTGTGAGATACCAGGTATGTTGTCGTGTACATTTGCCCACTTAATAATTGGTGAAGGCATGGCCTGAATCATCAAGGCTCAGCATCAGCCATATCACTCTTGAATCTCTCAATAGCTCTCTGCTTTGTCTCTTTCCAATTGACGTGTGGCTTTGGGTATCCCAGTTTGTCAAATTCTTCTTTACTCAATCGGTCGTACGGCGCAAAAATGGCTTTTCCATGGACTTCTTTCAGCTCAGGGACCCCTTGCATGAATGTAAGGATCAGCATTGTCTTTCTATGCTTCGTGGAACGGGGCGCAAAGGACATGATGACTCACATTTGCGGATATAGTCTCCGTCTGGATCATTGCGCTCCGCCTGGGACACCGGATTGAAAACCGTGTATGAAGGCTCCCATCCTTGAGTGTTGTTTGAAAGATCCCAATCGATGAGTGTCTCTGCAAAGTATCGCTCGCCCCTACGATAATCGAGGAGCAAGTTGCAGTACAAGTAGGACGAGACATTCATCCGAAGACGGTTGTGCATGTAGGCTTCGGCGTTGAGCTGCCGCATACCCGCGTCTATGAAAGGCTCGCCGGTCGTGCCATTGATCCATTTCTTCCACCCTTCTTCGTCGTCTTCCCAATGGACAAAATCAAATTTCAAATTCTGGGGCAGATTCATGGCGGTGTGCGGAGTGGTGAGAGTGGTTTGGCGGTAGAGTTCGCGGAAGACGATTTCACGAACCCAACTGTAGACGCCTGCTTTGGCATTGGATTCACTGAAATCTGCACTTGCATCATTGTGGTCCCTAACCTTGCCAAGGGCTTCACGGATGGAGACCTGTCCACTTGAGAAATATGCAGACATGCGAGAGGTGCTGTCCTTGGCCGGATTCGAACGTGTCGCTGCGTACTTGTGGATTTGTTTGATGAAGGACTCCATTCGCTTCAAACCGGCGTCGTGGCCCGCTGGCCAGAGGCTCCGTATCCTCGATCGTTCTTTCTCAGAAGGGAACTCCTTATCTTTGGAAGGTTTTGGAAGCGGCGATGCAAAGAGGGACTTCAGTTCCTTTTCAAATTTGGCGTCGTTCTTTTGCGGATCAGGAACGACGTCGAGAAGTTCTGGATTTTCCCTGACGTATGAGAGCCACATTTTGTGGTAGGGCGTGAATACCTTCATCGGCTTCCCTGAGCTGGTGTTAAACGTGCCAGGCTCAACAATGGTCTGATCGTGGAACAAGGAGACCTGAACGGCAGAACCCGAAGCTTGGACGGCTTTGATGTCGCGATGTATCTCATCTACCTCATACTCGTAATTTGCGAATACATGGGAAACGCCTTGCTCCTTGATGAAATCGAGGATGACTGGCACATAGTCCTGCCGTTTCTCGGCATTTAGGAAGACGAGGGGTATGTGAAGAGACTCGAGGTCCTTTTGCATGATCCTGAGCGCTTCCAACATAAAGTCTACCCGTGCGGGGCTTGTCCCATGCCACGACTCTTCGGCGATGCAGTACACGTAGACACAGATTAACGGCGCCTTTGACTTTTTCGCTAGCTCCGAGGCGTGGTGTAGAGCCATATTATCCTGATATCGAAGATCTTTCCCTCGGAACCAGTGAACAACCTTTCGAACATCTTTGATCTCGTCCTGGGATTCGAGAGCAGAAAGTAGGTGATCGTAAGGGAGATCTTCGTCAACCTGTTTGGCGCGCTTCGTCGTGGGGTGGCCTAGGTGAGTGGTTGTTAGCTGATGCGAACTGATAGCATGCCTGAATTGAACAGTGTTGCTGACCGAGCTCAGAGCGAGAATATGCAGTTCGCTTGGACATGGCGGCCGCTGCGTACTGTCGGAAATTCGTAGGACGATGAGTGCTACGCGATAATCCCTTCGGAGGAATTACACTATCTGCTCCTATAGTGAATGGATTGTAGATCGTAGTGCAATCCAGGTGAGCTAAAGGCCTGCTGAGTATGTGTCTACAAGAGAAGAGAAGTGGACGTGCAATTGACATAAACGTAGATTAGTACACAATAACAGGAAGGAGGAAGTGGAATGCGAGGCACTGGAGAATGTTGGTTTATTGTATGTCTAAAAATCTACGAGTTCTGGTTAGTTACCTCATAATGAGTAGGTAGGTATACCTTAGGTTCCTAGGTACATAGGCAATTGCTGATGTTGGGGTACAATGGTGACGTCTTTCGTGCGCGATTGGGTCAGACTAAACCTAACATGGGCACACCTTGATGGATGGCAACGGTCGTTAGAGTCAGTGATATGCCCAAGATCGGGAAGAACACCAAATCATCCGAATAGATACAGCTAGAGAATCTCCCGAGCCCATGGTATCGGTTTCTGTCATCTCCAGGGTTGTAGCTCTCATGGGAATGCTGCTTGCATTCGAATGCCTTTGTTACTTCCTCTAGTGCCCGGAATCGCGCCGAGCTCTTCGCAGGTCAGATGAACCAGGAATCAGTAGGAAGCTTGATACAACGACACTGCACATATGAAGAAGTTTCTACATGATGTCTTACGCCGTAGTGATCATATTGATTCACGAATCCGGCATGTGGAGCTGAAGTATCGAACAAATAAACCCATCGTGTACGGGTACGTCCACCCACCTTTAATGAGTTAGCTGTGCGAATTTTCAGTACTCATTTCTGCTCATGTGCCAGTAGGTCAGGACTTGCAGGAGGAGGAATAATTAGGGAAAGATACATACTCTCCCACTGATAGTTCGAAGCATACAGTGATCTACACACCCTGGAAACCCTCGGCAGGTTGGTGTAAAGCTTTCTGGTGTGCAGCATAAGGCGCATACATACTTCTACATGGTATGTATGTATACTCCCACACACCGAACCAAGTAGCTGGGCTGATCCGTTGTTGGCGAAGAGCCCCATATCATTAATAGCCGGGTACCTGGATCGAAAGGTCACAGCTGGGCTAAGACCAGCCAGTAGATGGAATAGACCCTCCAAGGATCTAGAGACCGTGCATTGCGTGAAAAGATTTTATCAAGTTCCTACACGGTACAGAAAATTTACACCTTTAGTTGAAAACTTGAAGGCACGGCGTGCACCACTCGCGGCTTTGCCATGTTGTTCTAGTCCTTGAAAGAGGAAGAAAAGTCCAATGCACTATACAACGATCGGTGATTCCGAGAAAGGCTTTCCTTTCGACTGTCGTTCGAGGCATTCAATGTGGACAAAATGGACCAATGAGAGTGCGACTCAAGAGAACATGTACAAACTTATTCAGAAGACACGAGATGCGCAGTACATGTGGTAAGGAAAATGGACCGTAGTGATTGGAAGGATTGAGCACGTGTGAATTGTGGGAGGGTCTGGTGTTGGGGTTGTAATACGAATCGATGAAGATGAATGCATAAGGCGATGCCCTAGTTTGATCAACCGAGGGATACGGACTAGTTAGGAAGAGTAGAGCGTGAAAGTAAGTTCATTACGAGTAAGATGCAGCATGCCATGCTCCGTACTGTCACTTGTGAACAGTCCAAAGTATGTATTCGTAGCATAACTGTATCTACTGTCTACTGTCCAGGTAATTGCCTGATAAAGGATAACAACCTCCCGATCCCGCCTCCCCAATCAGGTTAGATGGGATGATGGGGTAATGATCAAAAGCAGTTAGTGGCCGCGGGACCATCGCATCGAGGATTCCCCAACATCCCAAATGCCATCCATGCCATCCAATCAGAGGACGCCCTTCATTCACGTTCACGCCAAGCATCAACCTCAACCCTCGCACCCACTTACCCGCCATCATTCCAAAGCAAAAAGTCTCGGTCATCTCACACTCGTCACATCAATTCAACTCAATTTTAATTAATTTCATGGCTTGTGAGATTATCATCGTCGCTCCAGTGATGAGTACTCGACCTTCCTGATCTTTTCCGTCATACAATCATTCACTGAAGGTACAGAGTACTAAGTACCAGCTACCGGTGATCATGACTAGATCCGATGCTCCCATCAGTCATTTCTTGTCTGTGTGTGTACATATGATCTATCTACCTACCGTGTATGTGATTGTACACACCTAGGTATGGATGTATGCTCTGTGAACAGTAATATTGCCGAACAGACAATAACTAGAGTCAGCGCATAACGAACCGTATGTATATCCTTAATCCGTTCCTTACAAGTACCTGTAGCTACCCTGGCACCCTGGACGTTCTAGCGATGCCTCTAGCGATTTTCTTCAAGCTCTCCAAGCTCTCCAAGCTCTCGCCCATAAGCAAGTGACAGCTCTGCAATCTACCACGAGGAGAGCTAACTGTCTTCACAGCCAATCTCGTGTCCACAACGACTCTTGTCTCCCACGTCGGCGGCGTCCCATCCTAAATGGATTCCTTCTCTTACAGCAAGATGGTGGACGTTTAGTGGCACGCCCGCCCCCGCCCCGAACTTTAGATAGACTAGGTCCTACGAGTGCACTAACTACGAGTAGTACGAGTAGGCAAAGTACGTTCTACAGCATACATTCAGTACGTTCTCTACTTGCCATTTGCCATTAGTGCATCATCATGATGCCTTGTATCCGCATCTTCCAGGGCCCTGGTCTACCCTTTTTTTCCCTTGGTTCGCATGGTTTGCCTGGCCCGCGTGGCGTGGCGTGGTGTGCCTGCACTAATCAAAGCTCACCCGTCTAAGCTCGACCGTCAATCCCTGGTGGTTGGGGGAGCTTCGTGCATGATGCAGCTATCCAGATTATTTTATAAAAGACTCCCCGTACGCTTTGCAAATTCCTACCGCGTCGTGAGATCTTTCATCCTCCTGAAGTCCCCAAAAGCCCACAGAGGTCCAAAATCAAAATGAGGTGCTCCATACAGTCAATTGGTCTCGCAGCTGCTCTGCTTGCGAGCGCTGTATCTGCTCAGACCTTCCAACGCCTGGGAACGTGTCCTACACTGGGTAAGTCCATTGCATTGCCAACCCTGGGCCTCCGTAACCCGGGCCAAACGAATTTTGAAAGATTGGTGCAATTGCTAACGGTTTTTGTCAGGATGCGTCTTTCCCCCCGATCAGTAAGCTGAAGCCATTCGCAACCACCACACGAGGCAACCTCTTGTACTTACGTATCCAATCTAGGGCCGACTTCTTGGCTGGGCAGTACTTCGACATCCGTCTGGAGGTTCACGCCCCCAAGAACGGTTCGGAGGCCATTGGCCTGCCTCCGGATGAGAAGTTTACCTTCACCATTGCTCGTGGAAATGAGACTGCAAAGCCAGTGACTGAGTTCTTCAAACTCGAAGAGCCAAAGCTGGAGAAGTGGAACTTCACTTGGTACGAGGGTACGTTGAACTGTCTATAGGGTCCCACCGAGACTTTGGAATGCTAACATTGCGCAGATCTCTTCGCCAAGGATGCAAAGCAGCCTTCCGTTGTCGATGTGACGTCGAAGGCATACCGACGGGTTGCTCTCTACGAGCCTGGTGGTAGGATAACCCACGCACTCGCACGCGATGCAAGGAATTGCAAGCTAACAAGCGCCCCGTAGAGTACACGGCAACCCTCAGCTACAACAATGGCAGCACCACCACGGCCACCTGGCTGGTGCGTGACCTGGTTGAGGAGCGCAAGGCGAAGAATATAATCTTCTTCATCGGCGACGGCATGACCACCAACATGATCACAGCGGCACGCTTGATCGGACACAAGACCATCAATGGAAAGTACCAGAGTCTCATGCAGCTGGACAAATTCCCCGTCCTTGGTCACCAGATGACGCACTCCATCGACAGCTTCATCACCGATTCGGCGAACTCGGCCTCTGCCCTGTACACTGGACACAAGAGCTCGGTCAATGCTCTCGGAGTCTACGCAGATTCCAGCAAGAACCCCTTCGATGACCCTAAGGTTGAGACCATCGCTGAGATCTTCCACCGCCTCACTGGTGGCCTCGTCGGTATTGTCTCCACTGCCTTCATCGCAGATGCCACGCCCGCTGCTTTGACCGCCCACACGCGTGACCGCAACCAGTACGGCCACGTCGTTGATACCTTCTTGAACGGAATTACCAACTACACTTGGACTAAGTGGGACGGACCCGACGTTCTCTTCGGAGGAGGTGCCGAGCAGTTCTATAACTCTACCTTGGGCGGCAAAACCTACCAAGACAAGGACTACTACGAGGAGTTTGCCAAGAAGGGTTACAAGATTGTCCTCAACAACACCCAGCTTCAGGCTGCCAGCTCCAACGAGAAGACCCTTGGTATCTTCTCCACGTCCGTCATGTCCAAGTGGCTTGATCGCAACGTCTACAAGGTCAACCTTAACCAGACCCTTTCCCCCACCGGCGACAAGACCGCTGCACTCGACCAGCCCGGTCTCAAGGAGATGACCCTCAAGGCCATCGACATTCTGCACAACCGTGCCGGTGACAAGGGATTCTTCCTCATGTCAGAGGCTGCCTCCATCGACAAGATGATGCACGTTCTAGACTACGACCGTGCTCTTGGTGAGTTGCTGGAGCTGGACGACACGGTGAAGGCGACCGTCAAGAAGATCCAGGATCTAGGCTGCGAGAAGGAGACCCTTATTCTCGTCTCATCCGATCATGGCCACGGCTTTGACGTGATGGGATCTGTTGATACGAAATACTTCGCCGCACAGAAAGAGGACCGCAAGAAACGTAACGCCGTGGGTGTATACCAGAATTCTGGTCTCTCACAGTACACCAACACCGGAAACCTGACCTACACCGACTCCAACTTCCCCTCCAACTGGAGCCCCCGCTACACTCTGTTCCAGGGTCTCATGGCTGATCCTGATCGCCGTGAGACCTGGAGCGTCCACAAGGACGGCCCAAGGAAGCCTGCGGCCGAGCTTGTGAAGGACTCTGGTGACGTCTATGTCAATCCCAAGGATGGCCAGGGTGGTCTTTTGCTCAACGGCACGCTTCCCCTCTCTGATGAACAGGGAGTCCACTCTCTGACAGATGTTGCCGTCTTTGCCCAGGGTCCCTGCCAGGAGACATTTGGTGGTGTGTACAACAGCATCGACATCTTCTTCAAGATGGCAGAGTGCTTCGGTCTTGCAAGAGGTAAAGCATAGACCAATTAAATGTTCTCGGGCGGGCTGCGTGCCTTGTGATGGCAACGAAATGATGAACCTGGAGTTAGAATAGAACGCATAATTGTATATACATGTAATGTGACGAAGCAGCAATTTTTAATGTTATTATATATCTACCGCATGTAATTATTCGTTCCCGCATGTCATTGTGAAATGAAATCGTTTTGTATGGCTGAAGAGAGCTGGACGCCAAATCGCGCCTTCTGTCGGTTCCCACGACTACTATACTTCACGGTTCTACTCTGAAACATTCTACTGGCAGGTTCATATCTTAATTTCTGCAATACCTCTTACAACCATATGTATATTGTGTCAAGTGATACGTGAGGGCTCGAGCAAGAACATTTTGTACACCGCGTTCTTCGCGAAGTGCTGCACCCCTTTGGACAGTTCGAATTTGCAAAATATTGAACCTAATGAACAAATTACAGCTGAAGGGGAAGAGAAGGAATACCACAACCCCCACCGGTCTTGAATGTAAATAATGGACCATGTCCTACCAAATTTGCTATAGACATACAGGATACGATACAGCCGTCATTCATTCCAAGTCCACAAACCCAATTGTCAACTGCTGACCACTCCGCAATGAGGCGTTTGACTCGAAAGATATTTGTACGGCTACTGCACTACTGCTAGAAACTGCAGTCTATACTTGTCTTCCAACTAGGCAATCTTCGATCACATTTACATCTTCGCATCGGCTTTCGTTCCAACACCCGCTCTCCACTCTTTATCTGGGGGTGTAAGTTGAAAAGAGCGCCTTAGTCTCCACCTATTGTACCACTCCACAAGTTTCGGCCTTCTTTCGCTCCATGCGATACTCATCTGATCCAGCATGCCAATCGCCACGAGGACGGAGACTTCGTCCATATTGGCGCGGCCACTGGGCGGGTCACCCAGCACTCCTTCCATAACTGCTTTTTCCAATCGATCCAATCCACGCTGTATTTTCAGCAATTGGCCTTCGAGCCACACATCCAATTTAACACCCCTCTCCTCTCTGATCCTATGCTCATACACAATGAGAACAGCCGCATCCATGATGCCGTCTGCGCAGGCATGCAATGCTCGCTGTTGGAAATATCTCGTGTCCTTCTTCCTCTTCACATCTATGAGATCGTCAAGATATTCGCATATAACTCTACTATCGAAGATACCGTCAGGCACATCCGCGGTAACAAGGCATGGTATCTTTGCCAAGGGGTTGAACGCTGCGACTTCCTCATTGTTGTCGGACCAACCAGGATAGGGAATCGGACAGACAACGACTTTGTGAAGAGTAATGTGGCTTTCTAGTCCATATTCCAGAGCAAGCATAAACACCTTTCTTGTGTATGGAGAGGCGTGATGGTAGAAGAGTTTCATCGGAGGGATCTTCTTTCCTTCTGCCAGAGGGACAGGAGACTTGACTTGTGGAGGAATGACCCTGGAGATTTGGAAGTTCCAGCGCGGAAAGTGCACCTGGTACCCCTTGGAATTTCGGATAACCACCTCGCTGGTGGTGAGCGCGACGAGACGGCCGCGGTCCTTGTGACTTTGGCCGTAGTCGGACGGGGAGACTTCGACCTCGTCATTCTCTTGAAGACCTAATGCATCGTTTTCGACAATCCCCGCTTTCACGGGGGTCCGGGTCGTCGACATCTGCAGTCTTTCTTCCACCTGTTTTCCATTCAGCCTCTGCGCGATTGCTGATTTCTTCTTTGCTTCCGAGACAGCATTCATGAATCTCTTCACCCATGCGAATGTTCTGGGAAATGCCTCCTCACTTATGCCGCCTCCACGCAGGCTGTCTGTCATTGCAGTGTCCAAGATTAACCATTCGAATGGCCAAATCGCGTCGATATCTGCAACAGTCGGTCCACGGTCCCCAAGAATCCAACGTCTACCATCTTTCAGGAAGGTATTTTCCATGATGTCGAAAGCCTGGCGAAGGTGTTGCAATCCCTGACCCCGCCCCTTCTCCATCAATCCAGATGTCATCCTCATCCCGCCCATCAAGCTAGCTCTGTCGTCAAGAAATTTGCTGTCTTGCAACAGCCCACCAGGCATCCAGTACGGGATGCATTTGACGGCATTTGCAAATATTCCGCCATCAATGGTGTAGTTCTGTAGCAATCTGCGAGTCCCTTCTTCGGAAGGGGTTTTCACTGAGAGGGCACCGCCTGGATAGATAGACTCAAGCGTGTCGATTATTAGACGAGAATCACAATATACATCCCTTCCTATTGCCATGACAGGTATGCGTCTGTACGCGACACCTAAGAGAGATAGGTCGGGGCGAGGCATGTAAGGTGGTTGGATCTAGACATAAGTGAGCTGTTATGTGCCAAAGGTCCTCTAGAAGACTTGGGCACTTCAAACGAGGGAAGTCTGAAGAACGCACGCATTCATCGTAATCAATGTTTCGCAGCCAGAGGTACCATAGTACTCTATGCGAAAAGATTGAAGCTGCATAGTGAAACAAAATAGGTTTATCGGTATTGCCCATAATGTCCCCAGTTGCCAACTTCAAGGTAGTAAATATGCGAGAAGCTTTTCGTCAGACTGTATGGAACGATAGTTGGAACGCACATAACCATGCAGCCAGTCAAAATCGTGTTACTTATAGGAGAATTGCATTTAACCAGACCTACCGTAATCGGCTACACTGAGGATCCTCGTTCGAGGATACCTACCCCACCTTGATCTGCCGGCGATCAATTCTGTATCGACCGGCACGAGTCAAGCGCCGCGCCCGCCCTGATAATGTTCTGGCAATTGCCTTTTCCTTCAGCAATAAATGGAAACATGCCGAAGAAAACGACTGCTTGACACGAGTGTAGCTGGGATCAAAAGTTGGACAAGCTCATTGTGTAGGAATACCACGAGCCACTTGCGAGCAGCTATTACTTGTTCAGCGCAATGCTTCAGTATGTTTATATATAGTACAATAGAATACAGCCATGGAGCCATATCGGACATGCCCATAAGTGAACAATGGAAGGAGGGCTTCAGAAGGGCTAATGGGACTCTACTGTCGGATCTAGATGCTGGGCGCAGGAAGGAAACAAGAGGATATCTGAACAGTCACAAACAAGTCTACAGAGTGCTATGTGCTGTACCCTGATTCGTAGTCGTGTGCTCATCGTCGGTTAGAAGCATCGCCATTTGGCTCAAAGTCTAACTGCATTGTTTGTCAGAAACACCTACAGTAAAAGTAATAGTGGGGTTGCTCTTACCGAATTGCCATTGTAGAGTCTCGAATCTCTCGTGTCGACATCCCTCTGGTCGGCAAGCGTTCGAACCCGAATGCCCGTCGCCGCGGACGCACTTGATGGGTTGGAGGTTTCGGCGCTCTGATCTCCTAAGACCCGTCCAGAGGATGGCTGTTGCGGTGTACCTTGGTTCTGTTCGCCACTTCCGACAACAGAACCTATCATGCCCCCCACATAGCCTGCAGTAGAGCTTGCCAGGCCGAAAATGCTACTGACAAGGCCTGTGACGCCTCCAGCAACACCTCCGATAATGCCACTGTCAGTACCCGTGTATGCATCAGAATAACCCCGGACGGGTATTAGGACTAAAGTGGCACTTGGGGCGAGATCGATATCTCCTAAAGAATCATTTTCGTCTCCAGCAGACAGCTCTCGGCTCGGAAGTGGTGCTTGTATCTGCTTGAAGAAATAGGGCGGGATCTTTTCGTTCGGAGATTCCGTCCTTTCCTTGATCTCACGATCGACCCATGGACGGACCTCAGCCTGCAGCGTGGCCGTCCGTGGGAAAGTCGACCTTATGGTCTTTCCGTCAAATAACCGGACGTTTAAATTCACAATGCTCGCTTGTGATGCATTCCTGCCTGAAGCGATTGGCGATTTCGATTGTATGGTGGAGTTTCCTGTTGACCTTTCGCGCTCCGCCTTGCGGGCCTCCGCCTGTGCCCTGCGCTCCACCTTATCTGCTTCAATGCGGGCCTGTATGCGAGCCAGCTCCTCCTTCTCTTCCTGCTTCTTCTTGCGAAGGGTTTCTCGTGCGCTCGCTTGTGCGGCTTGCGCAGCGGAGACGTTGTGTTCAGGATTACTCGTCGTCGCTCTCTGCTTGCCTTTGGCACTTGTAGTAGCAGCGGGGGGAGGGTGAGGAGGAGATGGTGGTGACGGCGGGGATTCTTGGACAGTCGATCTGGTGTTCGGAGCGTCGAGAGCTGATGAAGTTGCGGGATCAGCAGGTATAGGTACAGGCGGCGCGCCCAGCGCCGATCTGATCTTGTTTATAAAGAGGTCTTTCGTGACACCAACTGATATTTGTTCCTTCAAGGTACCGTTGCTGTATTGCTGTTAGTAGAGCCATGCTTGCAGGTAGATGTACAAAGCCTACTGTATCACAACCAAAGTGGGCGTACTTGATAGTGGGCAAAAGGCAGAGAGGAAACCAGCTTCGGTGGAACCAGCATCAAGCCGGAGGAGCACAGCCTTTTGCTGGAGAAGGTTGGAAATCTAAAGCTATCAGCCTGAAATGATGCAAAGGGAGTACAACGCATACCTACCCAGCCACTTTGTAGCCAGTCGTCTTCCCACCTAACACTTTCTGGCCCGTCATCTTGAGCGGGAAGTGGGATTAGGATTCGTCGAAGTAAGGGAAAGTTGGCGGGCGTTGCTCACCTCGGACAAAGCATGCAACCAGCTTCTGTTCCTGAATAGCGAGGCCAATGCCGCTTTGGAGAGTTCCCTGATAGAACATAGTGGTCGCGGGCCAGTACCGGTGTACAGGTCGATTGCTGGTATCGATTATACGTATGGAGGATCGTGTTCGTATACCTCGAGAATGGTATCAGAATGGAGTCATTGGACTACTGGATACCTAGGTGGTTACAGAACCGCCGGGTGGAGTAATAAAGTGGAGGGGAGGGATGAAGCTCGGGGCAAGGACAGGAACCCCGGCCCGGGCGTCGTGGCGTCTCAACTCTCAAGCCTTCAGCCTCTTTCTCCCCACTCGTACTTTAGGTAAGGTAACTAATATCTCTTGTCCGTATGCACATATGTACCTCGTAGTTACTACATACATACATAGGTACAAACCCTTTCACCTACCTACAAGGCATATGTAGCGTATTCATCTCGACGTGCCCGCATGACCGCTTCTCTCATCGTTCATTACATACTGCAACACAATATACACCACATACGTAACAGACCAATCATTGTATCAACCATACTACTCCATACACCCTAATGCTACACCGTGAGCAAGGGACGTTCCTTGTACGGCTTGACCGACCTATCCAGAGAGGCGTGCTGCAAACGCGCGATTACTGCGCGTTGCTGGGGATTCAGCTTATAGGATAACTAAGATCGAATTTTATGATATAGAGCGCCACTTCTAATAAGAACGGTGATAGACGAGTGCAAATCGAGTCTTTGCTCACATTGGTCACTGGGTAGTTGGAGTGAAATGGCAAGGGTCAGAAATGGAAATGCTGAAATATACTTAGTTCTCTCCCTAACGAAGTCATCAACGACCAGCATGCGGAAGGAGAGCAAATGGTGTGCTACTTCATTATGCCCGCTATCTACACACAACTGCACAAAATATGAAATGCTTCAATCATGCTGATCCGACGAAAAGAGGCTCCAAATGCAGAAATGATGTAAACCCGACTCCTATAATGGACCCGCCGCGCGAGTCTCTTGGTGTACCCTCCCCTTCAGAATAGCCATGTGACATGGGGTCGTGCAAAGGAAGGTGTGCATACAAAATCTCATCAAGAGATGCCTTCCAAGCCCTTCCTGTATATCGTCGCTACCCCCCAGCATTCAATCGTCGATTTATGTTCCGGTTCCGCGATGGTATTCTCATTATTCCGACCGGTGGCGCACTATCCGAGGTGCGAGAAAAGCCTCCTGCTTATAGTATGACACATTTCTTGTCCTTCTTGTTTCCCCTGGGTTGTTGAGGGCGTGGGCTGAGGACAGCACTTTTGGGGATGCGTTAGCACGAAATGTAAAAAGTGATTGCAAGCACTAGGAAATAACATACCGGATCGCTTCGTCAAACACGCTCTTAAGATTTCGCTGTGTCAGTGCAGAGCACTCGAGATATTTCTGTGCCTTTATTTCCTTGGCCACCATCACCGCCTGCTCGTACTGGATAGGGGCCATCTTTTTCTGCCTCAAGCTTTCCTTTGTGCCTTCGTCATCGCGCAAATCCAACTTCGTTCCAACGAGGATGATAGGCACGCCGGGGGCATGATGGTCGATCTCGGGGTACCACTACGGCACGGAAAAGTCAGTTCATGCTGGGTGGCCACAGGAGACGTGTTGCGCGTACCTTTGCCTTGACGTTGTCGAAAGACGGAGGGCTGACGATGGAGAAACAGATGAGGAAAACGTCTGTTTGCGGGTATGATAGCGGGCGGAGCCTGTCATAATCTTCTTGGCCGGCGGTGTCCCAAAGTCCCAAGCTTATGGGTTTCCCGTCGACCATCACGTTCGCCGAGTAGTTGTCAAACCTGATGGGACGATTAGTCTCAGGGGAGGGTTGAGATTCGATTGACCGTGTCGTGGAAGGCATCGTGTCGGCGGCGGCGAACTTACACGGTCGGGATGTACTCGCCGGGGAAGGCATTTGTTGTGTAGGAGATCAGAAGGCATGTCTATGATGGTGAGGTTAGCTCATGGTGCCTCCCATTCTAGTACAGATACAACGCGCAAGGACAGGAAGAAGGAAGGAGCAGAGAGGAAGAGATGGGAGGGAAGGAAGAGGTAGGAGATAGGATGAAGAGATGCTTACCTTGCCTACAGCACCATCACCGGTCACGACACACTGTCGAATGTTAGCCAGAAAGTTTGACTGATAGCGCTATGTGATACAATGTCGCACCTTGAGGGACTGAGTTGTCGGTGCAGCCATCGTGGAGGTGGCTGATAAAGTTGGGAGCTGGGCCTCTCCCTAGGAATGAATTCTCGATTTTCGAGTCTCTATAGGGACTGGAGCCTTGGGTGCTTGGATGGCGGTCGGACGTTGGGATGGAGAGAGAAAGAGAGGTGTAGAAGAAGAAGAAGGAGGAGAGGAGGACTTGGAAGTGTAAGGGTAGGTACGAGTAGGTTGTGGTTGGTGTTGTTGTGACTCGAGGGCAGCGAAGAGGCACGAGCAGGAGCCGAGTAGTATTGGATCGGATAACAAGTAGGTGATAGGTGATAGACTATCTCGAGGGTAGTAGGTGGTAGGTAGAGGTAGGTAGTATGTAGTAAGTGTACGAGTAGCAGTAAGGACTTGGGGGAGGGAGGGGGGAGGCGGGCGCAGAGAAGGTAAATGGTGGGCCGTCGGTGTTAGATAGGCGGTGGACGGTGGGCGGTGGCTGGGCAGATGGTGAACGATGCGCGCGCTCTCGCGTTGGATTGGGGGAAGAGAATAGCAAGCTAGCGAGAATGGAGGTGAAGCTGCCAGTATTACAAGTTCAAGTAGTCTCGTCTTGTCTCGTCTTGTTTCGGACTCGAGGTTGATCGTAAAACAGAAGAGAATGGCCAGGAAGTACGTAGGTAACTCCTGGCTGTGATTGATATGTTCAAGTTGTGTACGGAGTATCTACCTAGATACCTAGGTACTTGATGTACTCTAATGCATATGCGCATATACACACCGCTTGTGAGAGGAAATGGCACTAATACAAAGCGACTCGAGAGGAGGAGGATGGAGAAGTATTGTACGGAGTAGTATGTATGTATTGTTATATTATTATTCCTATTGTCATTGTTGCTAATACTACTACTGCTGCAGCAGCTGCAACACTAGTCGGTGACGATGAATAATGATAATAGTGGTAATAGTAAAGTGGACTGTGGTGGTGAGTGCAAGAGGTTGGTGTGTTCGTATGTACTGTGTACGGAGTGTACCTAGGTACCTAGGAACCTAACCTATCCTAGTGGATTGTGCAAGACGAACGGAGTATGAAGATGCCGGGCGGGAGAATAGGAGGAGAGAAGTGATCATTAGTGTGTAAGTGGAAAAAGGTGTACGGGAAGGGTGGATGAATGGATGAATAGACTTGGTAACGGTGATGGTGAAGGTGATTGATGGTGATGGTGATGGTGATGGTGATGGTGAGAGTTAGTGTGTATGTGGGTGTGCGTGATGGTGCAGGAGTTGGAGGAGTCGCCAGGCGTCGCGGGCGTTACAGGCGTCGCAGATGATGCAGATGACGCAGGTGTATGCAGAGGCGTAGATTCTACCGTTCCCCGATTAGTGGAAGCGAAGAAACCATACAAGTACAATATGTACTTGTAACTACTGGTATGTGCATACAGTGTGCTAGTGATGATTGGAGTCGATAGGCGAATATAAAGCGATTGCTGCTCCGTAGGTCTCTACAATAGATACCTACCTCCATGACCATACATGCACGCACACATAAAAACCTAGGTAGGTACCTAAGTACATACAGTTACTGCTCAAACGTTTAACTGTAGAAATTAGCTAGCCTATGCAAAGGGTGACAGAGACGCTGCTTGCGATATGATTGATATCTACTCCACAGGTAAGAAAACCCAGAGGTCTGGTGCGAGTACACAACTACCTACCTGGGTACGTATGGAGAAGTAGTTTGAAAAGTGTAGCTTGCGTGGCATCATCGTACAAGTAACTACCTACCGTTCATGGTCCTATCAAAGAGAACCGCCATGTGCTCCGTACTCTGTATGTTTACTGAAACAAAAGCTGTCAGATAAGAAAAGATGTATGGTATGACGAGATCGATGATTGATACTCGGATGTATATGATAATTAAATGGTACCACCACATGCCGACCTCAGTTTACAAACCAAATTCGCCCCAAGCTTGCACAGTCCCTCTTCGTAGGTGAAACTGACCAGTTCATTGCAGCTCCTGATAGGTTCATACCGTAGCGTGAACACAAGATACCAATACTTTCATCATCTCCATTCGCATTACGCATCACCTAGGTAGTACTTAATCACTAATCCAAGAGCAGGAATCCAGGCGGCTATTCGAACCATGTATTCGCTTGGCTGGTGGTACTTGTAAACCAACAAAACCGGAAATGTGCCCACCATTCTGTCTCCGTCATTGCAGTTGGGCATGGGCATGTACTGAGAAGATACTGGGAGACCTACACAGTACGCCAAGTAACGGCCGCCCATCGGCAGACCAAAGAGCGATATGATACACACTACAGACATACCCATATATCATATAAATACCTATTAATTATACACAGTATGGAGTATATATCGCCTAAAGTCGATACATACAAATGTACTCCGTAGTTGCTATGACTTCCCTCCTCCTGCGTGATATGGGTGGTGTCATGGCTAGAGGCGAAGATGGTTTGCTTCACAAGAGTTTCAAACCACAAGGGCCCGAGCTTCTTCGGTCGCATCAGCACCTCGATGGTGCCAGGGTTGGGCCAGGGCCGGGGCTAGGGCGAGTACTGGGGTTGGGCCCGTTGGGGTCACAGGCTTAGGCTTAGGCTATAGGACAAGCCACAGGGCACAGGGACAGGCTACGGGAATGCATCGCTACAAAGGTACAGAGGAATCGCAAATCTGTAGGTAGGTCTCCCGGATTCGTATCTATCTAACCAATATGCACCCACTACTTTACCTTGTTATCATCTCATCTCATCTCATAATGGCTAGCTGCCCGCAACCATTGAAGACCACACGTTAAACCCTCCTACTGGTTGAACGTAAGTCCCAACTACCTACTCGTAATAGCGTCACATAGATTGGCATCGTCAATTGCATGTAGCTGTCTGGCTGTGTTGTTGCCGGACCCACCAATGTGGTAATTGTGGTTGATCTTCTTGCATTTCGTCTACCCTGCCATTCCCATTGGTTGCGGTTCCATTATTTTCGGGGTTTCTTTCCCTCGGCAGGCCATGGTCGCCCTGCGCTTCCCTGCTGCTATCATCGCTGCGGCAGAATCGTCCGATAGATGCACGTGTAACTACACAGTACAGTACACGTAGTCTGGCGTCTCCCGTACAATGGTCGATTCTGGCATGATTGCTGCTCGTTGTCGGATTCTCCCGTCTAGTATATTTCTTTCTTCTCCCCTTCGAGTTTGTGATATATGCCAATCCGCGCACAACTGCTGCCACACAACCTTCTCCATACTCGAATAAGAGTCCACCCAAATAGGGACTAACTGTGCAATCTGCGGTTTCTAAGAAGGGGGGATTGGAATGCAAAGCTGCTTGATTAAGATTTTGATGGACGGTCTGCTCAACTTCTAACCCGCCTCTTCAATAGAATACCAACAGGCCGCCTTCATCCACGTTATCGACGCTACGAAGCTCCTGTCGAACCAACAACTGGATCAAAGGCTCCTGAAGCTCCTTCATGTCGAGGATTCCTCTCTTTTTCTGATCAATGTACGAGACGTCTACGACGATACGCTTCAAATTTGCAGTGGACAGGGCCTTTTGTTCGAGAAGTGCGGATAGCCGCTCCGGGGTTCCGACGCCGAAATCGATCCTGGGAAGTGTCAGAAAGTGGGTCTAGATAGTGAGATTACTTGCTCACTTCGATTTATTCAGATGCCCGACTTGCTCAGCTAACTTCATGTGCTTTGCGAAAAGTTTGGCAACACTGGGATTCTTCACGCCTTGTGTCGGGAGGCCAGATCTGAGGCTTCTGAAAACATCTGCTGCTCTAATGCCTGATGCTGTAATGACCAGTGTGTGCGGTGCTCCACAAGGCTTGCTCGGCGTAGGTTTAAGCTCTGGGTCTCGGGATTTCAAGAAAGCTGCGAGGTTGTTCAAAGTGCGTGGTTTGTCCCAGGCGCTCGCGTCCTGTATACTTCGGCCTGCCCGTAGGGTTAGCCTGAACAAAAGGTTACACCATCTGGTAAAAGGCAAGAAATACTGGGTATAAAGCGATCTTCCAGCTCCACGCTGCTGAGATCAGTGCCATATAGGCGCGTCCTGGAGTTGATATAGTCGGCAAGGAGTTGGCTATCCATTCGTTCAAAAGCATGATTGACCCCAAGTTCTTGATCAAGGTCATCATTGTTGATAGCCTTGGCCTTTTGCTTCTTATTTTCTTTCCTGCGCGCCTTCTTTCTCGCCTTTTTGCTTTCGCTGGTAGCATCGGCCTCTCCACCTCTCTTCCTTTTCTTAGAGTCCACATCGGAATCGAACATTGGCTCAATTAGTGGTATTCCCCCATCCTCATCAGAGTCGGACATGATGTGTGTCGTGGAGGCCTGAGGGCGTAGAGCTATTGCGTTGGAAAAAGTACTGGGCTTGATCAAGAAAATTATTATTTAGTTGCACAGTATGGAGATGCACCTTTATCGATATGAACCGGTGCACTATTCCTATCTCGACGTTAGCTTTGACGCGTCCCGCTCTCCGACGCCAACTCCACTACGACTGACTATCTTGCCCCAAACATTCAACATGCAACATTCAACAACAACGTCTAGGTAAACCCCAACTGTAGGCGCACAACAGATGTGAAAGAAATGTCGGGTTCGCCGCGCAAGAAACAGCGAATCGGCGATCGCCGTCTTGGAATTCAAGATGAGTTGCAAGATTCAACCCTCCATGACCATGTGGGTAGCATCCCCAGTCCAAGTGTGCTTGGCTAGTAGCTGACACTGGGGTTTTCGTGACAGTTGCAGCAATTGACAAGTATTCTCCCTAAACCGAGCACCCCATTCCGCCGTGCTTCGAGCGCTGGGCCTCGCCTGACTCCCAGCGACCGACGTACTCCAAATATACCAATTCGCACACCAGGAGCTGCAGCTCGAACGCCACGAGGTGGGCTAGCCTCACGTCCTATATCTGCCCGCCGGGCAGCACCGACTACACCTCATGCCATACGAGCCTTGAGAGAACGTGCGAATGCGGCAAGGACACCAGGACAAAATCGAAGACGGAGCGGCAGGGTTCAACGGGAAACCCCAAGAGATACTCTACGAGATCTCAGCAGAAGTTCGCGCCCTGATGGTATGATGTTTGGCTTTGGCTGATAAAAGCATTAGTTCTTGCGCGCGACACTCGGCCTGTGCGGCCCTCGCCCCCAAATCGAAATACTTCTCGTAACTCTGCTCTCGAACTTGCGGATATCGATGATGGACCTGATCCAATTCCTCCAAGGCTTTCGATGGCTTTGGAGGATATGTATGAGGATGATAGTATTCACGAAATGCCTCCAAGACAATCGCTACTCCCGGACATACCTGCAGACGTGGACAACGGTACGATACAATCTCTTGAGTTTGGGAGACGAGCTGTTAGCGAAGACCCGAGGGCTATGTTTGCTGCGAGAATCAGCGAACGGTTTGCCGATCTACAGGAGCTAGGAATTGAAGAGGAAGAGTACGAACTCGATGGCACCTTCATCAATAGCAGACCCCAATTCGATCCGGACCTCAGTTTACAGGAGGAAATCGAAGAAGAGATGGAAGATACAACTATGGAGGCTCGTGGGCTGGCTGGGATACGTGGCGGACGGCATAGTGATGCCGGCCTAGGCGTGTTCGAACAGGATGAAATACTGGACGAGCCAACCTTTCGCTTCACCATCCCTCAGCGCCTTCGAACACTTGCTCGCGAAGAACAAGTGGAACAAGATCCCACGGTGCAAGGGTTCAGTGAAATTGAGGATAGCATGAACCTAGAGAAGACGCTTCATGGAGGTTCTAGTAATGGAAGCAGCACTGATCATGCTGGCCAACGTTATACAAATGATGAACCGGCCCCTGTGGCCTGGGAATCTGATGAGGAGCTCGACAATGATGCAGACCTACATGCATATCGCGAGGAGGTATCTGCTGTGGACCGTAGTCTTCAAACAGAGTCCCCAGAGCGCCGTCCAGTCGCCGCGGCGCAACACGCGCGTAGACAGCGCCGGGAGGTGAGAATCTCCAAGTTTGGCAATGAGTATGCCTCCTTTCCGGCTCCGACTATCAAGCGCTTGGCAACATCGTTTGCTAAAATCCAAGGTGGACATGGCAAGATAAGTAATGACACCCTTACCGCCCTGGTACAGGCCACAGACTGGTTTTTCGAACAAGTTAGTGAGGACCTGTCCGCCTATGCGGCCCATGCAGGACGCAAAATGATCGAAAACGGAGACGTCATAGCTTTAATGAAGAGGTATGTTATATGCCATGGGTACTACTCTTACAGTTTGAATCACGCTAACGATTTCTGTTAGGCAGCGCCAGATCACGAATAATACTACATCATTCTCGCTGGCACAGAAGATGCTGCCACGAGAGCTACTCCAAGAATTGCGTATGGAGCCTGTCCAGAAAGCCAAAAGGGCAAAGAGAAAGCGAATGCAAACGGTGGTAGAAGACGACGAACAGGAGGAGCACGCCTGACTCAGGACCATTCAGTACTATGTCTGACGCGGCGCTGTGTGCCTGACAGAGGTTTTTTGACCACCATCCAGAGCATCACAGAGGTGGCGAGACTTAACGCATACCTGGTGGAATTGTTTAGCGTTTATAGGGATGAGACGGAAGGCGACTTACCAAGTGAAGATGTATTGCGTATGGTTGTTCCGTAAGTTCACAGCGGCGGGCCTTCCAATCGGTATGCCCTTTGGCTCCCTTTCATACGACACAAGTAGATCCGGCGCTGGTTGCAGTTAGATACCCCATCCTGTATATTTTATTATTTGTGCACCTACTCATTGTCTCCTCGACCCAAACAGCTTGGCTTCCAGTCCAATCTGCCATTTGCTGCACGTCCGGGAAGAACCAATCACCTTTCTCAGGGTGGTTGATCGGTGTGAACATGTTCTTTTTCGGTGGTGCTCTCAACAATCCTTCTACCACGATCTCGCCCTCGGGCAATGCACCGTTCTGTTTCCTGAACCATTGTTTCTTTGCATCTGCTTTGATCCAGCCCCGGTTGCACAATATCTTGCTAGTCCTTCCATTCTCATCTGTTCGCTCCAGTGGGGTCACCACGATGTACCCGTTTTCGCCCTCCAGCATTCGTGGTCCGACGAGCATCTCCTGATCGTGCCGCAGTTTACCCTTGGCCCACACCTTCCTGTAGTCGAAGTCCTTGATAGCGTCTGGGTCTATTCGCAGAGGGAGTTCCAAGGGGGGGAATGTAAGACGGTCATCGAATCGCGCAATCAAGTCTGCCTTCCATCCCAACCTCTGTACCTGCCAGCATCCCAAGCAGAAGGCTGTTATTGGTATGATGGCGAGAATGATTAGCCCAGGTCCGTGTTGTTTGCCCACACGAGCCATCTTTGCTGGTTTGTCGAGGATAGAAACGAAGTTCGGGTCGAGGCCCCCATTGTTCGATCGCGGGGTTGGGCTGCTGGCGAATTGTCGTCGAAACTGGTGACGATGAAGCTTGAGCTCAGCAACGAATCGTTCGCGATAACATTGCGGAGCTCGTCGCAATGGGGTCGCGGAAGGCGTTCGGACGGCTGTCGGGAATTGAGAATAGTACCGTTGGAAAAGTCTCGCGAAAGGGTTGGGCTTCGACATGGCGGACAAATGCGAAAGTGCCGTGACTTGTGTTCAAGTAATTTAAAGAGAGAACTGTATGTAGGAAGTCGGAAGATCTCCAATGATGGCTTACCCACCTAGGCCTAGCGCATATGGGTCGTCCGTCCTTATGTATCACTCCGTCGCGGCGTCGCCTAGATGATGGTATGATCGATTTCCGAGTTGCAAATCCGGTCCATGGTTTCATGCTACAATGAATGGAAATAGCAGCTTAGTAGCGCAAGATAGTCCTTCCAAAGATGCCGCATTGGAGGATGGGGTGGATGGAGAAGTCCTTATTGCACATCTTGACAAGTTACTTGAGGACTATCTCCACGCTTTAGATGAATATCAACAACTGCAACAGCAGCTTTCGGCATGTCTCGCCTCCGTAAGAATTCCAAAATATCAATCATAGAGATATGTAACTCACTGATTGATATCGCTCGCTTCAGGGCTACTTCTCATTGGCCCAGGCAAACTTCAAAAATCCATCTCGCATCCGATATGGAGTGGACCACTATGATGATCGAATGCAATCGCTTCGGAAGATGTATGTAAACTACTTTGTTACAATAGGCCGCGTTCCAATGCAAACCTTCGCTGATGTAACAAGATCTGTGGGCGGAGATATCCCAAATCTCAAGTTCTCGATTCAATCACCCTCTGCTCGCGAGAACAAAGCATCTGGACCTGCGGAAAATGACAAGACGTCGACGCGTCCTTCAACAGAGGAGGAAACATCCGACGATCATGAGAACGCAGGGGAAGCCGCTCCAGTCGAAAACAAAGCATCTTCAGATCCGCTAAAGTGGTTCGGCATACTCGTCCCCCCCGAGTTGCGAAACGCACAAGTATCCTTTAACCGTGCAGTTGAAGATCCGGTGCCAAAGTTAGCTACGGCCATAGGCAATCTCAGAAGACAGGAGGTTGAAATTGGAAGATTGCGGAAGCGGATTAGGAAGTTGGGGCATGCTGGGTTCTAATCATACAAATGCCAAATGCAAAGCATCGCCAATACATAGAGTCTACACCCCCTAGAGAGGAGAAGTTCTGTCTCTCATGTCGTCCTTCCGCTTGGAAATCACAGTGGACCAAACCGAGGAATCATCGTTCGCCAATGGGTAAGCCCAATGTCATCTTGGTTTGGAGTGTAAAATGGTAGTTTCGCAAGCAATTACGTGACGAAGCTTCCGTGACCCCACAGAATCTTGCAAGTGGTTTTCATGGTTGATTGATGATAGAATACATGAGAAAGTGGAGGCAACATGTTAGTTCACTGCTAAAGCCCCACTCGTCGATTTGAACAACATCAAAAGATTGACACGGGCATGAATTACACGAGTCATGACCTGGACATCGTATTGTTCAATGCATTTACACTTACGTCGTTGAGTAGAATAGAGCTGTAGCATATTAGGCATGTGCCAAAGGAGCAACACGATCCAACACGGATGGCAAAAACGGTCAGCAGCAATGAAGAGCATAGTGGATTGTCGTACTATTACAGTGGACGCTAAAGACACGCCTTTTCCAAAACGTAAATGCATATGCTCACTGATGTCCCATGAAAGATTTGGTCCATGTGCGTCTAATGGTATAGTTTTGTGTCGGAGGTGCTTTCCCCGGATATTCATTTTACATGGTTCATCGAATCTAGTACTGGCTAGCGGCGGCCTGGCAGGCCTTGAGCTGGTCCAGATACCAACCGCAGATGTTCAAGCTGCCCTGGTTCTCATCCATGCATTTGCGGAAGTCGCCGATCTGTGCCTGGCAAGCACCGGATTGGGACTGGAAATTGGCTTGCTGGTGTTGCTGAGCGAAGTCGGTTGGTGCCTGTTGTTGCTGTTGTGCCGGTTCTGATGAACCTCCTCCGCTGAAGAACCCACCGACGGCGTGGCCGATGGACGATCCTACTGCAACACCGCTACAGAATAGTTAGACAGGACAATAACAGGGATAGGTTCACGCGGAAGGCCTTCTCTTGCCCGCCATGCGCGGGGATAACTTACGCAGCTGTGCTGGCCATCTGACCGAAGAGACCCGGGCCTTGGGAAGCCTGCTGAGGCGGAGCCTGCTGCATTGGTGGAGCAGCCTGCTGTTGAGGTGGATGGGCGGCAGTTGATGAATGGCGTGCAGGAGCAGGAGCAGGAGCAACGGGTCTAGGTGCTGGTGCGGCCGTGGGTCGGCGGGGAGCGGCTCCTCCACGTTGACGAGGCATATTGTATGTAGATGAAGTGGATTTGGATGTGTGGGACGAGTTGAGGGCGATGCGAGGGCGACGCAAAAGGGTTGTTATTGAAGAAGACGAGAGAAATGGGCTCGTGGCGAAAGGCGGAAATCCAAGGGACGTGAAGGACAGAAAAGAATGGAGGAGAAGCTCAAGATATTCGAGAAAGATCGGCGGGTCGGGGGAAACGGATCCGACTTGCTGGGTCGAACCGCGGCAAAGGCGTGGAGCGTGGGTAAGCAGACGATCTAATTGGGTACATACCTACGAAGTACCTACGCACGCATGTTGAAGATGGACTTTCCATCCATGAGACTGGTAGTTACATACAATATCATCGATTATTGCTTTACCGCTCCGTACCTACGAGGTAGGTACAAGGGAAGGAGGTGTTTGCTGTCAATGTAATATGCAAGCAACGCATGTGCGTGAGATTGACTGTTTGTATGCACATGCACACAAATGTATGTACTCCGTACTTATAATAGGGCTGTTACTGGGCTTTGCTAGCATTTTAGCAGAGAAACAGACTGCAATTGACCACAAGTTCTTCACAAGTGGTGGGTGCACATACACATTAGTCCAGCTATAATTGCTGTTACACACTCTACGGGGTAATCCATATTTGACTACAGAACTACAGGTAATGTGATGTCCCTGCTCGTACATACGTCCCTCTTTTGACGTGTCGCCCATATCGCAGATACGACCCAATGCAAAGTCCTGGCGATGGCTGATGCATTGCATGGGCGGGCATATGTATGCTAGTCTACACAGTGTAGGTGACAAAGCCAAGCAGGGTGCGCTCGCCTGCACGTACACACACACATACATGTACACATTCGACGCATTATATCAAAGCCTATCAACTCCCAGACATTGTAAGGCAGGGATGGTCCGTACAAGTGCCTTCCTAATTGCGCACTCAATCGATTCGTGCTGTGTCGGGGCTCATTGCGGAGTTGGGCATCTGAGTTGGGTGCCACCCAAATACCCTCGCAATGCACTTCAACTTGGTCTGAAATCCGAAGCGGCCCTCTACGAAGGCCCTTCCTTATTCAAATCATCGTCTAGACGTCCTTGAGTAGGTCATCCAAGTCGTCGTCGTCATCCCAACCGCCGCCACCTCTTCTGTTCACAACAATCTTCTGTTCTTCCTTCTCCTGCTGTTCTGCTACGGCGCCGAGCAAGTCTTTCAATTGGTCTTCCGACACTTTCTGACGAAGCTGACCTGAACGCGCAAGCATGATTAGACGATTCTCGATGTCGTTGGCACGAGACTCTTTGACTAGGCGGATGCGACCAAGGCGATCGGCAGCCTCAGGAGTCAGGATTTGAGAGAGTATCGAGGACCGTTGGTCAGCTATTCAATAGGATCGTTAACGTTGTGTCGGAGCTGTGAGGGATCTCGTATATTCCTTGAAGATGCATACCTTCGCGTTGTCTATCATTTTGTCAGATAAAGAGGAGGAAAAGATATAGGACCAAAAGATGCCTAGGGGTAAGGCACAAGTGAACAGAACTTACCTTTGTGCATCTTGCTCTGAACCTTGGCCGCCGTCACCGCCTCTACCCTGCCCACCTTGCTGCTGCAATTGTTGCAGACGAGCGCGTCGAATCTTGGGACTGTAAGTATGTTTATGGAAGTGGATATCGTGGGGGGAGGAGAGGGGTCAGATGGAACACATCATCTACGCACTTCTTCTAAATCGGCGTCAGACATTGTTGTTGGGGACGATACGAAAGTGTTATCCTGTCTTCGTGTAGCTCGAGGGCGGGATTGGATGAAGCGCTGGTTGATTTGGTGTCGTGGGAGATGATTTGTGAAATTGAAAGCTTTCCTATCCGTTGCCTGTCCTGTGAAGTCAAGGCCTGGTTGGTTGGTTGGGCACAATAAAGTCCAGGCACGTGCGGCGGGGGCGGGGCCAGACACTTTAGGTACCTAGGTATACTCCGTACATAGTACAAGAGTATTGGGTACCTATCTCTAGGTACGGAGGAATGTACCTGATCAGGCCTGAGTAGATGATGGTAGAAGTTAATGTTGAAACCATAGCTACTTCCTATCACTACCGCCTCAGACTACAAGCGCAAACCCTGAGAGATCACATTGGTTCCTTTGGACTGTATGGGCACTACGAACAGTAACTTCTCCGTACACGTACATGGTCATGGGTATTTGTACAGGTACAGGTATCTAACCTGAGTGGGTAGGTAGGGAACATCATAACCTGTATGACATATTGGATGCACTGGATACAATTACATAGGCTTGATCAATAATAACATAGCTAGGTACTGGCCACATTGTCGATTTACCAATTCTTTTGTGGATGTTCACCTGCCTGATAACTAGGAACCTAAGGCTGATTACATGTAGATTTCCCGTAACCATGAAGAACAAGGACAATAATACACAGTAGTGCAACTACACAGTAATCATTAGAGATCTGGGTAATCAAGAAAAGTTGCTGTTGATATGATGCTGGTAGCACCTAGGTACCTTATACTACATAATTACCTACCCAGCACCTACGCAGTGCGAAGTAATCGTGGATCTACCCAAGTCTTTACTGTGCTGTGCTGTGTAGGTAGGTGTTGGATGACACTGGCGAGCCTGTTGTTTGGGCTTCTGTAGGCGCCCGCTGCTTCCGCTTCCCTTCCCCTTCCGGCGGCCGAACCTTGTCTTGAGTCTGGACAGTCTTGTCATGCTGCTGCGCCCTGCTAAGAGGTACCTACCTATCAATTACGAGGTACATACTATTCTGCAGTGTGATCAACTGAGTAGTGAGGTACCATCGTGCACAGTGGTAAGTACCCAAGTCACCTTATCCCGTGGCCATCCCCATCCCATTATTCATTATTCATCATCACCTGCATCCTTTCCCTTCCCTCCCGTCCCTTCCCTTCGCCTCAAACATCATCACCCGCCCACTCATCTTCATTCAACCTTCTAATACATCCTCTTCAACCTATTCCCTTCTACTTCCTATTGTGTCTTCATTCTCTCCCTTCCCAGAAGAACTCACTTCATTGTGCAGTCTTCTCCTTCCCCCTACTGTCTAGAGGAATTCACCAAAATGCCCTTCTCCTTCTCCTGAAAGTCGGCCCGTTCACCATCCACTCGTCGCCTCGCCTCGCCTCTCAGTCTCCGCGCTTCCCTTTTCCCTGTGTCGTCACTCCTTTGTCCGTTTCATCGGCCACCCCTGCAGGTCCCTACCTGCTTCTCGACTTCCAACAACAACCCAATCCAGTCTCTAGTGACCAGTGACCACACTCACACTCACACTCCCACGCAACCTCAACCTCAACCTCAACCTCAACCTCAACCTCCCCTCTCAATCCGTCCAGTCTTGTCTTGTCTGGCCTGGCCTGGCCTCGTCTGGCCTAATCTCGTCGCGCCTGGCCATTTCCCTTCTTTTTCTTTACATATCTTTTCCTATCCCTTCTTCCTCGCACTCGCCTTCGCTGCTGTTTCTGCAGCAGCAGCGCTTTTGCAGCGATAAAAGTCAATCATGGCCGAGTACGTACATACCGATATGAGACCTACCATTCCGTCCTCATCACAATCCATCGTCACTCGCCTCGCCGTCCCCATCACTGTCTCACCCACCCCTCCCTCTCACAACATCGACTAACCGCCCACGATCGTTATAGCTTCATCCATGCCGCGCCCTGGCTCCATCATCCAGCAAGTTCGAATGCCGGCACTGTCACTCCATCCCGCCTTCAGTCCCATCTTCGATCTCTCACCCCCACACCCGCAAACAAGCAAGTCACCAAATCTGTCTCCACACCCCAGCTCGGCAGGCTTGTCGTCACCGACGCGGACCCCCAGACGGATAGCGAAGGCATGAACACCATCCCAGATCCCAGAGCTCCCTCAATACCTCGACCACCGCTATCCAGGAACGATTCCTCCGATTCGGCTATGCATCCCGATTTCAGCCAAGAGGTCGCGACTCTCAGTACGAAGCTCATAAACGCCATCAATCACTCAACCGCTCTCGACGACTCCCTTCAACAGACACGGCAGCAATTGGATGTAATTAACAAGAAGCTAGCCCGTGCCGAAGCGCAAAATAGAGAATACGAACAGTGGATAGCTACAGGGCAGCTGGTGGAGAAAGAGGTTTTCGCCAAGTTGGAAAAACAGATGCTCTCCGAACTGCAAGAGGAGCGGAAGCGTCGGGCAGAGGCCGAGAAAGCCAAGAGAAGGGTAGACTCTGAGGTCGAAACACTGACGTCTGCTCTATTCGAGGAAGCCAATGGGGTATGTTCATGCATTGCGATCGGTCCTTTTGCTTTCCTTTTTCTCAATATTACACGATGTACTGACCGATACCGCGCAGATGGTGTCTTCTGCTCGCAAGGAGACCGAGGCCTGTGAGAAACGTAACGAGCAACTCAGACAACAACTTGTCGACGCCGAGTCCTTGCAACAATCCCTTCAAGAGCAGATGCAGGACCTCAAGCTGGTAATGGAGAGGATGAGCTTGGACAGGGACGATAATGAAAGCAACACCCTCCCAACTACTACCGCTCCATCTACTCCGGGCATTACTCCAGCAGACAAGATGAACAAGCTATTCGAGGCCGTAAATCTAACACCGAACACGCCTGGAGCCGAAGAAATAACGCCAGACCATCCATTGCATTTTTCCCACCTCATTCACCCCGTCCTACGGTCCGATCTTCCGTCCTTTTCGGATTTCCAGGACATGCTGAAGATCAGTGCGCGCTCAGCACCCTCTAGTCGAGTGTCCAGCGGCAATTATGGCAGTCTCAATGTCCTCGGTCTCGGTTCTTTTACCAATAGCTCCACAAGTTCGTTGCCAATCGCGAGGTCTCCAAACTCAGTTGGTAACAATTCCCCGCGCGACTCAATCGCAGGTGCGGGTCTTCCAAACCTTAAGGATGAGAAATACTACAAGCGCACGCAGACGGAGGATATTGAGCCCACTCTGCGGCTTGATCTCGCGCCTGGCCTCTCCTGGATGGCTCGACGCACTGCCCTTAGCAGTATCACGACCGGTGCATTCGTTGTGGAGCCAAACTCGCCACCTCCCAAATTTCGAGGACCAGTGTTTCCATGTTCTCTTTGTGGGGAAAACAGGAAAGGTGATGAATACGCTAGGAAATTCCGGTTTAGGACTTCTGATACAGAGGAGACCAAATATCCGCTATGTGATTGGTGTTTGGGCAGGGTCCGGTCCACTTGCGACTACGTTGGCTTTTTGAGAATGGTGGCGGCAGGTCATTGGAGAGCCGAGACTGAAGAGGAGAAAAAGGGGGCGTGGGAGGAGAGCGTACGCCTGCGCGAGCGGATGTTTTGGAGTCGTCTAGGGGGAGGAGTGGTCCCAGCATTCCTTCAAACGAAGGATAGCCTCCATAGCCCCGTGTTTGCTAATGGCAGGATAGAGGCAATCAGAAAGAGCGAGGAAAGCCAGCGATCAACCGGGAAACCGTTGGATTCTGCAGTCGACATGAGCGATCCATTCAGCGCCCAATCTGAGGACGGACGAAAGAGGGTTTCCATCGGCAAGACCGTCATATCGATCGATCCTACCCCTGAGACCCTTACCAAGGAGGAGGAAGAGCACATCGAGGCACAGGCTGAAGCACAACTCCATAATGAAGTACGGAAATCCTTGGAGATACACCCGACAAAGCAGTCTCTTCACCAGCGATCAGCCTCGACCCCAGCACCAAGGGAGCCGTCTTCGAAGAAGAAGGAAGAACGATTGAGCCTTACTATTCCAGGTTCTTTTGATTAGAGTCGTCCTCAGATTGGATTCGGAGATATTGGTTACATATCTCCCCTTGTCAGCCCCGGTTGGCCTTGCCTCAGTCTCGTACCGTTCACCTGGATTAACATCATATCATCATATACCTTTACAAACGATCATTGTCTAGCGTCGTTTCGTGTTTTCAGTTTGTTTACTTCTTCTGCGTACTTCGTTCGTTGGATATACTCGAGCGACTTGGAAGGCTCGCTTGTACCAGTAAGATACCATCATGACCATCTTTTTTTGGAGTTCATATCGGTGGGCAGGCAATTGGATTTTGGTTCGTTGTATTAGACGGACGCGTACGGAGTTTTGGCGGAACTACCATCATTTATTCTGCAGCATTTTCAAGACGGGTGTATGGATGCGAGGGCGGCCAGAGATTTCCTTACAGTATCATTCCTACCTGGTCTACATTGCCCTTCTTTTTTCATTACTTTCGAAAGCCGAATGTGAAGGCAAAGGGGGTTGGGGCATCTCAAATGGCTGTGATATCGACGTTATCCGTGTTTGGTTGCACCCACTGTGTACCAACGGATGCACTGCAAACGTTATGCATATAATCTACTAGTAATACACATGATCGTCTAGATCATTATTGATGGACACATGTTTCTTGGTGCTTTGATCTTTGATTGGATAATGGGTATCATTTATTACTCCACCTTCGATGTTATACAGCTACATAGGGACATAAAGAACCAGAGCGTACCACTGCCAGAACACTATATTGAGTGTTCGGTATAGATCTATCCTACTCCATGGCGTCAACTCCCCTAAGCCAGGTCTAGGATTTTCTAGCCTTCTTCCCCTTACTTGTTGCCTTGCCTTTGAATGTGCCGTCCAATAAGGCATTGAAGGCCTCGCTGTGGCTCTTCGGCGCATGCCCTCTCTCAGGGATGATCTGTTCTTCTCCCTGCCCACCTGCTCCTCCACCTCGTGCCCGTTCTAGCCTCTGTTGTTGTTTCTTCTCCCGCCGCTGTGCTTGTCGGGCCTTCTTCTCTGCTGTCCTCCCGACTTTCCTTGCCTCTTTGGCCTCCTGCTTCTTCGCTGACTTCGATACGTATGGCGTAAATCCGGCATCGTTTTGTGGTGAAGAGTCATTAATCCCGGTAGCTGACGCCCGCTTGGGCATTCCTGGTGATGTACCGGCGGGCTCTTCACTTGGATGGTCTGTAGTTTCGCTGACGAGGCCCGAGGAACTTTGATCTAGTCCCCGTCCTTTTACTTCTATTGTGTCGTTCACTCTGTTCTCGGCGGCATCTTCGAATTTGGTGTGTTTTCCTTTTGCCTTCATCAAAGCAACTTTGGCCTTTTCTTTGGCAATTCTTTCGGCTCTCTCCTTATCATAACGATCATTTCCTGCCAAACCGTGTTTAATGAAGCGCGCGGCAGCGCCTTTGTCTAGTCTTGTTTTTGGCTCGGAACCCAACTCGGCATCCTTGATCTTCTGAAAGTACCCTTTGAGTCGGGCCAACTCTGCGAAGACGGCATGCTCGCGAGCGTTCTCGCCCGAAATCTGCAACGTAGAGAAGAGCAGCGATTCGATCGAGTAGGAAAGCAGTACGTAAAGTTTTGCTTTGTCCAGAAGGGGCAGCGTTGAGATGGTGGTCGCAAGCGGGTTGTTGAGCAGAGGGATAAGCGCCTCGGAAAGCTCGTCGATGTTTGCCTCGAGGTCTTCAATCTGGTCGTTGATATCCATGGCCGGTAAAGGTACGATCGAGAAGGGAACCCGAAAGGTTTGCTGGAGAAGACGATGTACGAAAAGCGAGTGTTAAAAGTAGCAGGGCAACGAGTAGATAAATTATGGAGCGAGGCCCGGCTGCGAGCCGAAGATTTGCCGCGCTCGACTTTTGGAAGACGACATCATTCTTTTTACTGAACCCTCGCGAACCACAAAAATAATTTCAGGACCACCAAAAGCCTCGTTCCACATTTTGAATTCACATGATATACGCCTTGTTATTCATGTGAACTGTATCATACGTTCACGCTGTCTTTCAATTCTCTAACACAATTCGTCCATAGGCTGCGGCCGCGGATATCCTACATATCTACACAATGCGTTCTCGGTAGCAATCGTATGGGCCGGGTGGCCTTTTCACAGACGAGCGGGCAGTTGAGAAGCTTCCTACCGAAGGACGGTAAGGAGCCGAGAACAGGTCAACATAATGAGTATGGTCTTGCATCAAGCAGTCTCATTATCACCAACACACTGACACAAGTATAGTGCAGATGATGATACTGTACCTGATTCTCCTCCTGTGGACTCAATCACACCAAACCTCCGCACGCCCAACGTGGCTGACTTCTACCGTGCAAAACCCGTCTCGAACCGTCGCATTCATATCTTGGGTCTTGGCAGTGTTGGTAAACTCGTGGCCCATTCTTTGAGGACAATTCCAAATCCGCCTCCCGTGACGCTCATATTTGGAGGTTGGGCCCCATTGAACCAGTGGAAAGAGTCGAAGCAGACTCTACAATTCGTCGTAGACGGCAGTGTCGACAGACAGGCGGGCTACGACGCCGAGCTTGCGTTTCATCGGCGCCGATATCACGGGCAAGAGCTGCCGGTGCATGGCAATGACGGAAACTCTACAGACAGCACATCATGGCAGAACCAGGAGCCGCAGGTTCAGGATGGCGAATCAACAGAGCCAATTACCTCACTGATTGTGTGTACCAGCACACCGTTTGTCTTGCAGTCTCTCTCGGCAGTCAGGCACAGGCTTCGCGCTGATTCGGTTATCCTATTTCTGCAAGACGGCATGGGGACGATAGAGGAAGTGAACAGAGAGATATTTCCGGATCCAGCGACAAGGCCACGATATATGGTCGGCGTCAACACACATGGATTGCACGGCATTAAAGATGATCCTTTCACTACGGTCCACGCGGGCTTCGGGACCATCTCACTTGGACTCCTACCCCACGAACGTGAAGGCGGATCCAGACCATTCTCTCCAACTCCAAAATTCGTGCCGCGTCGCCATCTACCTCTCAATTCCAAGTCAATGGATGAACACGAGAACGAATCGTCCGAGGCGCGATCGTCCTTCCTTTGGGCCTCCAACGACCGCTATCTTCTCCGTACTCTTCTCCGCGCACCGGCCTTGTGTGCGACAGCGTTTTCCCCCCCGGATCTTCTACAAATGCAGCTCGAGCGACTTGCGATTAGTTCGGTGATCAATCCTCTATCAGTCTTGCTCGACGCCCGCAACGGTGCGATACTCTACAACTATAACATAACTCGCACTATGCGCCTTCTGCTCGCGGAGACTTCTTTGGTGATCCGCTCCTTGCCACAATTGGCCTACATTCCAAACGTCGCGCAGCGTTTCGACACTGGTCGCCTGGAAACCCTCGTTGTCAATACAGCGCATAGAAGGCGCGACAACATCAGCACAATGCTTGCTGACGTTCGCGCCGGCCAGATAACAGAGATTGATTACATAAATGGGTGGATAGTCAGAAAGGGGGAGGAATTGGGCCTGCAATGCCTGACCAATTATGTCATGGTCAATCTGGTAAAGGGCAAAAGTAGACTGATACAATCGGAGATGGGTGATGATGTGCCCTTCGTTCAAGAGAGAGCCGGTGAAGGAGCCTTTCATATTCGGGAGGGAGAGACCGAGGCTTAGCCAGCGGCAAATGGTGACAATGCGCTCCAGTCTCGGAGATGATGTTAGATCACTTTTGTAGGCAACTGTACTATGTATAAAGGCACGCCCTTATTGGGCCGAATCAATTCATTTATGAATCTGGCGATAGACCGCCATTGAAATCAATCACCAAGGCTTCATGTCCAAGCCCATCTCATGAGGTTGCCAAATGCCTACGAAATTAACTGTTTAGTTGTCATAAGCAAGTGCCGCGAGCAAGGGAAAGCAGCTTCATCGACCGCCAATGGCTCTACTCCTCGGACTTCGTTTCGGCTGTGTCATATAGTCCAGCTGCTCTAACCAATTCCACATCAACCTGCGTGCCGGCGAAGTCCATCTTCGGCCCTCCGCCGACAAATTTCCACTCACTTCTCGCTTCCTGAGCTTCGCCTTTGGGAAGAGCACCTGCCGCCAGAGCCTTTTGTGTGGCCCTCTCAAGCTCGACTTTGGCAACTGCAATACGTTTTTCAAGACTTATGCGGCCTTCCTCCAGATCTTCATTGTCAGGCGGCATGTTGTGTAGAGCAGCTGTCATCCTGATCAATTCTTCCTTCGCATCTCTTGTCTGCAGGTATTCAGGCGAGCTCAGCTCAAGTGGGACTAATGGCTCGTATCCTGTATCAGTCTCTAAGTCCATCTCGTTTGCTGCCTTGTCACCATATTCCGGCTCTCGTGCTGTAATCTTGAACCGTGGGTTGCGATAATCGACTGGGGATTGCGCTACGCTCTCAAAGAAAGAGAGTATGCAATTCTGTACTTTGAGACTGGTGAAAACGCACTCACCCGCGCCTGCAACGTTGTCGTCATCGGCGAAGGTTGGACACAGAGCTGCTTGAGATAAATCATCATCGTAGTCTGAATCATTGCTCCCGATAGGCTGCCCATGAGCAGCATCATTTGCAGGGATCCTGGGATCGTAACGAACTTTGGTAGAAGTGGAAGATGTTGGCGATCCAAGAGCTTCCAACCAACTTATATGCGTATTCGTATGGTAGCCTGCCACAGGTGAATCCGCACCTGATTTGGAGGAGACATTCGAAATGGGCGGATCCGCGTCGTCGTTAGGAATCTCAATACAGTCTTCGGGATTGTTGGAGCTCGATGTGACCTTCCACTGACGAGTACGATCACGGAGATACCTCTTGAGAGCTACGTTGTTGATCTGAGTATCGCTAACGTAGGAATTGATAAGCGTTAAAGCCGTAAGTCGCGGTGCGTACTCCTCAAATGAGTCATTTAGGATCTCTAGGAGATTTTCTGCCCCATTCTCGATGGCGATCACGTAAACCTCTGTATCTGCATTGACCATGTCTTTGTTGTTTATGACATGGTCAAATACCCACTTTATATGCTCCTTTGCGGTGCGGTGGCCCTCAACACGGTTGTATTCAGGATGAATCAGGATTTGGTCATGGCATAATGACTTCCTAGGGAGTGCGGACCAGCTTCGTAGGGTCATTGTTTGCTTGTGCATGTGTGAGTAGACCAACTGGCCGCAATTCATGACGATCAATCCTGGAACGCTGGATTCGTCATCAACGCTGGCGCCATCTGCAAAGATCTCGCAGGAGTCGTCAGTCTGCCGGGAGCGTTTGATGAGCTCCTTGGTGAAATTGACGACCGAGCCCCCGTTTATACCTAAATCGCGCTGCAATTGTCGGTACGCGAGTATCCCAAGGTCCTGCAGGCTGTCATTGATGATGACGATGAGGCGTTTACGATTGTTCAGAACATGGATTGGCGGGGCGAGAATCGGGACATGTGGCTCGTCGGGCTTGATATTTGTGAGTTGGGGGAGGTATAACCTTTCTACACCGAGTGCACGAAGACGTTGGTCAACTTCATTACGTTGGCAGACTGGAGCTTGTCAGACATATGACTTCAGAGCAATGAAAGTTCGAGTAGCCAAAGATTTAGAAGACGGGGCGAACAAGAACAAAAAGGACGTACCTTGCATAGCTTCTCTGCGGACCTCATTGTGCCGTTCTTGGTTATACCAGTGGAAATGATAGTCCTTCTCAGGGAACTCTATCATTCGAATCTGCCCAATGTTGTTGACGAAGTAGCTGTACGTCACAAGTCAGCATTTGTGCACAAAATCGCCATCTCGTTCTTACCCGAGTTTTTTCAAATCGGCAGGCTCAGAAATGTCCGGCGGGAGACCGCTCTCCTTGACGCGGAACATGACGAGGGTCTTAGTCAAGAACTTCTAGGAGAAGGAGCTCGGTCTGGTGGTAAGCAAAAGATAGGGTGAAGTAGCGGGAGAGGGGAGAGGGGAAAGATGAGAGGTGGGAGGTGAGTTTAAAAGAGAAGTTGTGGTGAGTGTAGAAGGTGCAACCCAAGCCACGGCTGTTTGCTTGCCGCTTCAACGCAAACTGTGCAGCGGACAAGTGAAGGACGCATGGGTGGTTTGCTGCCTAACAACTAAACGGCTTCACTGAAGCCTTTGGTCTCTCTTCGTGAAAGGTGAACCACAGAGCGCCTCTGCTAGCAGGTTGGCCGATTACGAGAGACGATGTTCTTTGCAGTGGTGGCGCGCAATATTTAAGGCGAAACCTGGATCCGGAAGGTATGTTTTCTTCCTAATTCTACACGCCAGAGCGCAATGAAATACAATACAATATCATCAGGCGCCGCCCAATGCTGACTGTTGTGAGTCTAGTGTTGTTACATGTCAAGCCCCCCCCCCCCCCTCTTCGCAGTGGCCTTTTCATCTCGATCACCAGCTGGCCTTTTTCACGCCAGGAAGATTTCCGGCAAGAGCGTTCATTCGGAATTGGTACTGTTGAAGTGTGAGTATAAGCGGCTGAAACCTGACCTCGACAGAAACGTATACGGCGAGGTTCGCGGGAAAAACGTACTCGGCCCAATCGGAAATCACTGAAAACACCTCTTCCTCTCCCTCCCATTATACACCTATTCTTTACTTGTGTGAACCTCGTGTAGCAATGCATCTGCGAGAGTTGAAGCTGGGCCTGCGCGCGGACTCTCTGTGGGAGGGTGGTATTTCGGATCAGATACCGGAGTGCTTGTCTGCAACGAATGAATGGTCAGCTGGTGTGCTAAATACAGGCATCGCAGGACCGGAGGCAGATGTTGGAGTCCCTCGAATTGTGACGGTGGTGCGATGGGGAAAGAAGAATAGGAATTACCTTTCAGGCTCATTGGCAGAAAACACTTTTCTTTTGGTGTGGTCACGAATGTTTCGGATATGCGCAAAGCATCCGATATCGAGTCTCTTTGCACGAAATTGTGACATTTTGGCGTGGGTGGGCTTTCAATTGCTTAATTTCCTCACTTCACGATGAACGCATGAGGTAGTGATAAATGATTGAAGTTGCGATGTCTGCCAAGACCGACTAGTCCCAATCAAGTCTCACCAAGTCCAAGGTACCGACATAATACACTAACACAGTCTAGGTGATCTTGAACTTCCACCTATTCAAGGTCAACATATGCTAATTAACTTCAAGATCGATACAATCACGGAGGCCCTTTCAAACTCTAAAAATTATCATTTCCGCAGCGCACAGCTGTACGTTAGTTCAATTTCGTTCGTTTCCGTTTGTTCTCCACTACGGCACTTCTACGTCCAGGCTTCGCCGCCCGAATTTCTTTGGCCGTAGAAAGGAAGTCCGAATAATCACTATTGTACCGAGTAATCCAGCTATACGATGTTATCCGAAGGTGAAATCAAGGAACTCTACCGGGCATTACCTCCTCAGAATTTTGCTACGCCCAAACCATTGCCGTCGTTACTGCTTTCTCTTACTGGCCAAGGCTTCGTGACTGCGGAACACACCTCCAGACATTTTAAGAAACTCGCCATTACAATACCAGACCGAATATCCGTCTCGAGTTTATCTCGCGATTTAGATGTAGACAGCGATATCGTTCTCAGTCTAGTGCGAGGCTCACCTACCATTGCCCTACTGAGCGCGGATAAAGCCCAGGTTGTCTGCAAAGCTGGAAGGGATGCTATTCTGACCAACATACAAGACGCAATCGATCGGCAAATCGCGACAAAGAGTGTCCTGTCAAAAGAGTTCGATATATCAGTGGAGAGCATTGAGTTGCTGAAGCCTTTTCTGAAACTTTGTCACGAACTTTCGCATGTTGTATCTCATGGACATGATGAGTACCTGATAAGCTCAGACTATCATGAGCGTATATCGGCCACGATTATGAATGAACTGGATGAGGCCTTGAAAAGCAGCTCGGCCGTTACGATAGTCCCGTCCTCATTTCCAGGCTCACCTCCCACGTCCCTCGTATCGGAAATCCACACGCGCATGCTGCGATCTACTAGTTTAGGGGATCAATTTTATATTGGCGGAACCGCAGACGCTATTCGATGCGTTCCGAAAGACCAGGTGTTGCGAAAAATGAACGCCAAAATCGACTCATTGCATTCCGGAGATCTCTCATGCCTCGACGCAACGGCATTTGCGAACGAGTACCAGGATATATACGCAAGTAGCCAGGAAGCGCGCGATTTCCTACAAAACATAGGTGGCGTGTTCATGAAAGACTCAGTGGCAATCTCCCAGGCTTGGTTGGACAGGTTCACCGTCGAATGCACCGAAGCCTTGGGCGTACTTGGATACGCAGATGTCATGCCGCAACTTGAGGCCAATTTTCCGGCAGGGCTCCGGGAACAAGTTCGAGGGCAACTAGAGGAAGATATCAAGGCCATGTATGAGAAACGCTCCGGCACTACCCTATACGTTGTTGGCACCTTCCTTTTGACGGAAGCCAGGTATTGTAGCGAACGAGATGTCCTTTTGGAATTCGTCAAAACGCATGCTTTGAGCCAATGGAAGCAGTTGGCAGGCATGCCGGAGAGGGACATCAAGTTTCAATTGTCGGCCATTATTAACCTCATACCTCAGGATCAACCGATTCTAAGAGCGATGTCCGAGGACAAAGGATCGAGAAACGTTGCAGAGGAGCAGTACTGGGGTGAGATCTCGAAACAAGAAGCACTCAGTGAAGATGAATTCTCCGAGTTCTGGTCATCCCGCGTTACTGCCCGAGTTCTCAACTATGCGGCTGGGCTCGATGTCGTCCAGGAGGAGAAACTTCGAGGGCAGCTTTCAGAGCTATTGGCCATCTACATAGGAAAAGAACTAGTCCCCGAGATGTGGGCCAAGGCGCAGGCACAGGGATTGGCACAGAGTCGGAAGACGAAGAAAAACTTCCAGAAGCTCGAAGTATCTCTAAAGGCCAGCAAGGAGTTGGTTGACCTTGTGGCTGCCTTGGAGAAATTCGACAAGAAGCAAGGTTCTCAAGAGGTTGGGCCTGAATTATTGGAGCGGACGAAAGGCTCGTTGGTCGCTGACATGAAGCGGAGGATGCAGAAGCAGAGCGATGCACCTACCCTCTTCCTGATTACAGTGCTTGCATTATTTGCAAGGCACAAACCAGGCTTGATCTATGCAACGGGCAAATATTCGCCAAAGATCATGAAGCAGATCAAATCTTCACTGAGCGCCGAAGAATACGAGGAACTGGAAGGGTGGAAGGAATCGGCGAAAGCTGGCACCCTGGGAGATGTAGAAAAGGACAGCATGAGGCGTCGAGTGGGAGCAGAACCGGCATGACAGAGTTCGAGGCAATCGGTTTTGGTGACTTTTCAACGACACTTGATCACGGCGTTTACAGGTACACAGTGTATACTCATGCATGCTGTGTATGTTTATGCCCAATGTAACTTACCGCATTGGTGCTAGATCTACGAATGTTATAAGTGGTGACCCCGCAACACACCTCCATCCATCGCTTTCGAGAACATCACACGTTGATTTCCGACGTTCGCCCTCATTCTGCCACAACACCATCTTCAGTAGCCGCAAACCCATAGCCGGCACGAAATACTACAGAACAACAATGCTGCTCTATCCATTCACCTAGTCGTCTTACTCCACCGACGTCTCGGGGTCGAGGTCCGCGTGCGGCTGTCACTGGGCCAGCTATTCGAGCTCCCGGCGTGCATGTGCTAGGACCGTTTTGCCCCAGGTACTCTACCTAAGCCTGGCCTACTGTACCTACGTATATACTTGCAGTGCATGTCTCTTGATTACAGCACATCAGAGATCGTACCGTGCGGAGCCACTGGATCTCTTCATGGCCTATTGAATAGCCATGCGAACGACGAAAGGTCAACGTCGTAGATGAGAACGACAACCAAAGTCAACAGTATTAGCTATCTACCTAGTCTAGTCCAGTCCAGTCCAGTCCAGTCCAGTAGACTTTGTGTCTACAGCCTGGCGAGTGGTCGAACAAAAAGGATGAAATGCCCATGCGCATCCGTGTAAGGGTCAGAAGAGCTATTACCAGTAATTACGGAGTACATGTCTTTGATTCCTTGAGATGGTGGTTGGGCGCTGGGGTGGAGTCTGGGGAGAGAAAAGAAAAGGTGGGGGTAAGAGGGAGGAAACATGGGGTGTGGCAGTGGTGTGAATAAAGAGATTAGTCATGGCCTGAAAGTCTGAAAGGGGAAGCAAGAGATGGACGATGTACTCATGAAAGGCGACGTAGACGTACAAGATGAAGTGGGCGTCAAGGGCTAGGCTCCTCCGTTCCCAACATGAAGATGGAGAGGAATTCCACCTACGAGGACGAGGACGAGTACTGTAATACCTTGCGCCACTTGCCTTGCCTTGCCTTGCCTTGCCTTGGACTTGGGTCTCTGAAGACTTGCTTTGGGGACTAGACTACCCGTACCTAGGCCATTATTACGAGGTACCGAATTAGTCCGGGGAACGCGAACGGACAAGAGAAAGAAACAAGGACGGAAGGAAGAGGGGGGATTGGGATGAACAAGCAAGGCCATATCGCCCACATCATCTCATCCGAATTTGTTCCCGCCGTCGCCTTAGGTACACAGTAGGGCAGTACGATATTGTTTACAGCTCCAGACTTGTTCCGTTCCTAGCGAATTGGTCGATTATTGCATTGCACTATATGGTGCAGTGCAGTGCATTACTACACAGTATAGCCATGCTGTACATACACAGTAGGCGAGCACGCGAGGTCAGTCAATTGATCAATTAATTAATAATGATTGATGTTAGCCTTTAGCCAACTACCTAAGCTACGAATAAGAACTGTCGTCTACTCCGCATCTACCTATCTTCCTGTCTACCTGTCTACCTATCTTGGGTACCTACTGTGTACCTAACTGTGCAGTACGAGTAAGGTGGTCGTCATGTTAGAAATCCATGATTACTGCCGTCCGGAGAAAAATGGTTAGCGGGCCGACGTGATTGGCCCAAATGGTTCCTTAGCGCGGATTGCACCATCGCACGCCTTGTCTGTTCCCTATCAAGGTTTTCTCTCCCCCCAACGAGTGACAGAGAAGATGGCGATGCTAACAAGCAGTTTAGGACAGATTAAATCATGGAATGGAATCTACCGGAGAGACAAAGGTGGAGAATGAGATGGGAATTATTAACCACATTGGTTAACTAATCATCGTATGAGCAGGTGGACTTCTTTAAACAGGACGAGGAAGTGGGGAGAAGCCCTCGATTTCAAAGACAACTCCTCAGCCGAAGTCGCCTTACACTCTATACCACTATTACTACTACTATTACTACTACTATTACTATCTCATACCAATCGTCTTCCCCCCAGTTGTGGCTAATATATTTCCATTCTTCTCTACTCCCATCCCTTCTCTCCTTCTTCTCTTCCTCCTCCACACCCATCACCATTAACTGCTCGCTTCCTTTTCCCCAATCCAATCTTCCAAACGTCATTCACCTAGCCTCTCGTGTGGTTCCCTTTCCCCATCTACCTATACCTACACGGGGCGTGAGTGGGATAGAAAAGCTCAATCGAATCAAAAGAAACTCCCTCCACTGATCAATCTCTACATCTCCCGCTTCGAGTCAACTCTACGTGCTCGTGCCTATACCCCCCGTGAACCTACTTGCCACACGGGACAAGAAAAAGAACACACTCACACCTCTTCACAATGGCCTCCCCTACCACTTACGAGGAATCCTACGAGGAGACCCCCACCATCGACAGCAACGAGTCGGGTTACGCCTCAGGTTCATCCAGCCAGGATAGTCTCCCCGAGGTCTACTTCAGCAAACCTCACTTGAAGTACATCAACGCTCAACTTCAGAAGCTCGAGCCTCAAGGTACGTCACCTATACCTCACCCCTCCTCTCCTTTCCCATCTCTCCCATGCCTCCTCTCGTGTCTCTTCTTGGTTGCTATCCGACCCTGGGCTACCTCACTTACTGCTTGACTTCATCTGCTGACTTGGCATTCAGACATTCTTCGATGGTGCATCACATCACTGCCTGGACTATTCCAAACAACCGCCTTCGGCCTGACCGGACTCGTCACTGTGGACATGCTCTCCAAGCTCGATGGTCCCCTCAAGCCGAGTATCGACTTGATCTTCCTGGATACTCTCTACCACTTCGACGAGACGCTCGCCTTGGTCGATCGCGTGCGGAAGCGCTACGGCACACCAATCCACATCTACAAGCCCGCCGGCGCCGAGACTGCCGACGAATTTGCCGCCAAATACGGTGATAAGCTCTGGGAGACGAACGATGAGCTTTACGACTTCGTTGCCAAGGTTGAGCCCGCTCAGCGTGCCTACTCGGAGCTCCAGGTGCGCGCAGTCTTGACGGGCCGCCGACGTAGCCAGGGAGGCAAGCGGGGAGATCTCGACATCATCGAAGTTGATGATGCGGGCCTCATTAAAGTGAACCCGCTGGCCAATTGGTCGTTCAAGGAAGTCCAAGAGTACGTCAATCAACACGATGTACCTTCCAATGAGCTTCTCCAGAAGGGCTACAAGAGCGTTGGCGACTGGCACTCGACACAGCCGGTTGCGCAAGGAGAAGACGAGAGGTCGGGGCGTTGGAAGGGCAAGAACAAGACCGAGTGTGGTATTCACAACCCCAAGTCACGTTACGCTCAATTCCTCCATCAACAAGAGCTGAACCGAAAGACGGAGGAGTTGAGCCAAGCGCTCCAGAAGACGACATTGGAGGCGTGACGGGGTAAGCGATGTCGTGATCGGGAAGGGTTATGAATGGTTTATTTTAGCATCTTTAGCATTGGCGTTATGGTCATTGGGCGGTTTGCATTGGCTACGGGGGCATCGAACTATGACCCCCCCGTTTACCCCACCATCTATCTACGAGTTAGAGTTACCTAGGTAGGTATTTACACATCATTTGGTTTTTTTTCTATCACGACGACCACACATTGTTCCAAGCAATGATGGTGGCGAAACCAGCACTAGGAAGAAAACAACCCCAAAAGTCGGTCATTCTGTCATCATTGATGGGCAGATGAGTCTTTTTTTTCAAGACCCCTGCGTATGCCCTTCTTCATAACGTGGAAAAAGAGAAAGAAAAAAAAGGGAATCTATACCTTTGAATTTGGAGATGGGGCCGTTGGTGACAAGAGGGAGTGGCCAATAGATGAATGAAAAAACTGAAAACACAATATGAACGGGATTTCAAAGCCATAATTAAACATTATTGAGAACACTATGGGACTTGATGATGACCAGCTATTTGGAAGTGACTTGGAACGCTCTTTAAGTTGCACTCAACGAGTACGTGGATATGTACAGTACAGTACTGTACGAGCAAGGTACGAGTAGTATGTTGTCACACAATACGTCGTAGGCGCCATCACGATTGAACGAATAGATAGCTGGGAGGTGACAAGTAAATCTCGTGCAATTGCGCAATCGCCCCCAAGAGAAAAAAGCGAACCAAAGAAACGGCCCCGAGGTTTACTAGTCCTGCAGCCAGAGGGGAACGTAGTGGGACGGTAGGGTCGTGCCGGGTGATTGACCGTCACTGATGACATTGACTGGCAGTGAGTGGGCGGGTGCTGGCCGCCGATGCAACGGAGATGTGATAACTACCTGAATGAATGACCATGCCTTGCCTTGCCTTGCCTTGTACTAGGTAGCTAGTTAATAACATTACAATAATAGTAGTCTACTCGTAGAAAAGGAAAAAAAAAACGAACCAGTACCGCCGTTGGTGTCGTGCTCCGATATTGAAAAATTCCATCTCTTTATAAACACCAACTCCTCCTAACACCGGCCCATTTCATTCTCCACTACCTACCCAACTACCCTCAACACCTTCAAGCTTCCGATCTACCAGCGGCAGACGGCAAACGCACCACCAGCTTTGCGCCGCATTCACCAACAAGTCCTTTTTGGCCTTTTTGACGTCTCCTTCCCTTCTTTTCGTTCCTCCTCCTCCTCCCTTCACTTCGACTCAAAGTTCCAACCGACTGTTCAGGCGTCGTTTTCGTTCACACTCATACAGAGTACCTATAATCACACACTCTCCTACAATGGCCAATCCACCCCATGGTAAGTCGCATTGGCACTGGGAATCATCCTTGCGCCACGACAAAATCACAGCAATCGGTTCCCGTTTGCAATTCCTATCCAGGCTGACCCGAGACAAACAACTGCAGGCGGCATTTTGAAGGATCTCATTGCACGCGATGCCCCGAGGCGTCAGCAATTGTTCGACGAGGCAGAGGGTCTCCCGGCCATCGTCCTCACCGAGCGACAGCTCTGCGATTTGGAGTTGATTCTCAACGGTGGCTTCTCACCATTGGAAGGTTAGTCTGAGTTTTTTTTCTAATCTATGTTGTTTTAAGTTTTGTTATTATATTTTGTTTTCATTTCATTCCGTTTTTCTCTCATTTGGGCTTTTGCGCCATATCAGAAGCGTCGCGCGTCAAATGGTTGGCGGCGGCGGCTGCTTTGAGGGTTGATTGGGCGGATGCATCTCTTGTATGCATGGAATGAATAACGAAGTTCATGAATGGCGGGGCGAAGATCTTCCTGTCCCCCTCCATTCCCCCCTCCCCTCCCAGTTCGTCATTGTTGCACACATCTCCAACACCAACACCAACATCGGCACCGTCACATGTCTCTCATCACTTCGCCAACATCTATTTGCGCAAGGGAATTCTTCCTAGTTCGGGAACAGCACCACTAACTACGACGCGATCCATATAGGCTTCTTAAACCAGAAGGATTATGAAGGGTGAGCGACGCTCCAACAATCTGCCTTGACGAGTCTTGAGCTAATGTGCGTTCTTCAGAGTTGTCAACAACCTTCGACTTGCAGATGGCAACCTTTTCAGTATTCCCATCACTCTGGACCTTTCCAAGGAGTCTATCGAAGAATTAGGCGTGAAGCCTGGAGCGCGTGTCGCACTTCGCGACTTCCGCGATGACCGAAATCTTGCCATCATCACCGTCGAGGATGTCTACCAACCCGACAAGTACGTAAACCATGGCTGCGGTCGAAAAGTACGCCCAAACTGACCATTCCATAGGAAGAAGGAGGCACAGGAGGTCTTTGGAGGCGACCCTGAGCACCCCGCCGTCAAGTATCTCTTCGACACTGCCCAGGAGTTTTACATCGGTGGCAAGGTCGAGGCCATCGATCGCTTGAACCACTACGACTATGTTGCCCTTCGATGTAGGACATCCGCCTATACTCCTCTAATGTAGAGAGCATCAGCTGATTTTGTCCAGATACCCCCGCAGAGCTCCGTTTGCACTTCGACAAGCTCGGCTGGTCCCGAGTCGTCGCCTTCCAAACGAGAAACCCCATGCATCGTGCTCACAGAGAACTCACTGTCCGCGCCGCCCGTGCTCGTCAAGCCAACGTGTTGATCCACCCAGTCGTTGGACTAACCAAGCCCGGTGACATCGATCATTTCACACGTGTCCGTGTCTACCAGGCTCTCCTCCCTCGTTACCCCAACGGAATGGCTGTTCTTGGTCTTCTGCCTCTTGCTATGCGCATGGGGGGTCCCCGTGAGGCCATCTGGCATGCTATCATTCGCAAGAATCACGGTGCCACGCATTTCATTGTTGGCCGTGATCACGCAGGCCCTGGCAAGAACTCCAAGGGAGTGGATTTCTACGGACCCTACGATGCTCAGTATGCCGTTGAGAAGTACAGGGACGAGCTTGGAATCGAGGTCGTTCCTTTCCAGATGATGACATATCTCCCCGATTCCGACGAATACAAACCTAAGGATGAAGTCGCCGAGGGTGTGCGAACTCTTGACATCTCAGGAACTGGTACGTTCATCCTTTCAAGCCGGGAGTGACGCCACAGGACACGAGCTAATTTTTTTTTTTAGAATTGCGCAAGCGTCTTCGAACAGGACAGGAAATTCCCGAGTGGTTCTCCTACCCCGAGGTCGTCCGCGTCCTTCGAGAATCCCATCCGCCACGCAACAAACAAGGTTTCACTGTTTTCCTGACTGGCTACCAAAACTCCGGCAAGGACGCCATTGCGCGTGCTCTCAATGTGACTCTCAACCAGCAGGGCGGCCGTTCCGTCTCGCTCCTCCTTGGCGAAACCATCCGCCACGAACTCTCTGCTGAGCTCGGTTTCTCCCGTGAAGACCGTGACCGGAACATTGCACGCATTGCTTTCGTTGCCTCCGAGCTCACCAAGTCTGGTGCCGCCGTGATCGCAGCACCAATCGCTCCGTTTGAGGAGGCCCGTCAGCACGCCAAGGAAACCGTTGAAAAGAATGGCAGTTTCTTCCTCGTCCACGTAGCCACACCTCTGGAGTTTGCCGAGAAGACGGACAAGCGAGGTATCTACGCAAAGGCAAGGAACGGAGAGATCAAGGGCTTCACTGGTGTTGATGACCCGTACGAGGCACCCAACAACGCACATCTTTCCGTTGATCTTAGCAAAACAAATGTGCGAACAGCTGTGCACCAGATCGTGCTCTTGCTTGAGGCCCAGGGTCTTCTGACACAGTTGTGAGTGAACGGCGGCTCGGCTAGGGGTTTGATGAGGACGTTCGGGACTTGTATACATTAGCATCGAGGGCTACGAGTGGATTAGGGATTTCTTCATTCTCCCATAGATCATCATGACAATGGATTAGAGTTAGATTGCGCCCAAAGAACACCCTAGGCACGGAAGCGTCAGCCAGGGTTAACATGACATTTCCCTATGGGTGAGCGATCATGATTTGACGTCTCAATAAGGTTTGTACATCATTGCTAGACATGGCGCCTGCCCGTATAAGAACAAGGCTGTATGGCTACAAATCCATTACTGCCGGCATGAATATACTACATTCGTCTAGGTCCATTTGGTGATGACATGTGGAGTATCCGCCCTCTGAACGCTGCGGGCATCGTTTGTGGAGCCTCTCCTCTTTCCCTGTGGGGAAACCTAACGGGAAACCTAATGAGCACGCAAGATTTGTATCAATTGCGTTATCACTCAATTTCTCGTATGTATCTGAGGTTATCAACCGCTAGTATCATTTCGTGCGAAGGCAGTCAAACTGCACCACGCCAAGAGCACTCTTTCGCCTGCTTCCTGGATGGTTGACATGCGTTCGTCTATTCGTATAACTGCCAGGCGTTACGCGAATCGTACTAATCGTTGTATGATAGTATAGTTAGGATATAGCAGTATCGCAGATCTACGACCGGGACATGTGATGTCACTTCCATTCTATCGGTGCTATGAAATCATGCTCACTATTCGTCCAGTGACCGTAGCGCAGCATTCACAATCTCCCGGATTTGTTTCCATCGCTCCAATAGCGTCGCCTTCTGTTCCATTACAGCTTGGCCATTTGAGGTTGCCATATTCTCTGACACCTGTGACTTGCGCTTTGAACTCCGTGTGGTCCGGCTTTGCTGCTCTTCCACGACTCCGCCTGCCACACTGTCCACGGCTTCCAACGTCTCGACTATCTCTCTCGAAAATTCCGTCAACAGAGCAACCAATGCTGAATCTATGGCATGCTGATCTGCGGCACCATCATCATTTCCAGACACAAACATGGTATACCTCCTCGTTGGCAGATTCATAAGCCTCAGTACCGCTTGGGCACGGTGGCATATGTGCGGTGCATCCTTTGTCAGTGTATAGTTTCCATAGAATCCATCCTCCTTCAGCGCTTCCACTTGCGACGCAGATAGTTTGGGAATAATCAAATGATCCAGAGGAAGAGAGTCGCATTTGTTGGTCGGAAGGGTGAAACCGTATTCGACCAGCAAAAAGTCGTTGGTGTGGGAACCGTATGAAAAGTAGACCTCCTCGCCAGCCTCGTAGTCACGATCCGCAATCACCGAGTAGCCCGAAGGGCCGTGTTGTGGGTCACAGCCGACGTCTGAGTGATTGAAGTAGTCCATGAACGGGCACATGGCATAGCAATCGTCTGCGGTGAGCTGGAATCGTTTCTTAGGTAATCGAGGGTGGGAGTTGGGCAAGTCTGGGTATTCCCAGTAGAAGGTACGAGTGTTCACAATTAGCCAAGTGTATGCGAAGAGGTCTCGATCTACTGATGGCTGGAGCTGGGCTCGTAGGGTCTGCCAGTCTTTGTCCAGCTTTTGTTGTTGTTTTATCAAAAGAACTATATATCTTAGTTAGCACTGAGCAAAGGGAATATGTGAATTGTAGAGAGGTAAATACCTTTTCCAGCGTGTGGTATGTATTCTTGGAGGCTCTTTGGCCAGTAGTAGGGCAAGATGCTGCGAAACTCTTCTTCCTTTGGCCAAACGCCTTGCCATAAGCGGTGATCGGAATCAGCGTTATGATATTGCATTGCCAGAAAGGCTGCTAGCTTTCCATGGACAGTGACATTCTGCGGCAGCTTGCAGGCTCGTACCGTCGGCGCCGTTACGGTGATCAAGGAAGACTTGTCCACGAATATGATACGCTCTCCTGCCTTGATAATTCAGCTTTTGTGGCGAGGTAATACATTGATAGCCACGACTAGATCAAGTACTGGTCATCCGTGCCAGTAAATGAGAAGGTATTCACTGACCTTTATGTCTCGGGCAGCCACGATACCCATACCTCGTCCGACGAACTTTGCTGGGGCAATGCCATCAACTTCAACGCCGTGATCGGATGCCCATGCAACGAAACGATCATGCTCATCACCCGGGTTAAGTGCTGCCATTATATTAAGTCAGGAATGTGGAGTCAGGGATTTGAGGTGTGGTTGGTTTCATCAAGCCTGAAGCTTCGGAATATTCTCTGAGTAAATGGTTTTGATAAACCACGGACCAGAGCGGGAAGGAGATGACCAAAAAAAATTCCTCAGCGTACAACGTGCTGGTATACAGCCAAGCCGCCGAATTGATCGACGTGCTTCTTAGTCTTTGAAGTGTCTTTAACGATGCTTGACCATGACCAAAGTAATAAGCGACAATTGAAAGCAAGAAATCCAGGCTGAACGCGCCACATTTGCATATTTTCGCTAAACTATAAACGGGTCAAAGAATGTGGCGCATTATCGATAAGTATCTAGCGTTGATTTGCATCGTCTGATGTCCTTCAGCCTTCCTTCCCCAACTCCTCAGCTTCAATCCTACCATGCCCGTTTCTCGTTACTTTAGAAATCGGGCCAATGGCTATTTCTATTCCGCAGTGCGCTTTCAAGGCGACGCGAATACTCAGAGGAACTACAACAGCGTCTGTAGTGCTTCCTGTTAGCTACAGGAGTTTCTCCGTTCTTCAACGCCCGCCTCCAAACTATGAAGGCCACATTCCGTTGACGAAGCTCGAAAGGTTGGGCCTAGCCACAGGCTCGGGACTACTCAGTTTTCTAGACCCTCGACGAGCAGGTGGGTTGGACGAATGCTGATCTTCTTCACGATGTCTGATCTTTGTCAAATGTAGACCTGATAGCTGCCTTTGGTGAGGCGACCGCGCAACCCTACTTCATCTATGCCCTCCGAGACCGCATGCTACTTAGTCCTACCGGACGACGTATACTCCGCGACCGACCTCGCCTGACATCCAAGTCTCTCAACATACCCTACCTACGCACCCTTCCTAGCAACACACTCGGATACGCGTACGCTGAGTGGCTAGACCGCGAAGGAGTGTCGCCGGACACTCGCTCCGCCGTTCGCTACATCGATAATGAGGAGTGCGCATACGTCATGCAACGCTATCGCGAGTGCCATGACTTTTACCATGCACTGGCTGGCTTGCCTGTTTTCAGGGAAGGAGAGGTCGCTGTCAAAGCATTTGAATATGCGAATACGGGTTTGCCCATGACTGGACTTGCCGTATTCAGCGCTCTCACTCTCAAGAAAGCCGAGTGGAGACGTTTCATTGATATATATGGTCCGTGGGCATTCAGAAACGGCGCCAGGAGTGACGACGTCATCAATATCTACTGGGAAGAAGAGCTTGAAACAGATATCGACGACCTTAGAGCAAGGTTAGGAATTGAGAGGCCTCCAGATATGAGGGCCATCAGAAAGGCAGAAAGAGCAAGAAGGAAAGGGGAAAAGGTGGTAGGGGAACCCACTGTGACAGCAACGCCTGGATCAACATCAAACTAATTGAGCGTCTGCTTGGATACAATGAGGTTTGATGCTCAAGAGCGGATCATTCATACACTGAAGCAACACCAACGCTTCCATTGTTTTCCGAAAAGACCGCTTGCCGCTCTTATCAAAGTGGTCGCCAGAGCATTACCTAACGATCAATTGCGAATCATCTTGTATATTACGTCAACTTATCTGATAGCATACCCTTGGAACACACCTGATACACATCTCGATGCATTACATCAATCCATCAAGTAGGAATCATGTAGTTGGCCATGCATTGAGTATCAGGAGTGATCCGAGGTCCGTAGGTTAGACTAGTCGTCAAAAAGATGAGATATAGCACGCTTCTCATTGGCAATTGCATCGGCTCTTGAGCGGTCAAACAGCAGGCCGGTATCATCAAACAACCACTATGATGAATTCACAATCTTCTGACGCATGATGAATGGAATTTTTATCTATGAACCAGAACAGATAGCAGATGGTGGTACAGAAGGTAGGCATTGTGGGCTCCCCTGTTTGTTAGTATCCTGTTTCAACAAGTGTAGATACATTCGCAGGCCTTTAGCTGTCAATCGGCTCCAATACAATCCTGATTATCTAGCCAGGTATAGAAAGTACATAAAACTCATCTGTATGCGTAAGGATCAATCCACGACCATACAGGCTTAGACGCGCTATCTTTATTGGTCCAGCTGAGGAGGTTCCGTTGTCACTAAGCTAACGGAAACGTTTAACCTGAGCGACCAACGCTGGCTTTGTCCCGCATATCTCCACGTCGATTCAGTCAACACCAAGGCCCAATGATGCGTACTCAAGCCAATTGCATGCATTCGATATTGATTTTCTTACTACCCCGGCCGGTCCCTCACCAGCTATGTCTACTCCGCAATTAGGGGAAGCTCGGAGTCTCGGCTTGAGGCGTCTTGCTTTCCAATGATCCTACCGTCTGTCCTCTTTGATTACTGCTGTGCCCATTTGAGGAATAAAAGCCCAATTCAAGATCCAATGTCTCCAGCTTTTTTGGACCCGGATAGCGCTTTGTGTCGATTTTGCCATTTCGAACCAAAAGACATCCCTCGTTCAACTGAGTGACCTGGGCTAGGCCTGTCAAACATTGAACATGGAAGACCAGCAAGACAGACGTCTGATATGGTTACTGAGAGGAAGTGCAATACTGGTAAGACAAAAATGGGCTGATCAGGATAGTATAGTGGCTGAAGAGTGCTCCAGAGTCTTCTCTATCTCACGGTTGTCGTGGTGTACCGATTATGGTTCCATCCTTTGGCAAAATATCCTGCACCGTTCCTAAACCGAGTTTCACAAGTGAGTGACAAGCTTACTACCATGCTAAAAATGCATAAAGTAGCTGCTTATATTATACAAGATTCCTACCATCTACGCAATGTTAACTGGGCGCCTCCCGATGCATACTAAAACACTGCATGACCGTTACGGTAGGTACATCTTAATTTTCCTTTGATGTCAGACTTTAACAACCTGAAGGCTCTATTGTACGACTCAGTCCTAACGAGCTTTCATTCAATACGGTACAAGCGTGGGACGACATTTACGGACATCGCGTCGGCCGTCCAAATATGGCCAAGGATCCCATCCACGTAGGTTCGGTTGATCGTAAGTCAACGAACGTCTGAGCATCTTACTAAATCTAATAAGCATCCCAGCTGTCCCCGGGGTCTCTACTATCTCTATGGCAGATAACGACACCCATGCTCGTCAACGAAGAGCGTTGTCTCACGGATTTTCGCAACAGGCACTGTGGGGACAAGAAGAAATCGTCCAATCGTACGTAACAAAGCTTCTCAATAATATCAAGGGATTCTGCGAGAATCGGCAGTCATTTAATATCGTCGATTGGTATAACTTCATGACATTCGATGTCATTGGAGATCTGTCATTTGGGGAATCATTCGGCTGCCTAGACCGTGGAGACTTTCATTTCTGGATTACTCTCATCTTCAAAGCGGTGCAGGCCGGGGCTATCGAGGCAGCAACAAGACGGTTTTCCACGGCCGGAAGCCCTCTGCAGAACTATCTCATGCGATGGATCCCCAACGAGATGAGAAAGCAGCGAAAGGACCATCTTGCCTATAGCAGAGAAAAGGTTCTGAAGCGTCTTGCGGACTCGAAGAGTGACAGAAAAGACTTCATACACTACATTCTCCGCCAATCGAAACGCATCGATCTCTCGCAGGATGAAATCATCGTCAACGGAGCGCTTTTCATTGTGGCTGGCAGCGAAACTACTGCGATGACATTATCAGCCATGACGAACTTTTTGATTCGACATCCGTCAAAATTCGACAAGTTGAAGAAGGAGATACGGGAAGCGTTTGCTTCGGAGTCTGAAATCACTGTAGAAAGAGCCACTGCGCTTGAGTATCTGAATGCCTGCATCGAGGAAACATTGCGCATGTTACCCCCGGCACCAGTCGGTTTCTTGCGATCTGTACCTCCCGGCGGCGACACTATCGACGGCCAATTTCTCGAGGGTGGAGTAAGCCATATCTTGCGCTCTATTATTCTTCGGTGAGAACTGACCTCTACAGACTACGGTGTCAGTCAGTTCGTGGTGCGCCCAGCATAATCCGGCCAACTTCAAGGATCCAGATGAGTTCATCCCCGAGCGTTGGATCGACCCGGCGTATGCATCTGACGCAAAGCTTGCGAGTCGACCCTTTTCGCTGGGGCCTCGAGGATGTATCGGGAAGAAGTAAGTCTCACGGTGGACATTAGAGTTCGATGGACAGGTGCTAATTCAGAATGCAGCTTGGCATATATGGAGTTGAGGATCGTGTTTGCGCGTCTCTTTTGGATTTATGACATTACTACGACGAATGGCGCACCAGACTGGGAGACGGAAGGGCAGATGAAGAACATGGTGGCTTACAACACATGGGTGAAGCCAGAATTAAACGTCAAAGTCACGCCTGCACGTAAATAGAATGGTGAATCATAGGCAGGCGTCCTTTCGCAACGTGGAGGTCAAGACGAATGGTTCCCGGCTTATGACTTTGCAGCCCCTTTACGCCACGATGGGTATGTCCAATTAGTGGGAAGTACTAAAGACTGTGCAAAATGCATACAACGTCAGAGGCAGAGAGTATGCGGCATGTATTACGGAGTATTCGGATAGAATGCTTTGCTCGGTTTAGAGCCTCAATTCTGTGCTTGTAGTGATTTATATGGAAATTGATGTATGTATGGTCGTTCAATATATATAGATGCGAAGAGTGGATACGGATGTGGAGATGGATTCTACCCCGGAGTACGAGGATGCTAGTTACCGAATAGTACTAATCATAGGAGGAGGAGGAGAGAATCCCTACTCGTATCTGCCGGATTGACATGAAGCGGAAATTCGAATTCCTCTGATGAATATTCCCCTGATTACTATTCCCTACAAACACAAGTGCATGCCAGTGTGTATTGGCTAGTCTCCGTCTGTATACATATGAATGAGTTGCTGCCAATCACTCAATCATGGATGGCACGGAAAGCCCCTCCCAAGTCTCTTAACCGAGGGAGGTGCTGGGTTAGGTATAGGTAACTACCTAAGTAGTTAATGGACTGCCTTCAACTAAGTAATACCTAGGTAGGTGAATAACTAAGTCCGCTCTTCATCTCCCCATCCGCCACCACTGACCACCTATCTAACTACCTTACCAGCGTGCCGTGCCAGCTTACTTGTTTGCTCTTCAACTGGCGGGTACCGGTATACCTGGTTATATCATTACCAAGCTGCTGGGAGAGGAGCATCAACCTATCATCCGTCCAACATCGACCACTTTGCTATAGGTAGCTGTCACAAGCTTACGATTTCTTCTCTCCTCATGCGCTCCTCGCCATGGCGACTAAACGGAAGCTCGACGCATCACCTCCCTCAGGCGCTGCCCGCACCCGTCCGCATGATGTGAGGTTGCCCACCAGCCCCCAGGATTCGGAAGAGCCAGCGGAAAATTATCCCCGAAAACGCATTGCAATCGCCGTAAGTCCTATGGAATTCCCTGCAGACTTTGGCCCAGGGCTATCGACCGGAATACGACTTACGTTCAATGTCAGTGTAATGTCTGTAGATTTCGAAAGACTAGGTGTGATGCAGTCAAACCTTCCTGTGGGTTCTGTACCGACCTGGGCATAGAATGCACATACAGAAAGCCTACCATGGGAGACAGGTACGTTGGTATATTTGCGACCTTTCTCTGTCTCTTTTCTTCCTAACTGTCCATCTCGAAACCGGCCTTGCAGTATTCCCTTGTACTAAAATCCCGCCTCAATGTAGGGCGAAGCAGGCGAGCAACCCACCAGAGGCACTCTCCAGTCTTGAAAGACGATTGTCACAGCTGGAAGCGCGGGTTGAATCGACTCAGCAAATGATGCAGAGTACTTCAATACTCTCTCCGAATGTGTCTAATGCTAGTGAGATGATCGAGTCCCAAGACTCTACTTCCCGACGCTCAAGCATGAATCGAAGCGCCGTGGAATACTTAAGTGCTCCCGCATCGAATCCAGCGGTTGGAACCCCCGTGTCCTACGATTTCGCCTACCGACAAACTGCCACTGAGGCCACGACTGCGCGGCCTAGTTTACTTACTTTCCGTGCTCCATACTACATCAACGTGGAGAGTTGGGATTATACGGCAGAGTTCTATGACGACGAGATTCAAGCGGGAGAGCGACTGTGCGATCAGTTCGACAACCTTGCTTTGCAGCCTTTGGATCTAACGAAGAGGACTACAAGAAGGCTGCAGCAAAGTTTCGTCGAGAACTTTCTTCGATGGACTCCAATATTCGACCAAAAGACATGTGCAAGTGCCCTTGATCGGGCGACCGTGGATGGATTCATGGGCCAGAATGCAACCAGCTGCCTCACTTTCATGTTCCTAGCTCTAGGGGCAATATCAGAAGATCGAAGCGAGGATCCGGAGAATCAAGCGCCTGGGCTCGATTACTTCGCACGAGGATGTCAAATCCTCGAGAGGCTGTCCCTTCGTACTGGCAATCTTACAGTATTGCAATGCCGCGTATTACAGGCATCATACTTCAAGTTTGCGATCCGGCCGCTGCAGACATGGAATTCGATAACGCAAGCCGCCCGAGACTGTATGCATCTTCTCACCTCAAGGTCTCTCGAAAGAATGGATCAGCAGGAGCTTGAGGCACTTCACCGGGCATTCTGGGCCTGCTCCACGATATTGCATGAGCTTGAAGCTACCATGAAGATGCACCCCATTGGGCTCCGCCATTTCCACGAAATGGTGCCCCTACCGCAGTTCGAAGAGGAGGATTCGGGTTTCTATTTCTTCCTTGCTCAGATTAGCCTGCGCAAATTCTTGACGCAATCTTTGGAAGTTGTGGGGTACCACAGTGGAAAAGTTATTTATGCACCAGTCGTCACTAAAGAATTAAGAAAGCAGGTCCGGGAATGGTACGATCACCTACCAAGCGTGGTCCGATTTCCAATTGACTCGACCCCGGTATTTGATACGAGGAAAAGTTTCCTCCGTGGCCAATATTTTGCCTTATTCGTTGTTCTTGGTTGGCCATCGGTACTGAAGATTTTGGAAAGCGGCCAAGCCGAGGGTTCCAGCCTGGACAGCGAGTCTCTATCGGTGACTAAAGAGCAAGCTGCCGGCTGCATCAAAGGTTGTTGCTCCTATCTTAGCATTGCGGACGAGCAGCTCATGGGCCGGAAGATGGGCACGCACTTCACGTTGTGGGCGTAAGTAGTGGATATGAATTGTGCCGCAATGGTACTAATCGTTGAGAGTAGTACATATGCAACACTAGCGACGCTGATTATAACATTCAATTGTCCATGTCTAGCTTTCATCGAAGAAACACGGCAAGAACATCACATTCGAAACGGTTATGAGATATTGCGGCCCTGGGAACACCTTCCGATGATCCGACGTGGCCTCGAGAGAGCGAGGATTATGATGGCCCAAGCAGGCCTAGTAGATAGCAACTGCGTAGACGAATATTTGCCTTCTCAGGTAGTGAATGTAGATCTGAAACGGAGGTCGGAAACATGATCTTTGAAGATTGGGGAGCAATAATGTTTGGGAAAGACCCCAAATTTCAAGCGGAGATCGATATCCGAACTTCCCCGCCCCTTCTTTGGAGATTGCCCGCCAAATTTGGACTGCACTAAGAGACGTAAAAGGAAGTATCACATCCTCACAAGAATGAGACAGTATTAGCTCGAGACTCAAGCACCGTCGGCTTACGACAAAACCCTCATCTATCACACATACCGTCGCTGGACATATTATCAGATGGCAAAACCACACCCAAAGTTTTCAGACCTTCCTCTCGACTCCACACACCCTCCACACTCAGCTTGGGGTGTATGGGGAGACGATGACGAACTTGGTACGCTGAATCATTTGACTCACGAGCGGACCATTGCTGCTGCGAGAGAGATACGTACTGGCAAGCGCTTTGGGCTCAATTGGGCTCTAGAGCAGATGGACTATACAGGCGGTTTTCGTGAAGTGATCAAGCACGAAATATTTGAGATTGGTCCAAACATGAACGTATGTCGGTACATACAAGACCTTCACAAACAGCAATGACAATGAAGAGATAGGATGATCGCATCACCTTCAATACCCAGACTAGCACACAGTGGGATGGTCTGAGGCACTGGGGCTTCGATAATGGCACTTTCTACAACGGCCTGACTCAGCAGGAGATCTTGGAAAACAAGACTTCGAGGTTAGGAATACAAGGTAAGTGGTTTATATGTCCGCGTCAATATACTTGTCACACTTAGCTTATTGAGCGTAGCATGGGCTAAACAAGGAATTGTCGGTCGCGGGGTCCTCATTGACTTCGTGTCGTTCGCCCAACGCAATGGTGTTAAATACGATCCGCTAGAATACTACGCCGTAAGCCTTGAGGTATCAAAGCAGATCGCTGCTCAATGTAAGTTCGAATTTTTAGCCGGAGATATCATCTTCTTGCGTACAGGTATGTTGTCTAAACCTTTTTGAATACATTGAGCTTCATTCACCCACCCAGGGTTCACTACTGCATTCGAACTTGCTACCCTCGAGCGGAAGAAGGAGGTTATGTCCAAATCGCCCTTTAGTTACCCAGGGTTCGAGAGTACCCTAGAGGTTCTTGGCTGGCTGTGGGACACAAAGATTGCAGCTGTCGCAGGTGACTGTCCCGGCTTCGAAGCATGGCCGCCATCCGAACAGGCAATGCATCAGATACTGCTCGCTGGATTTGGCATGCCAATAGGTGAAATGTTTGCGCTTGACGATTTGGCCGAGGAGTGTGATAAACAGCGAAGGTGGACTTTCTTTGTCACTAGTGAACCACTGAACGTAAAGGGTGGTGTAGCAAGCCCACCAAATGCGCTTGCGATCATGTAGAGTATCATTGTACATACTATAGCCCCCAACCAACCTCAAGTTGCGGTTGCTGAATACCGATAGAGTTGATGATAGCCCTCACCTTGACTAAGATCTTCGTTAGAACTCCACTGGGTCAGATTAGTGTAGTTAAATCGAAACCAAAATTTTTTTTCTATTGGTTCCAGCAGCGTCCATCTCATGTCTAATCAAATTGCTATCATTTCTTTGTATCACGATTGTTGTACCTACTGGTTGTAGAACAACCCCTCGTATTTTTAGAAGCATCTCATCTGAAGTTATTAGCATCAATCTCCCCTCACCTTGCTACTCCTACAACCAAGAGTCTCATGCAATTGTTTCGGTCATTTCCTTACTCATCACGAGTGGATTTACATGGGCATGTATTGTCTGGTTTGAAAAAAAAAAACCCCAAGTTCCCAATCTAGATACTATTGTTGTAGTTGGTAGAAGTTGCTCCATCACACGCTCCCATACAAGAAATTGTAAATTCTGACCATTGATAGGTATTTCATATTTGCCTCAAGTCCAATTCTTCAAATAATGATTATTCTCGGTAGAACTTCCAGCTCAACTGTCTCCTGCCGTCGTTGAACCAGGATTCACGAGACTGTGATCGAAGACGTACCACTCCCTGTATTTTTGCCATTTGTGAAGCCTTCCGTCGCAAGAATCATGTAATCATGGTTCCCCAATTTCATACCTGCTTTTGCCCATTGGTCGAAGTGCGTCTTCATAGTCACCGTGCCACCTACCCTCTTTTCCGTGCGTACCGACCAAAACTGGTAGAAAGTTCTCGTTCCTTCAATGGAAGGTTTGTTGACTCGTTGACTTTGGTATATCTCATACGTTCCTTCCTCTGAGGTGAAATTTCCTTTGGACGTCCATGGTTCGTTTGCCGCGAGATCGCCATGCGATTCCACAACATAGTATTCGATGAGGGGATTACGGGTCCAGCCGTACACGGCCAAGTAACCCGGACCTTTAGGTTCGTATGTTCCACTGTACTTCACAACCCTTCGATCACGAATCTTAGACCACAAGTACATTCGAAGTGCATCCAAAAAGAAAAGGTCTCAAATACCTATTCCCACCACCGCGCCAACCTTTGCCTGCTACAAACCCTCCATTTCCAGACCAGGTGCAGCTGTATTGTCCGCCTGCGCCGTTGGTGCACCTAAAATTTCCACCGCCCTCGGACCAGAATGAATAATAGAAGCCACCTTGACGTTTGACGAGATCATTGGTAGGAGCGGAAGCTACCACCTGAAAGACACAGACGAGGACCCAGACAAGAAGCGAGAACATTATCGGGGAAGGTCGTTAAGTTCGTTGCTTCTATGAGTGTGCATATTATCCTCCATTTTTATATCCGCTTGCTGTTACACATGTCTTGGCTTCTTGTCCATATATACTTAGCTCCATATCTCCGTGTTATTGATGTTTAGCCTGAACGCAGACATGCTTCCTAATAGGATCGCGAGGTGGAAAGTCCGCGATGTTGGGCCTGCCGGTGGCTCTAATGAATCAACTACCGAACCTGCGTCGGAAATATACTACGAACTTAAGCTTTTGTGGGGTAAGAGGAACGTAAATCATACCTACTGTATCATGCGGGGCGCTGGCTGCAGTTCCTTCCACGAGATCCACGTTGCCGTGGCTTTTGTGGATGACTTTGATAGCAATTAGTGGATGAGTACATGGCAGTCAAAAATGAAATCCTCAGGTATAATACTAGAATCTAGCTTGCTGTTACTGTCTCTTTCAATATTATCTAGTCGAGCTTCAAGAAAGACATTTGTCGAGTTCTGAAAACAATACACCTCATTAAACAAATTTAATCGATTTAGATAGACTATCTTCATACATTAATGCCAAGGGAACCAGATGGATTTCATGTCATGCCTTCAAAATATAATCGATGCTGTCTGTAATTTGTCACATTGACACAAGACACAGACCGAAAGGCTGTTCTACCCATGCAATTGTTCTTATTCAGACATCAGTCTAATTTGTCGCCTGATGGAACGGACTGGTACATTGAAGATTTCTTGGAAATTTAGCGTATGCAATAAATACACCATGACCTCGACACTCCTGACTCCATCCTTGTGTTAGCTATTTGTAGCTAAAATTCAAGATCTTTGCTACCACTCACTTAGCTTGTTTGAGGAGGAATCAATGAAGATTCAGAAGCATTATTGGGGGCCATGCTATTATCGAAAGGATTAGGCTATTTCATGATACCATAAGTCGTGAACTATTATGTCTCTCCTAACCCAAAATTCAGGAAATTCCGCCCACTCATTGCTGCATAAGCTCAGAATACCTTGCTCCAAGGATTACCTTTGTTTCCATGGAACATTTGGCATTTTCAAAACGATCGGACCTGGTGTCACAATCCGCAGTCCGTCTACAAAATGATGGACTGGGCTTGCTTGTGAATATCTTCCAAAAATTCCTTAGACTTGAAATCGAGCTATTATCGTGTTTCTCGTGGCTTCAAAAGATCATGCCTCTCGATGATATGATCTATAACGACTTCATCTCTCAATCTGCGTCCACCCGCCTGGAATCTATGCTCTCACACAGCGCATCTCCAAGCCCACCAAACGCCCCAGCAATGACACCCAGCCCCAAGCACGACACAAACATGAAAGACCTGATGACTACTTCCGAAGACATCGAACCTGCCTCTCCACCTCCCGTGGCCCTCAACAGGCTCGTCTGCGTGTTGGCTATTGTCATCCTCTGCAATTCTCTCCTTCGCCCAAGCGCTGCTCTCGGGAAATCTGGTCGCAAAGAACGCGGCGCCGATACCGTACCAAAATCCTTCTGCCAGCCACCACATGACGCCTTTGTACCAGAAAGCCTCATAGATCCCGTAGTGAACGCAGCCATGAATGACGGGCCCGAACCCAGATAAAGCGGTCATAATGAAGGCCGCTGTCCGATGAGGACGGTATAGCGGGCCTTGCAAGCGTGGATGCATCACAAATAGGCATGATATACCAACTAGGGATGCGATCATAGTCCAGTAAAGTCGTTGATGAAAAGGCGAGTCGTAGAAGCCGACATATATACCAGATATGAACGACGTGAGGATCAGAACGAGAATTCCGGTATAGTCCAGGAGCAGACAGCTTGCAGATACCACAGGAGAGTGATTGATCAAAGTGTGATAATTGGCAGACAACGAGAGAGTGATCAGAGTAGCCATGGGTGTCAGAGTCAGAAGAAAGCGATCCGACCAAGGCGCATCTACGTAGATGGAAGAAATCTTTATTTGGAGAGTCGGTAGCGCCAGCGCTAGAATGAGCGCAGGTATCAGGTGAGTATAGATGTTCAGTGTCTCATTATGTAGGTGGAGTAGGCTGGAAATGCAAGCATTATAGCTACTCGACACTGGCCGATAGTTGGTCAGAATGTGCGGATTGTCCTGGTACCATTTCGGCAGCTCGGAAAATGTGCGAAGGACCAGTGGTGCTGGCGAGGTGGATGAACCTGGACTGCACTCAGCCTCCTTTGCATCCGTTGCGCCCTTTGCAGAGAATTTGCGAAAGAGCATGTGAGGCCATCGTAGCGCGAGAGCGAGTGTCGTGGCCATAGCTGACTTGAATCCGTCGTTTGCAACTTGGCCAACAATAGACGACGACAAATGATTAAAGATGGGAGAAACGGTTCAGAAGATAACTGTCCGTACCCACAAGAAGAACTACTGTTACTGAACAATGGAATACGACGATTAAAATATATATGCGATAAGACAAAACGCGACACGCTTGGGGAAGACAGTAGGAGAAGAGAGAGCGTGTGTGCGTTAGAGAGAGTTAATGTGTGAAGAGCGGAAATAGAAGGAGGAAAACGAACTTTGAAAAGGGCCTGGCGGATATAAAGAAAAATTGAATCGACAATGAAATGGAGGTGTGGAGTTGCCTCTGGCTCGCTGCTTTGATGGCGCCAGGCCAGGGCCCATGATCGAACGATCTGAAGACCCGCGAGTAGGCGAATCGAGCAAATAGAGAGACGACCGAGATGGACGAGAAGAATCCGAGTGCGAAGTCGGTCGGAAACATCGGGTTGCCCAACTTCTCCCTTGGAGTTGCCTGGCCTGAGTGGATGACTGACGTTGCGGCGCCTTTAATATCATTATTAATTCGAGCCGGCAGCCCCAATTTACTTGAAATGGCATCGGCTCGTATCCACAAGTTCCCAAAAACAGCGATAGATAATACTCGTAGTGATTGCTGCCGCATGTTTGAATGCCTTGTCCCGTATATTGAAGATTGAAATTAATATTTACATTGTCATAAGACCCGGCGCTGTGCTATGCTGTTGTCAAAAGTACAAAGAGATTTTGTCATTTCCATCATGATGAACTATTAAAGATCGTCAACACATCCGTTGAATTGTTGTAGTCCGGCTCGCACTTCTCGGTGAAGCCGCCAGCAAGCTCTCCTCTCTTTTGTACAAGCTCCTGAAACTGATCGGAAGAACAACTTTCGCCCGGACCATTCGCACAACCAGGGACATATTGCGGGCTCTGGTTTACTAGAACGCGGACGTAGTTGCCAGCATCAAAACCGTAACTATCGCACGACAATTTCTCAATGGCTATGTTGGATAGAAATGGCAGGATATGTGAGGATTTCCAGGCTCTGTTGTAGTTTTGCGTCGTCAATGGCATGGTGGCATTGGGGTCGTTCGCGCCCGTGAAGGCGGAATTATTGAATAGACCGAGAGCAACAATGACCATGGGTGGAAGTTCGCGATGTGTGAAGGAGACGTAGAGATCCTGTTCAGCCTCATCGGCCAATAGCGTAGATACTGTGGCATTCACCCATGGAAATCCGACTGCAGCAGACACGTCAAGTCCATAGCCAGCATTGAAGAAGTACTGCACGTCATTCATGTACTCGAAATTGAGCCAGTCATTCGCCGAAAAGACGTCAAGGTCGCAGAATGGGGATGATCCACGAATCACAGTTTCGTAACCGCACAACTGTTGCATGCCGACAATGTCGTCATTGGTGAAGTTGAAGCCAGGAGCAAGATTACGGAATCGTTCGATGATGGGATTGGTGTATATATCTTTGTATTGCTAGGTGGCATTAGTGAATGTCGCACTGAGTCGGTTATATCTCGTAGTACATACCGAGGACTGTTCGCTGCCCCCTGAGGAACTATACTTTGGGCAACCCTTGTATGGGGTCAAAGAATCAGCACCCTCAGCCTCGCTTTCAGGCACGGAGACCTTCTGTGTGTCGTTGCTCCCAAATGCTAGACCCGAGATGAACGACTGGGCGCTCTTTTCGGTGCGCTCGGCAGTGGAAGTCCAAACTTTGCCGGGAGCCTTGAAGGTTGGGTACCTCATTCGAACGGTTGCGCCGAGGGTATACGATTCCAGCTCACCAATGTGTGTCAATTCCTCGAGATCTTCGTCCTCAATGGGAGTTTGCCATGACTTGAGGAATGATAATGGACCCGCTCTGCCCCAATCCGTGGTGGAGTTCTTCAACTTGTCCGTAAAAGGCTCGATGTACTCCTCGAAGTCAAAGTCGTTTGCATAGATGGCAGCATGACGTATAAGATAGGAGGCACGAGTGACATGGCAACCCTGGGGAGGGCTTGGATCGAGAGGAGGGTCGCTGGGTTCGAAGTAGGGTGCGATGCCTGCAAGATGCTGCAGAGGATCGAAATTGTAGGAAGACGAAACTGCGGATGCAGCTTTAGCAAGAGCAATCGAGAGAGCGAGCGAGCGGAGCATAGCTGCTGCGACAGGAATTCGAGGATTGGAGTAGTCAATGGAAGGACTGGGAAGCTAATTCAATTGCTTACCTGGGCAATAAATGGATGGGTAGAGTTCAGACCTTAAAGAAGTGCATGGCAGAGGCAGAAGAACGATGTCATCGCAGCGGGTCGGAGTGAGACCCAGTGAAAACGAAGACGCGTGGGGCTAGAGGTGGAACTGGCCATGAAGATCGACGGTACAAAAGATAGGTTTTGGGAGTATGGGTACCATATTAGGGGATATGATGATGGGAATCCAACGTGTAGCAGCAGAAGCAGGTATGGGAAAACCAGAAAGTGGTAGCGATGACGATGGTGATGTCGACTCCCCTTTTTCCGCTTGCCGGATCGGGGTAGCTGGTGGCCGAGTAGGTGAGGAGAGTCGACAAAACAGGGCACGCTGGCAAGGTAGAAGGCTAATCAGGCATTATGATTTGCACTCGTAGAGACTAACTAGGCATTTTAGAGATTTAGAGTACGAGTAGACTTTGATCGTACCTAGTACTCGTACTGTGTGTATTCATGCGGCATCATCGTGAAAACTTGGAGTTGATCAAGCTTTCGTGTAGGTGCACATCCCCTTCCTTGGCAGGTACCTGTATTCCTTCGTCTGTCCAATCTACGTCTCTCACGCTTCCGAGTTCCGAACAACAGTGCTATGTTAGCCTTCAGCTGGTATTTACACGTTCGTCATTTCGATTCTGCATCGACTATAGTCTACTGTATACCTCGTCATTCCGTCATGGAACTGGTACACCCACCTTCATACGAGTAGATCGTTCCACTACACAATAAGTCAATGCCTCCTTTGAGACTATGCATTGCGACCGGGAGAAATCTATCCACCAGAGCAGCAGAGCGGCGAAGCCAATCATTTTACAGGCACGAACGATATTTCTAAGCACCTGAGTATGATTGTGCGTTGATGATGAAATGGGGGATGGAAGCATATCGCTCGTCGCTGGCTGTCTATGTACGTGGACGTGGGACTAAATTATTCCTAGAGGCGAATATATCTCAACATGGTCGTAGACGTTCTTCGCATCAGTTGAACCGTTCTCAACGGGCCAATGCATCATCAGGTCGAGGTCGACACAGTTGATACCAAGGCTATCAATTTTGAATATAAACCTTCTACAACCTTTTCGGCCGAGTATTTATCACTATCAACATCCAGGCCTCGCGACATGTCCAATGTTACCAGGTACTCTACCAGTCTGGAGACACCCGAGCATCTCCTTAATTCTGTCATTTGTGACGCTACTGTACTTCCACAATCCTGACAGCTCATTCGTTTCCATATGCACCAGCACCGTCAATGTGTTGGTAGCCCGCTCCTAACGTCATGGTAATATCGGTCGATGTCACATTGCTTCAAGTTTCAAGTTTCGAAGTCAATCGGATGCGGGCCAATGATGCCCTCGTTGGGTTAAATTAGCATTTGTTCATGGCAGAGGCGCAGTCATCCCAGGAGGGTGCAATCAAACACCAAAGCGCGTCGCTGCAGATTTGCGAGACATGGGCAATTTGCGGGGGAAACATAGCCCTGGTTTAGGGGCGGTTGTGAATGGATGAGAGAAACTGAATCAAGAATGTCCATAGTAGTAACTTGGGTACGTACCAAGCACATGGTAATAGGTGGAACGCCCGCCGCTGTCATACCCAAACTTAACTGAGACCACACACCACACCCGTGGAACGCACGCTGTGAAGGCATTAATAGTGTACTGTATAGATGCGCGTTTCTACATTCTCGGCTGTGTCGATACTTCTGTTGCGATGACCTCGCAGTAACCATGTATGCCATGGTCTTACATTTCGGAAAAGACTGCGCATCTGTACTTAGTGAACACATTGCTCGGTGCTCACGCACATTTGACTATGTACCCAATACGGGCACCACCGTTACTATAACTACATACAAATGCAGGCACCTACGTGTGCCAGTATTCTGTACTACTAATGATAGCACGGCGTACCCATAGCACAATAATATAAATGAATCTGCCTAGGTACATGTGGCTTCTGTGAGCATTCTTCTTACACAGTATGCATGACCACGACCATGTTGGAGCAAGAATATTCGTATGGAATGGAACGGAACAGGTCTGTGTGCTGGTTCACAGTGGATCAGTAGTTGACGATAATCACACTACCTACGATTCGAAGCAATCATCATTACAAGTAATAAATGTTCTCTGTCCTCCCTCCTCTGCCATTATCACTTAGACGGATGATAGTAGCCAAAATGGTGATCGCATGTACTTGTAGACCTACAAAGCCTAGGGGGGGTGTGAACCTTTACTGATTATGCAATGAATGAATAATAGATGATAAAGAAAATATGTACTCCGTACGGAGTAATACTCTCAGTCTCGTACAGAACATTTACACTACCTAGGTGGAATCAGATGTGCCGAGGCTAGAGTATACAAGTGCTCAGTACAGGTTACAAGTACATGGGTACAAGCATACTTCATCCACCCAGTCAAACTATCGCTGCCCTCAAAGGGAAAAGGCTCTTTGGTTGCTGTACTTCGTAGCATTCACACTATTTAGAGTACTACTTGCCACCAATAACTACTGTGTTGTGCACCAATAATGTACATACCTACTACCTACCTACGAATAGGCTGGCCCTGATACGGAGTAGACAATTGCCGCAATTGTGGTTAGAACTTGAGCGGTGGCTCAACTGAAAACATAATTATTACTGGTAGATAGATGCCTCCGTAGGTACGGAGTACGGAGTACATAGTCAACTATTACTCGTATACAGCAGGTAACTAAGAGCTAACTTCAATTCGGGCCATGGATATCGAGGTTTCCTCCACTTCGTATTCGTTCATTTTCTCATTTTTCCCCCTCGCCTCCTTTGTTCATCCTTCGTTCTCCTTCCTCGTCCCCTTGGTACACATCACATCGTTAACTAACCTTCTTAACCATGTCTACCTAACAAGTGCTGCAACGAGCAAAGTAGGTCAAAACTCGATTCTAATTCCCTCTTCTCCCTAGTGTACGGATTTTGTCTATAAATATAGGTACTTTCATACCATCAACGATATGCCCTTTGTTTACGGGTGGTTCCGGTTCTGCCACACAATTACTTCGTACACAGTACTCCGTACTTATTTTGTTCTCACCCACGTAAAGAACTAGTTCCTGATCGAGCCCGGATCTATGTATCCGACGACAACAACAGCGAATAATATCAATGAGATACAACGCCAAAGACTGTGGGGTCTCAGACCCATAAATCAATTTCCCATGCCGTTACCTACCGGTAACTATTGGATTTGCACCAGTAAAACTAGTTACTTACTGTGCAGTGTGTACGGAGTGCTGTGTACTGTGTACTGTGTAAAAGAAATACTACCGTAGGAACTGAGCGCAGGTCTCACATGAGTGCAAAACCTTACCTTCATGGGCTCCAGAGTCCAGTCCCCATATTACTTGTACCTATTACCTACAAGTAGCCATGTACAGCGGATCTTCGTATTCCAACCATGCGGTCACCCACTTGTGCCGTAATCTTCCTGTTGCGGCATAGCCAGCTTCTTACCGATCACGCCTAAGGTACCGTAGTTACCCCGTCTGTGACTTGTACATCCATACAAGTACATAGGTACAAGTACATACTGTACGGAGTACTACTAACTGTACTCCGTACCCCGCCAACATTTGAGCTCGTATGCGCGCCCGCAGAATTTTCAGTCTCTGCCCTGAAGTATGTCGAATGATGAGGCCAGGACAAGTGCTTCCACGATATTATTGCATTGGTGTCAAAGGGTAAATTTGCGACGGCTCCTTCTGAGTCCTTCATCCATGGCTCCTGTTCCTGGTGCGGCGTGGTTTCCATGGTCCATGCTGGAAACCACCACCCTCGGACGCTTAACCAGACGCTTAACGAGACGCTTGACAAGACGCTTCACACTAATTCCCTTAATCAGGAGTCAGGACCTTGTAATACTCCGTACAATACGGTTGTCCCTCTCTGCGTGCCGCAATGGCCGCAATGCGCACCGATTCGAGCAGTTTCTCCATGCAATCTCCTCGCTGACGGCCTACCAGTAAGCAAGCAACCGACTCAAGCGAAGACGATCGCACATTTGGCATGCCGTCCTGTTGGTTGCTAACATGAATCTAGATGCAAAACATAAACCTGACCACCTTTCTCCCTGGACCTCCTCCCTGGGACCCTGGCCTGACCCTGACCCAGCTGGCACAAACCAACGCACAGGGAAGTGATGGCCATACCTAGGATTCAGCACCTCTCACAATTTCTCCCCCTCAATCATACCAATATTAACTAGTTACCAACCGCCCAATTCTTGTGGAAGCCTCCCTACGCCGCACAGAGTGCCGCCTTCTGCTCTCCAGGCGCTCGGGACCGTTTGACAAGGCTGTGATTGTGACCGGCGTGTGAACTGACCACTCTCTCGGTCGTGTGTGCCGGGCTATACATTTCTCCAGTCTCGACTCCACCTCGCTTTCTTCTTCATCTCCACACCTCCTGTCCCTTCTCCAGCTTTCCTCATTTGCGATTTGACAATCCTCACCCCAAGGGTGCGGAGGATGCGCACCGCGACGACGAGAACATATACTTGTGGGAGTATGCCAGCGCCGCAGTGACCTGGACTTAATGGAGCCCCTCATGATGTCGGGACTGGTCGACCCAGGAATGTCCAGTCCCGAAAACCGTTTCACCGGACAATTCAATTCAAACACGCTGGCTGTCATCGTCTGCTCAGCGCTTGCCTTGTACAACGCCCTCGAGCTCGAACTACTCATTTTTACCACCTTCCATGCTTATCGCGGCCTCTACTACTGGGCACTGGTCCTCTCAAGTTTCGGCATCATCCCATATGTTCTCGGATATATGATCGAGTACTTCCGTCTCACCTACCTTGCCGTCGGCATTGCCATCGACACGACCGGATGGATCCTCATGGTCACTGGCCAATCAGTAGTGCTCTACAGTCGCCTGTACCTCGTCTTTGGTAGAGGGCATCGAAACCTCCTGGCTGCAGTTAAATGGATGATTATCGTGGATGCAATAGTGTTTCACGGCGTAACCGCGAGTATGTAAAAGATAAGGATATGCATGAAATTCTCGAGGCTGACGTTCATAGTCGTTGTGTACGGTTCCCATTACGGCGAAAGGACCAGCTCATTTGGCTTAGCCTACAACTACGTCGAACGCATACAGATGGTCGCATTCTGTGTGCAAGAATACATTCTCAGCGGACTCTACATCTGGAAAGCCCTCGACATCATCAAGGTATCGGGTCGGAAGCGTTCACGTCGTCTCATGTGGCAACTATTCTCGATCAACGTCATCATAATTGTCCTCGATATCGCTCTTCTCATCATCGAATTCAAGAGCTACCATGTTCTGCAACAGACCGTCAAAGGCGTCACATACAGTGTCAAGTTGAAGTTGGAGCTCGCAGTTCTCAACAAGCTCGTTGAGCTCTCGTCGCAGCATCGCGTCAACAGTGCGCTCAGCTACTCCCACACGAACGATTTCGTGGATCCCACCAGAGCAGTTTGGGATGTTACTCGTTTTACCCCGCCATTCTCCGGTGCCACCGCTGCTCCACGGCCTAGATGGGTTTCTGACCTTGAGAAGTCTGGCCTCCAACGCATGGACAGCTCATATTCTCCAGCGGATGCATGGGCGCGCGACAAGCACAGCGATACCTCTGCCTCGAGTGATCTTGAGACGGGTGATATAAAGCAGCCTGTCCCAGTCATGATCGATCCCAGACTTAGTCTGCGCAAAGGCTCAGCAACAGACCTCCTGTACGCGGATGCCATACGTAAGATCGCCCGTTGACATCAGTATTGTGGATAGACATCCACGCCCAATAGTTCCCACCAAATACACACCCGAAAACGACCATGCGCGGGACATTAATCATACGATGCCATCTCAAATCCCGCAACGTATAGACAGTTCCATGACTATCTTTGAGCGCGCCAGCTCGCCAGGGCATTGTCACTTCTTCCAACCATAAAGCCCTGCAGAAATTTACTGTAGAAATGGGAAGACGAGGTGAAGGGCATATTTTCTTACGTATCCCTGGGACCATGAATTCACCATGACATGTGATTTGGCGAAAGCACCACAGAGGAGGTGCACAACACAACCAGTGGCCTCGGCAGTCCAAATAAGAGCCGAATATCTTGCGCTCCCTTGTTCATGAGAAGCGCGGTACGTTTCATGATACAGTGTTTGATTGAAAGGACCAAGTACCAAGAACATTGGCGAAAACGCCATAAATCTTGTCATAACGACTTGCACATGTTGCAAGTTGTATTGGAATATTTTCATCTTTAGTTACGACCTAGATACCCCATGGAGGATAATGAGTTTTGTATTTTCATCATCATTGCCTATTGGCTCTGTTATAATAAAATCATGACCCGGATGTTCTGATAATCCAGTATGTTTGACTACTTACTGCGTTCATCTCAAATCTGACATTGTGAAAGGCTCAGTTAATCAATGAGCTAGATACAGTGACAATACTGGTCGATATCGTTATCAGATCAGCTTGCGATCGGACAGAATGCATCTATGACCATGGAGGCCACTTGCCTTTACCACATGAACGTACAGTGAGAATACGTGGAACTTTTCTATATTACACAAACCGTTTCGTGGATAGGAGGAAAGCTCAAATAGATATATGAAGCAAATCGGCACTACAAGCAGGATGCGTTGGAGGTGGATAGATACTAATAGCTAGGGCATAACTGAGGTCAGTGTAAAGTAATCTTGTTAAATCACCTACCATGACATAAGGGTAATGTGAATTTCGCAACGCTGGGTCTATCAAAAGGCTTGAGTTTATTCTTTGAGGATGATCTAGCGTCCCTAAATCTACTTCCTCTACTTCCTCTACTTCCTTTACTTCCTTTACTTCCTTTACTTCCTTTACTTCCTTTACTTCCTTTACTTCCTTTACTTCCTTTACTTCCTCTACTCTTCTACTCTTCTACTTCCTTTACTTCCTCTACTCTTCTACTTCCTTGACTTCCTCTACTCTTCTACTCTTCTACTTCCTTTACTTCCTCTACTCTTCTACTTCCTCGACTTCCTCGTATAGCCTCCGTTAGCTATATCTCCCTTGAGCTGAAAGTAGGGCAGGAAGGACAGGTGAAGCCTTACCGGACATTCCAGTCCAAAACACCTCCCGTTCAACGAACATTCAGAACCGGCAGCATCCAATCCAAACACGTGGCCAGGGCGACGGGAGCCTTCATCCTCCCGGCTATGAATTCTGACGTGCCCGTCTTATCGTATGAGGCATGGTTAACTACGGACAATGACGACAAAAAAAGTCGCAGATGCGGAAGGACATCTAAGAAAAGAATGTCAAGCTCATTCGTGCAGCCATATAATCCGCAACATTCGGAAGCGGCTACCGGATATTTAGAAAGAATGGATTACACTCCTATCGATTGCCGAATCGCAGATATTGTCCAGAAAACAATCGACATTACGGGCAAATCTCGTCGAGACGATAGAGAGCTCACGAAACTACATAAGCACGCCCATGATATCATGAAAGTACATCCGGCAAAGCATGTGGAAGTATGTTTGGTCGGTCAGCAGGCCACGGGCAAGTCCCTTGCTATCAACGCCCTCTTACACCGCCGCCGTCTCTCGAAGATATCGGCTTCAGGTTCGGCGTGCACGGCTACCGCTATCAAGTATATCCATCATCCCGAAAGAGCCGACGATAGCGACCTGTACGACATTGACATTCAGTTCATGGATGATGAATGTCTTCTGGAAGCCACGGAGGAGCACATTCGGCGATATTATCACTTCAATTACTCCGACAACGTGGATCCCGATTTCTCAGATGAAGAGGAGGCATTTGCCGAATCGGCCATGGAATTTTTCAACTTAGTATGCGACATTGCCAAAAAGCAAGAGAATCAAGTTGAACTGGACCTTTTACTATGCCAACCTCAGATTGAAAATGGTCGACTCTTACAACATATACTCGACAAGGCTCGTCTTCGCATCCTCGCAACAGGTGCGAACAGCGCAGGTGTCAAGAAATTGAGGAATATCACGACTGACCAGTTCAATAAGTCCATATCGGACATCGTCACTCATAGCGACACTAAATCTCCCATGTGGCCCATTGTACAACACGTCAATATATACATGGGCTCGGCTTTACTAAAAAATGGAGTGACATTGGTTGCTTGCCCCGGTAAGATCGCAAGCGCATAACAATACGGATGATCGCTGAATTCTCTAGGTCTTGGTGACCTGAACCATAATCGCACTGCTGTTACAAATGCTCTTCGCCGACAGGCGCATGCTGAATTGATATTCGGAAAGTCGGCTCGTGTCGAGACTGATCAAGCCATCCACCGTCAGATAAAAGACTCCATTAAGGCACACGGTGCGCAGAACACGATCTTGGTTTTAACTAAGATAGATGTGAGTATACTCATGTAGTTGCTGGTCTATATACTGACTGTGACAGGAATTCTTACTAGAGGATCATGCGATTGAAACCATTATTTCAGAGAATGAAAGTCATCCTTTTCCTGATATTGCAAGGCATCATAAATTGGCAAATGCTCAAATTGACGAGATCGTAAGGAAGCAAGAGGAAGATAATCAGGACATTGCTGAGGATGAGCTCGACTCCCAGCTTGATTCTCTGAAGAAGTACCAGGACTATCTAACTCACACTGCCAAAATTACCTATATCCGTAATCCAGCGAATAATCTCGAAAGGACTATGCGGTGCAAGCTCATTGATGGATCTGAGCCTAACCCCATCACTGTAGTTTCGATTACCGCCTCGATCTATCTCCAATGGATGCAAACCCGGTTGCGTCAACCGCCGGTATTGAGCCCACATATAACAGGCATACCATATTTAAGGAAGATACTCACAAAACTACCAATGGATGCAGAGTGGAGGCAATACCGTGACCATGTCACAAAACGAATACCTCTTTTTCTCGACAAAGTCACTTGGGCCATCGATACAGAACATCGTAATGTTTCTTATGAGAAGCTGCGACCGATGTATAAGCGATTTGTTCAGTCTTTCGAAGAGAAACAAAAGGATTCCTTGAAACACTTTCTACAGACTCGAACGCCATCTATGTGGCCACATAAGAGGCAGGCGAACCAACAATTGGAAGCTATTGATCAAGTGGTACAAGAATGGAGTAATGGAGTACGGTGGAACACATTCGACAGAATGCTTCGGGAGAGAGGGACTCCATTCAAAAGTCAAGCTGCGAAGTACAGAGGACAAGCTATCCACTGGAATGACGACATATGTCGGGCAATCGCACCTGAGGTTGCACGCTGGTCGAAGGAACTGAAATCAGCAATCGCACTTTTTACTCAGGATGTGCGCATGGAGACCAGCAGCCTTTGTCAACAGGTTTCAACCTTCATTCAAAGATCATCCCTACCTGTGGTCTACAAGAACATCGCCCAAGATGAATGGAAAAAGTGTCAAACGACTGTTCTCAACGACACCCTGCAATTGTTACGAGACCTTCTGGACGAACAAGTCGAGAGAGTCCACAGATATGCAAGTACAGAGACAGATATTCGATGCATGATTGCCAAATTGAACATACCCGTTTATGACTATACTTCAAATCTTCCAAAGGCACCCGGTCGGTTCAAGCGACAACAAAAGGAACTGAGGAACGAAATAGTGAATCAAGATGGAAAGGGAGAAGCGATACTGGATCGGATTACCGAAGCTCTTCGCAGTCATACATGGAAAGAGTTAGACTCTGCCTTCAATGTCTTTGTTGAAGAACTCCATGCACAACTAATCCTCTTTGACGATCATATTTATGAGCGTCTTCCTCCGCAGTATATGATTACTCCTAAAGACCAAGAACTGCGAATGCACCTAGAGAAAGCGCTTCGGGTGCAGAAGACCAAAGCAAATGCATTACTAGCTTTGTTCTGTGAGAAATATTCGCAATCAAGAATGGCACAGGCAACTTCTCTAATTAGCGGAGAAGGTTCTGATGGTGAGGCGATCAACCAGGAATCACCACGGAAGCTTAGGAAGGTTACCCTGACCAGTTAAAGACGGGTGTCTTTCTGCTTTGCATATCGTCCGAGTCCAGTGTTTGTCAGGCGAGGAAATAGCATTGGACCAAGAACACACTGGCAATTTTTAAGCACCACGAACCGACTCAGATAGCATGATCAGAAATTAATAAAATTGATGAAAGATTTTGGTATGTCCTCTATATTCAGCGTGACCCGAAAAGAACAAAGCTCGACATTTATGAGATTACATTTCGACATTGAGAATACCAGCAAGAGTAGAGTCTAAAATATTTCGAGTCTAGTACTGCGTATATACGAGACACTTTATGATTTATTTGTTGTAAAACCACATCCTGGTTTCTGAAAACCCAAAGGTGCTTAAGACGATTCAGCACGTATCATTGTCAAATCCAACAGGTTGGCATCAGGTCCTGCAACAGAATTCGACATCCGGTGGAATGCAAGGGGCAATACAAGTATTGTCTTAGTTACGTTATTTGCCGAGAGTCGTAAATGATCCACTGTGGAACTGCCCGTGATACTCTCGGACCGACATTCAAATCTCCTTTGGGATGGTATGGACATCAATAACATTTGGCGTTTAGATTTTCATAGTCAGATTTACAAGTCATGATGCATAGTCTCATGTTAGTACCAGTGTCGACTCATGCAATGCATTCCGAAGTTTGCCCATCCTGAGGTAGTGAGATTCCGACGGATGGGTTCCCGATCCGGTTAGCGCTCCCTAGGACAGGTCACAGGGTTCAGGAATGCACTTTAGTTCGTATGACCATGGAACGTATGCAGCCTTCGAGCAAGTACTACTTCATATTTCAGAAAGGGATCGTTTTTCCTTATATTCTTATCCATATGATGCATTCTCAATTCAAAATACCTGCACCAAATTGTACGTGCTACGTACAAGAAGCCGAAAATGCAGAGCATAACGAGCCTCCTCAAACCTAGTACTCCTGCATTCAAGAAACTCGAGATCCGATTAGATACACCCAACGTATATATTACAACTTCTTCCACCGATGACGGGCTCTGTCCACCCAGCATACGTGGTCGAGTGATATTGATGACCCATCAAGAGCTTCTCGCCAAAGAAGTCAGGATTACGTTGAGGGCAACCAGAAGAATTCAGTTTGTCTTTACATTAAACCGCACGAGGAAGTAGACTAATCAACAAGTAGATGGTATACCGACGCTGCCCACCCGCAAAGAGTCAGGAACAACGACATCATCACTACGAAGGAGTCGCGCGTGTTCCCTCCCTTGTCGGCATTGATCATTGAGCAAACACATCGGATCGAGTCTGGAAACCATGTATGGCCATTCGAAATCGATCTTGAACCTGATTCGATCGAGACTGTCAGTGGGATGTGGGATAACTATGTAGCATACACCCTGGAAGCTACCGTGGTTGCAGCAGGTTATCTAAAACGGAATTTCTCCGTGAGCCGACCGTTCAAAGTGATCAGGATCATTGAAGATAGCGCACTGGATGTAATTGAGCCTGAGCAGGTAAGTTCTTGGACATCACAAAGAGCAGGCCATGTTTTGACATCACCAGATCCGAACCGGCACTTGGGAGGATAAGCTTCACTATCAAATCAGCACATCTCCCTCCTCACATCCTTGGGGCCAACCAATCGCGGCATACTTTAATATCTCACAACTTAGCAAGAAGATCAAGATAGACAAAATTGCATTACGATTTCTAGAAATTATGGAGCTAAGAGCCTTCGATGGCCGACGCGAGCTATTCAACCAGGACAAAAAAGTCGTTACTCATGTCGAAGCGCTTTCTCCGAATAACCCAGATCTCTTGCTAGACGGTGAGCAAAACATCGATGGAGCCCACCTATTCAAGGTTGATATAATGCTGCCAAAATCTTTACGATACTGTCGGCAGTCGGTACTACAGAGCCGAATACGTCTTAAACACAGATTGTGTATTGATCTCCACGCTAGCGACGATAACGGAGTGAACCACGCCGTAAGCCCGGTTCGAGGACCTTTATACAGGTACCTGTCTTGCTGACTACCTAAAGATTTCACATGAGTTTGAATATTTCCTCGCCATTCCTTCGTCTCTCACTTTTGATGAGTACGATAATGTGCATCTTGATCTGATCGCAGGCTCTCAACGGGACGCGACTGGCTTACACAAACTTCGCGATCCACCGCCCGCATTCGAAGACCACCACAAAGATCCTATATTCTATCCCGACCTTCTCTCATGGATTAACCCAACTGAGGGGGCGGACCCTGCTCGATTCGATCATTCTCAAGCAGAACAACATATACTGCTCTGCACCACGACTCCAACCGGGCTAACATTTCCCTTCATGGCTCCCAAAGCACCATCGTGAGTCCAGCCATCTGGTTTTTCCTTGTCCATCCCAGTTTCTAATTTGTGGAATAGTCATTTCAATCCGCCCGAACCCCTACAGGATCTTCCGCTTCATTGTGTACCGAGCTACGAAACCGCACTGTCAACCCCGGAAGTGTACACGGAATACGCTGACCACCGACCGGCGTACAATGTCGACTGAAAAGCACAACAAAGTCCTACCAAAGGTAAGGGTGCATCGGTGTGGCAATAGTTTCACCTATCATGAAGATATACCTCGCATGCCTGTTCTTTCTCAAACTGCCCTTCCGCGATCCAATAAACTTTACTTCGACATGGCGACACCAGCTTTCTTTCTATTTGTAGCTGTAATGGAGATATTACAAAAGAGGACATGAAATGTCTCAACCTCAAAGTGTACTTATGTAAGCGGAAGAAGTGAGAAATGTATGAAATGGAACAATGGCGAAGTAAATTGTTATGTCTTTACCAAATACGCTTCGACATTGTACCGGTCAAGGTCTTGCGGATATGAGGTCATATTTACACAATTCTCATAGCTGATAGTTGGATCCCCAGATCCAGCTCTGATCTTGGCTATTGAAACAGCTTCCCATCCATTGGCCTGATTCCATGTTAAGAAACGCGCCACTCTCAGGGGACTCGGTAGGTAGATTAATAACTATGCGATGATCAGACATTTTATGTAGATGTGAATGGTCAAATGAAAGCTATCTTACCTTGCTCAAATTCGTGAAGCGCCTGAGTGATGGTCGAGTCTTCATATAAATCCATAGTCAAGCCATCAGAGGTATATGTAAGTGACGTGTGTGGAGACTCTACGTTTCCAAGGTCAGAATGAGGCGCATTCTGTGATTGACGCAATGCCGCTACCGGGTCACTGCTATCATCTGGTGGGGGATTATCTTCGGTACATCCCCTCCTATTCGGAAAAGTGTCGGATTTGTCATGATCCGGGTCGGTGTTGCTAGGAAATTCTAGCAATTGTTCCCGCTCCTTAGCCAACACCAATGACATCAACTTTTTCAGAATGCTGAGACCCTGTTCTGCAACGATTGAACGAGACCTGAGGCGGGATTGCATTTCCATTAGGCGTCGAATTCCCATTTTACAATCATATGAATCGCGACTCAAAGGTTCCAGGCTCGTAATAATGGATAGTGTTACTGCTGCAGTGAGTACGTGCATGGACACGAAAGAGACCGCATAAGTATTGGCAGCATCCTTGACAATGGGCAGGGAGCTAATGATCGAGACCTTAAGCGCGGCATCTTTACAGGTTTGAATGGCAGACCGGTATGAATCTGTCGACAAGATAGTGTGAGATCGTCCATCGGCGTTCATCTGCTTCGCAGAAGAGATCAGTCTGTATGACAAAAGTGGTCGGTGGATGAGAATTCTCGCATTTTCGAAAGCAAGGCTCAATATCAACCCTTGAAGTGGGAAAAGAAATTGAGGACTGTTGTAGTAGTCGATAGGATGATCTGCTCTGGCTCTCTCTGCTTCACGTAGAGCAGCATCTGATACTGTAGACTCATTGATCCGCAAGCGCTTTGGGATGATCTGACATAGCGCCTCAAGTCTCTTCGATAACTTAGACACGGTCGAGATCACGGTATGCAAACGTTGATTGTCGGAAACGGATTTTCTCTTATCTTCGGAACTACCACGGAGACCGTACAAGTCGACGAGTGCGCATTTTACGATAATAGAGAGCTGAACCATTGAATGCTTGAAAGTTAATAGCGTTGCTTGACCCGTTTGCTTCAACACATCAGGCTTCCACTTGGGGTCGCCGGATCTTAAAGGATATGGGTTCAAGAGCTCCATGTCGCAATCATCGTCGTTTATGCTCAGGGGAAAGCCGTAAAGCATGGAGCAGAATGTTTCTATTTCGTAAACTGCCCACCAACAACGTTTACGAGATTCTTCTGTTCGGCGGGTCCGATCATCGAGATCTGGCGGGTCATTTTCCGGTTGCGGGCAGCGGCGGTGTAAATTCAAGGCCTGCGCAATTCTCAAGCCGCAGCCGCAAATTGGCCAAGCAAGGGATGGCTCGCCATGGTAGAGGTAGAAGCTCCCAAGAAGAACGCAGGCCTGAACAGCTTCAATTGAACCTTGCGACACAATATCGAGTAGCCGCATTTTCAGCGACATTAGAAGTTGTTTCTGGAGAATCTCTGGGTCAATACCGTGGTCTGCGAGCTGTGAACGCTGATCATGACTGAGGTAACTCAGACTAACAACACAGACAGCGGCTAGTACTCCCAGAAATCCGATCGAAGACTGTGTCCCTAGGGATGGTCGACCGAGGTTCCGGTAAAGAATTTCGAATTGATCTCTGAAGTCACACTGATGAAACACCATCATAAACCAGTGAATGCGCTCAAAATAGTTGTCAATTATCACTGTTGCTGGTTCAAAAGAAGGCAAGAGCAACAAAAGTTCCGCCTCCGCTGGGCTAGAAGGTCTCGAGAGGTCTATCGTGCTTCTTGCATTACCGCATCCGCTAGGTATCGTGGGATTGTACCTCGAGGTAGAGATAGATACTCTGTCTGTATTACATTCTGAGCTTTTTGGACTACTCGCGGACGGGACCCACCGACGAGCAGAAAATGATGATGTTTCTGGCCCTTCAGGGATAACAGTATTGTGTTGCTGGAAGGCCTGACGAGATTAATTAGTAGTAGGCAACATATGTAGTTCTGGAGGGTGTTACCTCTTCCATGAGCTGTACTGCGGCAGAGCTTGCCACCCAGGGTGAATTTACATCTTGCGGCGTGTCTGGACCCTGGCTTGTGATGTCGTTGGTTCCTGTGCTGTCGATACTTGGTGCGACAAGGTGAGATATTGGGCTATCTTCGTCCCTAACGGGATCTGGGCACATGCGTTTTGCTCGCGTTTGTGGGGGGCTCGCAGTTCGATCACGACTGCGAGGTTTTTTGGATGGCTTGTTGGTTCCATACACCTTCCACAGAACCGGCTGGTTGGATGCGACACAAGTAACCCCAGCTCGTACACAAAGAGTACAGGGCCGTTCAACATCGCACTATTCATATCATAAGCAGTATACACTACATTACAGTGGAAGAACTTGCCTTGAGCTTCTGCTGCCGACATCGTTGGCAAGCTCTTGGAACCCTCATAGGACGGTCGCGGTCTAGACCAGATGGCGGTGCAGTAATTTCCGATCGGTCCATTCTGATTTCTCAAAAGTCATTAACATAAGTTTATTGTGAAGCATAGAAGACATGGCAAGTAAAGAAGTCAAGCAAGCATGAGTCCTGATTCCTTCCTCGGGTGATCTAACGACGTCGGAGCATGGACATTTAGTGCGGATGTACGCTATAGCCAAAGGTAGTTAAAGCATCCGATGGATATGACGAATTTCAACCACAGTTGGCCAAGCTCCTAGCACGAAAAGCGAGGAGACCAACCATTGGAGGCGCCTTGCGTTCGAACGAACGACGAAACACCTCGTACAGTAAGGAGGAATTTATGTAACACATCATTGGGGAATGCGATAATCATGTAGAAATTGTATCATTTCTCAGTTAGGGCGGTAGCTTGGTCATGTTCCACATGGGCAAAGCATCAGAGTACCTTCATTGCTCTCGGTTCCCCTTCCCATCAAGGAGCCATCTACGCCGAAGGACTTGTGCTGCATTTTTGGGTTTTCTATCCCTTGTAAAGATTCCTTTCTTGTTACCATCGACCCGGAACACGAGTTGGCTGGTTTGAAAGTCCGAGAAACTCCATACCTGCTCTCCCACAACCCCCGGTACTCGATCAAACACGCGATGATAAAGTGCCAGCAATTGTGCCTGAAACTCTTCACTCCATGGAGTCACAGTGGCAGAGTGAAGACCTGCAATCGTGTCCGCTCCATATTCCGTCATAATCATTGGCTTTCCATACTTTTCGTGCCAGCCGCGGAGGTCCTTTTCAAGCTCTGATTCAGCCATCTTCAGATCGCCACAGCTCTCGTACCACCCGTAGTATCTGTTCAGGCATAATACGTCGAACAAGTCAGTGATACGGTCCTTTTCAGAAGTCGCAAGTCCAAAGTTTGCGAAGCAGACCGGTCGCTCGTCCAATTCCCTCGTCAATTGCACCAGAGGTGCGAAGTACTCGCGTGCGCCTGGCTCGTGAGATGCCGGCTCGTTTGCGATGGACCACATCACAACACATGGATGGTTCTTGTCGCGCTGGATCAATTCACGAATCCCATTCTCATGTGCAGCGCGTGTCCCATCGTTGCATGTATCCGGTCCAAAGGTTAGGGGGGCCTTGTTTCCGAAAAGACCAGACGCAATTCCAAGATTCAGACCAACCGCCGCGGTCTCATCGATGACTACGACGCCATGGCGATCCGCATAATCCAGTATCTCTTCTGCATACGGATAGTGCGATGTACGGAACGAATTAGCGCCCAGCCAACTCATGAGCTCGAAATCGTGTACCATGTATGATGCATCAAAGCCCTTGCCGCGGATCGGTGTATCTTCGTGTTTACCAAACCCAGTGAAATAGAATGGCTTATTGTTGATAAGGAATTGGTCTCCACGGACCTCCACAGTACGGACTCCTGTGGAGACATGGTACACGTCGAGAACGGAGTTGTTCTTGCACGACAACTCGATTGTCACCTTGTACAAGTAAGCTGCACCTGGCTGCCATAATTGCACGGACGGGATGTTGATCGCGTTCTTTAAACCCTCTGAATCTGCCACATATTCACCATTTTCGTCTCTTACGGAAACTTTGGCGCAGAGATCAGCCGTGGTATCATCGGTTTGAACGTCGAGCTGATATTCAATTCGGCCAAGTGAACGGGTCCAATCAACACTAGTATTGATGGTAATGTCTGAGATGTGGGTTGTTGGGACACAGTACAGCCAGACCGAGCGAGCAAGCCCGGCATAATTGAAAAAGTCGTGCAAATAGGTCTGCTTCCTCCTTCCGTCGGGGAGTGTTTCAATTTTGCCAGGCGGAATAGTTTCATTCGACAATTCGTTGCTGACCGCAATCGTGAGTTGAAACTCCTCTCCGGCATTTGCGATATCTGTCACGTCCGCATCGAACGGCGTGTAACCACCCTCGTGATCAATGATAAGATCTTGGTTGACATAGATACGGCCGCGGTGTGTGGCGGCATCACATCTAACATATACACGTCGGCCAGCCCATCCGGGCGGGATGCGGACCCTTCGCTGGTATTTCACCCAGCCGACGTGATTTCGAACTTCTGGGTCAAGAAATATATCGTTGTAACTTGCAGGAACCGGGATTTGTACTTTGTCTGAAATTGCGTTCGTCCAGGGGTGTTCGCATTGCAAAGCGGCCTTCACGATCTCGAAGTTCCATAATCCATCGAGGGATATAAGTTCTCGAGTGCTGGTATATTGTGGTCTCAGCATGATGGCTATGTGAGGATCAAAATTGTGAGGGAGTTGCGATACATTTGCATTCGCTGGACCGGGGTTTGGCCAATATATAACCCCTTCGCACTTGTTCTTCTTGCAACATAATGAGTTCACGAAATGTGGGATTCCCGAGCGTCGACTGCGGGTCCAAATGGGTCCTCACTTGCTCCGCGGTGAGTAATTTGTAGTTTATACTGCCGCTAGATGGCGGCAATTGCTTTCTCATGACTCAGGATATAGCACTTCATCCGAGTCTCTTGGGTCATTGTAACTCGATCGTTGGAGATTGATCGAAGAATTGTAGCTGTCGGGAAAGGTGTCGCACGACAGATGGCCCGTCGGCCGTAAATACCTTTGCCTAAACGAGACTGGCTTCATGATTTGGCGGCACGATCACCACCACGCTGTGCACAGAACAACCTCCAAGACCCCACGCATTCCCCGAGGGTTTCTGTCCCCGCGAATCGGTAGAACAGAAGTGGATTGTGGAGAAACCTGGCGTGAGGAGTGTCATGGCCAGAGCCCCGAGGAACCCGGTACAACTCCGGCAAATGACTTTCACCTCTCCATGATCTTGCGATTTCGAAGACTGTCTCCTTTATGAATGGCAATTGGCCTACGGCTGCTCATTGCCGTAGGTAGGTTGAGCAGATGTTAAAAACTATAACTAGTGAGCAACCTGTCTCGCCCTCGAGATAAGTCCGCATCAACACCGCTTACCTTTGAACTATATTGTGCATTTGAGTATTGGACTCTCGTTCTTCTTTTTAAGTCTTTGCCCACGCAATTCAAATCAATCATGGCCGAGGAGAAGAATGCCATACCCGTTATGATGGAAGAGAAAAATGAAGCTGCCACCGAAAACGCACCTCCAGTCTCTGCTTTTGCAACGTTGACTCGAGCCCAGGCCGTGAGGACGTTTTGGCGATTGTACATAACCGGACTGGGTGTCTCTGTGGCCGGACTGTATGTCTAATATCCCTGTTCCGAGTATCAAGATCATATACTTACTATAAAAGATACGCTGGATATGCAAATGCAGTCATAGGAAGCATTGTGGCCAACCAGGGCTTCATCAACCAATATGGGACCGTCAAAAACCCAAAGACTGGAAAGATTGCACTCAGTGCAACTCACATTGCTCTTTGGGGTGCGATCTATTTCGTGACGGCCATTTCCATCCAGACTATCGGCCCAATGACGGCTGATCGGTTCGGACGCAAATTCAACATGTGGCTCATTACGCTTTTCATTACCCTGGTAAGCACACTACAAGTACAACGTTGTGCATCGGTACTAATGATCCCAGTCCATCATCATCCAATGCATCTCGAAGACCTGGTGGGAAATCCTCATCGCGCGTACGATCGCAGGTTTTGCCGGCGGACTTATGGGTACATCTTGTATGGTATACATGTCAGAAATTGCCCTACCGCAATTTCGTGGGGCTTTGCTGGCCGCTTTCTCCATGGCCTTCGCACTTGGTCAAGTGTTTCTTGCCACAGGTTTGAAAGTACTTGAGGACACTGAGCCTTTGGCATTCCGGCGAATTTTCTTTTCCGAGTTCGTGTTCACTGGTCTTTGGCTCATCCCAGTACTTTACATCCCAGAATCACCAGGTATGTTACGTTAAAGATTCTGGTATGACCGTTCGAGGTGCTGACCCCAACCATCAGCATGGTATTGTAGCAAAGGACGTGATGAAGACGCCAAGAAGTCTCTTCGCAGACTCATTGGTAATGTGGAAGGCTACGACGTGGAATTGGAATATTCAGTCTTAAAATACGAGACAGTAAAGTCCAAAGAGCTTGCTGACGCCGTAGGAACCAGTGATTGGAAAGCACTCTGCACCAGGCTCAACATCAAACGCTGCATCGCCGCGACATTGCCATTCACATTCCAAAATGTTTGCGGTGTTCCGCTGATGTTTGGGTATACAGTATATTTTTTCCAACTGGCTGGTGTAAAGGATCCTTTCTTGGGAAACCTCATCAAACAAATGGTACTGATCGTTGGAATATTGACATCTTTCTACACCGTCGACCGCATTGGCCGAAGGAATCTGGTTCTTGGCGGGGGTGCTGCCATGTGTACTCTCAACGCTGTTGTTGGTGGTCTCGGATTCATGAAGCAAAACAACGCATCTGGAGTTGCGCTTGTTTTCCTCTGCTCGCTCTGGGCTTTCGTCTATGCCAACACTTTGGCGCCCATAGGTAAGTTTCGTTGGTGGGAACGGGATATTTGTAGCGCTAGCAAAGCTAATAATGGACAGGGTGGATCAGTCTGGTCGAGATGTCTAGCCCTCGTCTACGTGCAAAGACTACGTCTGTTGCTGTTACGATTCAGTATCTTACAGGCATTTTATTTGTGAGTTTCCTTCGACACCTAGATGGTTGCATAGTTGTTGCTAATGTCAAAGCTGTAGAGTTATACAGTTCCCTTGATGCTCTCTGAACAGAACGCCGGTTGGGGACAAAAGACGGGACTTTTCTTTGCTGGGACCACTGCTGTATATCTCATCCCTTGTATATTGCTTTTCCCCGAAACAAAAGGGCGCACCTACAATGAGCTCGATGAGCTATTTGAACGTCGCATCCCCGCTTGGAAATTCGCCACGACTAAAACGGCGTACAATGAGGAGGTCGAACATCAAGAGGAAACAAAATAGATGATAGGCAAGAGTGAGTTTCAGGGTTGTCAACAAGATGTCGGTATATGAATTTCAATTAAACGATCAGTGCATATTGTAGCTTTAGTTGAAATTCTAGATTGCGATTAAGCTATGTTAATTTTCCATTGATTGCACGCACTGTAGCTATGAACAATAGCTCTGCGTGTGTTACTAGCTAGAAGCTTAGAAGCTTCTGTCCCAATTCAAATCGGATGTGCTTATAAACAAATGAACAAGAACGCGAAACATACATAGTGACCATGCAATTAGCTGATATCACGGACATCGCGTTTAATGTGCTCTGCATCCCCTAGAGAAAGCCCACACGATGAGATGCGTGTATCCATAACAATCTTGCCAAGGGGTTTCAAGCTGCTAACACTAAGTGGGCTAAAGTAGGCCAATTCCCCTCCACCATTTCTGGTTCAAAATACAGTCGTTAAAAGCAGGCGAAACCCCGGCCGAAGAATACCCCGGACTACTCAATCAGAACCCTACCTAGACATTTTACAACAGATCCATGGACAGCGACGCGGTTAGCCAGGAAGCTTCGGAATTCGGAATTCCCTCTTGTGAAAGTTGCCGGAGACGTAAATTAAAATGTCCGAGGCAGCAGCCTACTTGTGTGAATTGCGAACGATTTGGTAAGTGGCCAACAGGTTTGCTCTTGCAGAAACAACTGAACTTTCAATAAAGGCACGGATTGCGTGTACATCTTCGAGAGAAAAAAGCCAGGGCTCAAAGTCGGAGCTGTTGAAAGTTTGAGCCGACGTCTAGGTAAGTATGTTTCTTACAATAAGAAACCTGACTCTTCCCCAGTTTCGATGGAGTGAAATGTCGAAGCGTACGCTCGTTCAGTGCCAACAGTTACTGGTAGTCCATATAGGATCCACGTTGTCTAACATTTAGTAGAGGCTGTGGAGAATAAACTTGCAGCATCCCAACAATGTCGGCAAAAGAATGCGACGCCACCGCAGTCGAGCGTGAATATCTCTACAAACTCACCAATATTGCTTGATACTCGACCAGACGCACTCCCTATCACCGATGCACTTACTTCCCTGACAGACGAGATCAGGAATCTAAGCTCCGTAGTTGCATCGGCACAGCAACCCTTACACACCATTTCCATGGATACAGGCACCCGTAAGCGGAAGCGACCTGGACCTCAGCATCCCCAGCACGCCAGTAACACTCATGGCGTACTTTATCAAACCGTTGATGCGTTCTTCCGTTATGTACATCCTTTCGTCTCCATCATACATGAGCCCAGTTTCCGGAAGAACCTGTGGATCCATGTCGAGGAGGATCGTTTCAGCACGCTCATAACAGCAATGGAGGTCGCTGCCGTGCGCTTCAATGAAGATGACAGTTTAACATCGAAGGGCGAGTTAACTTCAGATCAAACCGAGCAGATAAGAAGCGACGTTCTTCTCCAGGTAATCGATGACAGCCGCTTGGAGAATGTACAGGCACTCTTGATTCTGGCTTATACCGAGTTATGCGACGATCGCGCTCAAAGGGCTTGTTCGCTACTCCGCTTGGTTGCTAAGCACATTGAGGAGTTACAAATCAATCGAGAAGGACCTAAACTACATGAACATGCTCGCGCCGGAAAACGACTCGGTAGCTATTCAAGCTATTCAAGCTCTTCAAGCTGGATAGACGAGGAGGAAGAAAGAAGGGTATTTTGGAATGCTTTCATGCTCGACCGACTATGTGCCGCTTTGACCGGCAATCCGCCAGGCCTTTCAGGAGTGAGCTATGAAGGTAGAAGGTTGCCAGCATGTGCCAGCTTCTGGTATACTAATCAGTCTTGCTCAACGCCATTTCTATCAATACCTGATCCGTCGGGAGCAGGATTAGAGCTTCCTTTCACAGCGAAGCGATCCCCCAACGATGGCTTATCGGGCAATGATGCAACAGAACGAGAACCACCATCGACAGGAATAGGATCCCTAGCCTTCTATATTGAAACAGTAGAGTCACTGAGCACGGTAATGACTCACTTCTTGCAGCAACCCGTAGACTTCAACAACAAACAAGATGTTTCAAGATGGCTCAGTCGGTTTCAGGAGATGGATCTCTACTTGTTAAGGTGCGCAACAGCTTCTTTATCATATCATTTTATCTCGATATCGGAACGAAACATGTATCTTGGTCAATACGTATATCTGACTCAATGATAGGTGGAAATTGCATTTGCCTCAACAATGGGCGGACTCGGGGATGTCCCGCAGGGTTTTGCCAGGCATCATGGATCCGGCTATGACAGCCGCAAATGCGACCCACAACACTTGTCTAATCCTTTTGCACGAAGAGGTTGCTTATCCCGACCCACGACTTAGATGGGTTCAGCTGCCCAGTGTCTGTAGTGCCGATACCTGCCTCAACGCCGCCATAGAGGTCTGTACGATCATCGACAAGCTCCTTCAGCAACGGGGTACAAGATATCCCATCAGTCCTCAGTTGGGCTTCTGTGCTTTCATCAGCGGAAGAACCATGTTATGTAAGAGTCGTCGCCATTTTGTTCCGATACTTGTTTCTAACCCAGATAGTATATTGGAGAAGTTTTGCGGGACCAATCGCGCCACAATTCGCTCTGCTGCTTCAAAACCTTGATGATATGCACCGCCGTGTACAGCTACGCCACAGGGTAGATACACTGGGGCCGGTATCCATATTTTCTCGTCTTTCTGGCCGTCTTCGTACTATTCACGCGAGATGCGAGTCTGACCCTTCATACGAAATAGATCGAACGGAAGCCTTATACGGGCGGTCCTCGACTAGATGCGAGAAACCTCAACGACACTGGCTTCCTCCGGATGGGTTAAGGGTGTACTTAGAACAGAGCAGGGCAGGACTCAACTTGACGACTCCAGAGCTAATAAGATCATATCCAGCGACATTAAATAGTGTTCCCGCCCCAGGAGCCCCCATACCCGGATTTGGGGACACAACCGAGTTTCAATGGAATCTGGCCGACAATCCTAAAGACATGAGTACGGGATTGAATGCCGACAGTAACATATCAGAGATATCCCAGTCGCTGATGGGCGATGATTTCATGAACATGGATCGTATCGTCAGCTTTGACGACATGTTCAATTGTGCTTCTGAGACATCTATGGACTGGGGTATGGGTTAAAAGACTGATCAAATTTGGAAGTCGGTAATAGTCGAAGAAGCTTTGTCACTTCATCATCCTGTATGTTCAAAATGCTTATCACGCATGCGGCGGTCTGGCAAGAAAGAATAGGGACCAAGAATAAGCAAAAAAGCCATTGCTTCCGGCTCCATCAAGTTGCTACAACGGGTCAACAATGCCATCATGGAGAATGCTCGAAAATTTAGAATGAACCAAGGGTAGCACGAAGGAGGACGCAAAGGCTTCGGCACTGTTGGGTCGAGAATGAGATGTCGCCTGACAAGCGCAGCGCGCCCTGGCGTTGACTAGCTGACCCACTGGTATTTTGCTGCGGAACCCATCAATACTTTTAGCGATTTCATGAATCAAAATCTCGAGAACATGATGCAACTAGGTCAATCCGCTCTCGCCGATTGCCGCTTCTTTCCTATGATACTTGGCTGTCCACTTGTGGAGTTGCCAGACAAGATTATTGGAGATTGGGTTTGGTAAACGCGGAGGGCTCTGCGCACACTTCCTGATCCTGCATCCTTGATCTGTCGAATACTACTACTGGACCAGCACCAAAGACTATACGTGTGGTGTTAATTACAAGAACAGGTGCGGAGTAGATCAAGGAACATTTATCTTCACACGCACACACACATGCACACACGTGTAAGCAAGGTGTACTGCAAGGTATGGATCTCGACGCGCGAGGCGAAAAGCTTGATAGGAATATGACCCGCTGAAAGTCTTGACTGGGGTCTTGTTTGCTTGCTAAAGTGCTAGTCAACACTTCTCTGAAGGCTTTTTTCTTCTCAACACATGGATGGCATCAGGCCAGCCATTACTACAACTAGGTCAATAACGGCCCAGTAGCGCGGCTTTCCTTCCCACCACCTTCAAGGACGATTGACCAGATCAGATAAAAAAAGGGTTCCAATCTAGGCACGTCGGAACATTACCCGCTAGAAAATAATTGTGGCTACGAGGAAGGTAATATGTATTTCTCTTCGGCCTGATGAAAGGTCTGACTCTTGATCTCGGCCACAGCCTAAAGGAAAAGACCACCAACTCTTGCGGAGCGCCTCACGCGTTCCGGGCGCTCCAGAATAGTTCACAAGGGTAGTTAGTTGCCCAGTCTAACTGAAAAAATAATGAATATTGCCTGCACCCGGATACTTTCAGTAGAAAATCGCGCCACAACTACACATGATCTAATCTGATCTCACCCTTGTTGCCCCAGGTACCATTTTTCTAACGCCATTCAAACTATAAAACAACCTTCAGAGGCGACGATGCATGAGCTAGCGGATTGTGGGACCACCTTACAGAGAACAGGTAAAAGGCGCTGCGTTCGCCAGCTTTTCCATGTTCTACTGAATTGATTCTCTCTCTCTTATACCTGTTGTCTCTGGGTATCTAGTCAATTGCAGCCCTGTCCATCATGGGATTTCCCAAGATCGCTCTCAGCGGCAGTGCTCAAAGACCAGCGGCCACCACTGATGTGGACAACCCAATTCCTATTGTCCCAATCAGATCGGATAATAAAGATGTTATCACAAATACTCCTGCAGCCGCTGCGGCCGATGCAGCCTCAGTGTCGAGCGACAATAAGCCATACCCGGACGAGGGCCTTCAGAAGGGTATCAAGGACGTCCAGGCCGTGACATTGACATGGTCGAAGAAATCCCTTGTTGCTGTCTTTGTTCTGTACGTGCCCAACGCTTTTGACTTTACTCTACTAGAATCGAAGAGCTAATTCACGTCAACAGGATTTGGCTTCTCTATATGACCAACGGATTTCAGTCTTCGGTCTTGTACGTTCTGACGCCGTTCGCAACGAGTTCATTCCAATCGCATTCGCTCTTGACTGTCATCAACATTGTGGCTAGCTCGATGACTGCTGCAGTTTACATCCCGCTTGCTAAGATGTTGGACCTCTGGGGTCGTGCCGAAGGATTCCTTGTCATGGTGTGTTTTGCAACATTGGGCTTGATAATTCTGGCTGTTTCAGAGAACCTCGCCACGTACTGTGCAGCTCAGGTACGTTTGTTTCTCCGGTTCAATTTGTGATATGATAGCTGACTGCTCCTGCCGCTGCTAGATATTCTACTCAGTTGGTTTTTCGGGGCTCATCTATTCCGTTGATGTGATCACTGCCGATTCGACAAATTTGCGCAATCGAGGTTTGGCTTACGCCTTTACCTCTTCTCCCTACATGATCACTGTCTTCGCAGGGTCAAAGGCAGCCGAAGGATTCCAGGCTAACGTGAATTGGCGATGGGGAATTGGTTGCTTTGCGATCATTCTGCCCGTTGTTGCGGCACCTCTGTTCTTTGTCCTCAAGCATAACTTAAAGAAAGCCGAAAAGCGAGGTCTAGTCATCAGAGAAAGCAGCGGACGAAGCCTACCGGCCAAGCTTTGGTGGGGCATTAAGGAGTTCGATCGTAAGTGACCAATTTCAGACCTCAAAACGGTTCAATTGCAGGCTAACGAACGTCCACACGGATAGTTCTTGGGGTAATCCTTTTCGCCTCCGGCTTGGTAGTATTCTTACTCCCATTTACGCTGGCCGACTCGGCGCCTAATGGCTGGTCCACTGGATATATCATTGCCATGATCGTGGTCGGATTTGTCGTTTTGGTATTTTTTGGGCTTTACGAAGCCTACATTGCACCAGTACCATTCCTCAGCATCAACTTCCTCCTAGATCGTACTGTCATCGGTGCTTGTCTGTTGGATATGACATATATGATCGGAAATTACTGCTGGAGCAGCTACTTCTCATCCTTTTTGATGGTGGTCAACAACCTGCCACCAGCTGAGGCCGGATACGTGGGCAATAGTTTCGACGTGGTTTCCGGCTTCCTCTTATTCATTGTGGGATATTCTATACGCAGGACGGGTCGGTTTAAGTGGCTTCTGTATATTGCGATGCCGCTCTATGTCCTGGCACAGGGTTTGCTGATCTATTTCCGTCGTCCGAACGGTTACATTGGCTACATTGTCATGTGCCAAATATTCCTTTCTGTTGGCGGTAGTATCTTTATTATTTGCATGCAAGTCGCAATACTGGCAGCAGTCGACCACCAGCACGTTGCTGCAGCACTTGCTCTCCTCTCTGTTGTAGGAAACGTTGGTGTCGCACTAGGTAGCACCATCTCTGGTGCCATTTGGACCAATACTTTTGGCAAAGCGCTGGAAAGGTATCTTCCCGAGACCGCGTTAGAGAGTCTTCCAGATATCTTTGCAGACGTGGAAGTTCAGTTGAGCTACGAAATCGGGTCGCCAGAGCGCATCGCGATCCAAGAAGCTTACGGGTATGCCGCCACAAGGATGTTGGCGACTGGAACAGGCATCATGGCCTTGGGATTCATCTGGATTCTTCTGTTCCGCAACCTCAACGTCAAGAAGATGACACAAACAAAGGGCAACGTTTTCTAACAGGGTTATCACATGATCTTGCAGCGTTATTTCACGATCATCGGGTTGGTGATTGATGCTTCGTACAATCTAGCTGCCATTGTATTGGTTCAAGAGCGTCGCCAGGTTTTAGTCTTGATCCAAACATCTTGCACAGAGAACTCACATCATAGTCTCTTGGATTTATGGTCAATAGATCTGTATTGCGCAGAAACTCATATATTGAGGAATCCTGTTTGTGTATTTTATGTGTAAAGGAATAGCAAATGCGCCGGGCCAGGATGCCGTTTTATGTAAACGCCCACGGATATCATGTCTAAAGAACGCTGCGTGAAAGAAGCATTGCCTTGGAGACTGCCCGTGGACCAGTGATGAAGCGAATACGAGGCTCACAGAGCCGAAACGACCAACGGTCATGGTATGGATCTGAAGTGGATCCCTAGGGCAAGGGATCGGCGCACAGGTAACCTCGCTCGTACTGCGCTCCCCTCAACCATTACCGTGATACATGTCGATACTATTACAAGAGTAATAAATTATACAGGCGTGAATCCACGGGACAGAAGGCGTAGTCGTCGAAAGTGATCGCTAAAAAAGATCAGGACAAAAAAAAAAGCGACCCCATGATTACAGCGCCACAGAGGAACCAAGTGTTCCGGGCCACTGAAATCGTGGGGATGCCAAACGAAGGCGAGTTGGGTGTGGGCGTAGGGGATGGGGTTCCAGCGGCTTTAGGAGGTGAAGTGGCCGATACTACCGGATTGGTAGAGGTAGAGACTGTGGCTGGGGAGGAGGGTAGTTGAGAAGCTGAAGAAGCCGGAGAATGCAACGAGGTGGAGGACACGGGATTCACGTTGGGATTTCCCAAACCGGGCCCTCCATTCTTGACCGTCTCTATGATCCATTGAGCGCCCTCCTCAGTGTAGTTGATGAAGTAGTTCAAGTGATTTTTTACATCGGAGGGTTGGCTTCCTTTAGCGCAGATGGGGTCTCCGAAATTGCACCACGCGCGTAGGCGGCCCTCGACGGCGTAGGTGTCGAGTATCTTGTTTGATGAGTCGATTCGTTTGCTTTGTCCGTCATAGTTTTCTCCTCCTTTGAGGGTGTAATTGTTGCCCGCCGAGCGCACCGTAGGACCGAATGAAGCGATGACAGCCACTGTGAACGACATTAGCGACATAGTTGAACCCAGGAGCTCCAAGGGCCTTAGACATACCTTTGTTAGCAGGGGACTTTGTTTTGTCCAATGGACCATTCTGTTCCTGGTGACAACCAAAAACCTGGGCATCTCCACCCCCGGCAATCATGTCCAACACCACAGAACCACCCTGTGAGAAGCCGATGACAATCAGCTTAGCATCCGGACACCTCTCCGCATATTCGGTCATTTGTTTCTGTCCATTGAGAGCACCCTCATGGGCAGATTTGCACCATGCACCAGGCCCCTGTGCACCACCGCTGGCTGGGTAGTCGATCTCTTCATAACCGCAGTCGTCCAATCCTTCGCAGACTTGTCGGATGAGCTCCCCAGCATGTCCGGGTCGTGGGGCGGTAGAGCCACGGGCGGTGAAGATGTGGTGCTTCTGGCAGTCCGAGGTAGCCAGGCCCAGAACGGCTGGGTCGTCGCAGGGCCCGTTATCGCATCGTGCTAGTGTGAGCGCAGCTCGCAGTAAGACGAGTGTAGAGGCTATTGTGGCTTTCATCGTTGGCGATCAGCAAGGTAGTTGCAAGAGACGCGCAATGCGAAGAAGAACGGGAAGCGTTGGAAGGGACCTGTTGATGCGAGACTGAGGCAAAGTACGGAAAGGTGTGCCTGTAACTACTCTCTCTGAACGCCGGAAGGTGGGAACAGAAGTTTGTCGGCAGGAAAGAAGGATGGCAGAAACTCTGAAAACATATACAGTCAAGAAAGGAGAGAAAGAGAAAGAGAGAAAAGGGTGCGAGTAACAAGATTTCTGGAGCAAGAGTAATAATGTGGATACCCTGATGGTGGCTAACTGGAGTGGAGGATATCTACAAGCCTCCAGGTAACACGATTGCGCGCGCAGTCTCGTCCTAGGACCTATCATATCATTCACATGCCACTCAACTAGTCCAGCTTCCCTTTTTGCGCGCGGGAACTAGTTGCAGAGAGAGAGAGACTTGGGGTAAATATCTTACTTACCTAGGTGCCTAGGTACTTACAGGTGGACCGGATTGCAAAGGTAACGGGGAAATGATTAGCATGGCGGGTTCTCACGACAGCCACCGGGTGAGACGGCAGCCTCAGTGTAATGCGAACGTCAAGTCGTCCCCCTGGATCCTGGTCAGATAGGGCACCGCACCCTAATCCTGAATTCCTGAAGGACGGTAATTACAACTTGTCGCAACTGTATTATTATTGCTCGACAAAACGAAACATGATTCCGTGAGCAAGTGTGAGGCGGTGCAAGGAGTTGAGGCTGTCGTCAAATCAAACCACCATTTCCCTCTATCGACAAGATGATTCTCAACAGAGCCCCCTGGGCGCGGCTTACACAGTAGACATGGAGACTGGAGTACGATTGCGGACAGATGGGAATTTATTATAGCACGAAGCCGACCTGTTTACCATGTGAACGTTCAGAATCTACGAGGAGGTACACGACAACTACGAGACTGTACGAGTCTACTCCGCACACAGTATGTATTTGTAGGTATTATAGTTTACCATGATTATCATCCCCATGAGTTATGGAGTACATGCTGTCCAGTGTCCACATGCCGTCCTACGTTTCTTAACTTGTACCTATGCTCTTGCCATCCCCTACCCCTCCGATTAACTAAATGCATCTACTGTGCTGTGCATTATCATTTCTGATTATTGTGTACTAATTTACCAAGTAACTAATTACCCAATTTTGATCGTCTGTTCATGAATCCTGTTCTGTCGCTCTTCCTTCATTCTGCTCTGCTTGGCAGGGATGTCCGGGAGCCCTACCGGCCTGCACGGATCTTTTCATGACCTCATCCCTGATGAAGACGCGTAATACTATGTATGTAGGTACTTCCTACATACACTGGACTAGGTGAATGGTGATGTACAGTACTGCACCACTGTAACTCCTTCGTACAAATACCTAGTTATGGAGCAATCACTTGGATGATTTACGGAGTATCTACCAGCCAACAGTCATGATCACAGGATACATTATAGTTACCACTACTGTGTGTACGGAACATTTCGCGTTTATACACATGATATACCGTATCAGATACCTGCACACTGTAGGAGGTAACGTACAGAGTAGAGTATACTTCAAAGTTTGTACCGACACAGGGCAGCCTTGATACGTCGTAGCATACCAGCATCAAGCAAAGGGTTGACGAATGGTAATCCGATCCTGCCACAATCCGATCCTGTCTAAGAGTATTATCGACATGTTTATTTCGAACACTTAGACGAAGATAATTGGTGCAGCCACAGCTCGTCGACACATACTTGTAATGTGAGGCACTCTAGACGGGGCCCGGTTCCTGGTCCTACCATGCAGGAATTACTCCGTACATGCATCTAAACCCCTCGTAGTGCTGGCCGCCACAAATACACGAATAATTCTCTCTCGGCGGCACGGCGGGTGGGCGGTCGTTGGTAACTACTCGTAGTAACTACTAGAATTGTGATACATAGGTAGACAGGCATACCTCGGAGTAATACGCCGGCCCAATCGTCATGCTCCAGGAGCCATACCTCAGCACAAAGCAGGGAAATACTTGCCACAACCCTCCACCTACAACTCATACATAGTGTGATGAGTGAGACATAAAGTGCATCCAATGCCCGATAAACATATTCACTAGTTGATGTACACACAAAATTTTAAGTATATTGTTTTTTTATTCAAAGAATCACTATGTATCAATACCTAGCTAATAGTAAATTGCTAACATGATCGCGGTCGTAAAACCGAAAGAAGGTGTCCAAATGATTGTGAGAGCCGACAGACTCAGTGATAGAGACATGTCTTGCCTGAAAACGGAGAAGAAAACGAAAAGAGGAGACTAAATACTTGTGAGAGACAGACTTGGTGAGAGACTCATATCTTGCCTGAAAACGAAAGAAAAAAGCGAAAGGAGACTGAACACGTGAGTGACAGACTTAGTGAGAGAGTCATATCTTGCCTGAGAACGAAAGAAAAAAACGGAGGGGAGAGGGAGGGGTGGTGGTGGTGGTGGTTGTCGTCACGATGGTGACGGCGGTAGTTGATATCCCAAGTATGTGAGAGCCGACATGCTCAGTGATAGACGAATACCTTGCGGTAGAACCCCTAAACTTGGCTGTGATAATAATGGCCATTGACATCGTAGGCACCCATTGGGGCCATGTCACTCCGATACCCGTAAGCTTGGGGCACGAATGCCGTTTGGTTGGAGCTCGATGCTACTGAAGGCACGGTGGGCCTGAATTGATATGATACCGGGTTGAAGGCTGGGTACATAACGGTCTGGGAGGGCATCCAGTGTTGTGTAGGATGCATGCCGTGCGAAGGGTAGACCTGTCGTGGGGGAAAGGTATTCACCATAGCCGAGTATGCATGAGTGGTTGGGTTGAACCGAAATGGCCTTCGATGGCTTGTGGCCGGATTCACCCCTTGTCGCTGAGGTTGTACATTTGGCGTTGTGGTGACACTGCCCATGCCGATGCCTTCACCGCCGTTGTTCTCCTCCTCTGTGCGACCGTCTTGTTCCAATCCCGGCACTTCGTCCTCCTCCTCTGTGTGACCGCCCTGGTCCACTCCCGCCTCTTTGTCCTCCTCCTCTGTGCCATCGATCTTCTCCCACTCCTCTTTGTCCTCCTCCTCTGTGCGACCGTCCTGTTCCACTCCCGCCTCCTCCTCTGCGTGACCGTTCTGTTCCACTCCCACCTCTTCTCCACTCGCCGTGCTCTGTTCGCTCTTCGCTGGCTTCGAGGGCCCCGGCAAATCATCCATGCGGCGCTCCAGGTCGCCACACTTCTTGCGCCAAAACAACTCCGACTTGAACAGCCTATCGTTTGCTTTCGTCAAGCTGTCAATCTGGGGTTGGGCGTAGTTTTTGGGACAGTGCGTGTCCAACAGTCGTTTGTTTTCTTCGCGCAATTGAGCGCTGTCACGGACCGATTCCGCTAGGACACGGGATTGAGCATCGAGATGGTAACGGAGTTGTACCACGCGGTCGCGGAGTACTTCGATGTTCGTTTCGGTATGGATGTTCTCAAGTTCGGCGGGAATCGTCTGATGAGCGAAGTTTGCGTGACAGGTTGCGTGAGGAGATGCGTGATGAGATGCGTGGGGGGTTGCGGGAGAGGTTGCGGGAGCGGTTACGTGAGGAGTTACAGGAGAGGTTGCGGCAGAGGTTACGTGAGGAGTTACAGGAGAGGTTGCGGCAGAGGTTGCGGGAGGGGTTGCAGGAGAGGTTGCGTCCATACTGACTGCAGATAGACGGGTATCGAAAGATAAGGGCTGAAGTGTTGACTGAATGCTTCACAGTGGATGGTGCTTGATTGAAAGATGATGTGCGGTGGTGAAGACCAGAAACCATCAAATGCTGGGGCATCGGCCTCCTTAAATCTTCTACAGAGGAGATACGCATGAGCTACTGTGTGTTGGCTGTTGGGTATTGCTTCGGCCAGAGGCTGCAAGGTTGTAGATGTTGATTGGTTCTCCAATGCATATGTGTGCTACCCGCACTTTTGGATCTCTGCATATGCAATGCTTCCGCTTCCGCTTCCACGAAGTGCTAGCTCACATCTTCGACAATTACTGAGTACCATGTCCACACAGGAAGAATGCCAGGATTCGATATGTCTCCTTTTCCCGTCCGATAACGATATTCGACCGTTTGTCTGGTGTCATTAAAAACCGGTTTCAAGGAACAATGTGCAACGCGGGGCCATGCTCTCCCAAGGGGTCAGGACGGTTGATGCGTTGCCTTTCTATGACAGCTGTATCGGTATGGAGTCTCCCATAACGAGTATTCTATCATTGGAGATGTATCGTTCCAGAGGGAGATTTTGATTACAGCAGCCTGACTGTATGAGATGCGGCGTTGCGGGAGGACTGTTGACAAAGAGTCGGTGTCTCATCAACTCCCCTCCCTAGGTAGGCCTTCAGCGGAGATCAGCGTCGTACTACACGAGGTGGCGTGTTGTTGCCGTTCCCGTTGGTGTCACAGCACAAACGGACATCGCAGGATTCCAAATTCGGTGGCCCAAGACCACAATTACTCGGTCAACTAGAGATCAACCATTGCCCCGGACAGGATGCGCCAGGCTTGTCGATAATCAAGTATGTACGGAGGACGGAGGACCGCGCAAAAGAAAAGGTGTGGTGGACTGATATGCCATGGGTGACCGGACCGCACGCAAGGGTTGTATCGCAAGGGACATCAAGTGGTGCTAAATGATACCGCAAGGCATGCCACACTCGGTGGCCGCTGTCTGGAGACAGTGCTACGAAGCTATGCGCAACCGTACTTTCATCAATTGTGGAATACAAGGAGCAGGCGTACGGGTAGGAAAGGAGCTCATAACATACCTGTTCAGGGCGGTCTGCTATGGGCATGAGTTATTTGTAGTATCGTCTTCGGTTGCACGATAGAAAGAGATGTTTCATGTAACATATGCTTCGCCAGTTTGTGTTTGTCCATTGGCCGCGAGAACCCCGCATCTACTCCAAACCTACCTAGATAATACTCTTGTTGATTGAATCCCGAACAGCACAAACTACTGGCGAGTAACTCATAATGCCTAGGCAGTTTAGGTGGTTGAGTAGTTGGGTTCTCGTAGGTAGGTACCTAGGTTAGGTTAGGTGGTTGGATAGGTCTGGAGTACATGTAATAATTCATGTCTAGATTTAGGAACCTCGTAGGTACTTGTAGTTAGATACCTGAGGTAGTGGTACCGAGGTAACTACTTTGTACAAAGTACCTCCATGACGACAGGTAGGTTGATGACTAAGGCCGTCTTAACTCCGGCTGCGTACCTCGAATATCACTCCAGCTACACCTGGATATGCTACGAATCCTTTCTCACCTAACCGACCTTGATCATGCGTCGAAAGCGCCAAAGAGACACTGCAATAACTACACCTGACGTGCCTGACCCATCGCGCGTCAAGAAAGCTCGCGCCGAACCATTCGCAAACCCGTTACCAGCTGGTCCGGCGGATACACCTTACGTAGCAACGCTTCATCGGATGCCGGGATCGACAGCGTTGAAGCTTATCGTGGAAGAGGAAGGAAGCCGAAATCGGACTCGGACTCGGGACAATAACAGACATCGCTCGCCATTCGACTGCAGTACCAGACTGACGCGATGTGACCACGTCCAAGATCCCACCGAAGGACACACATGGCATCGAGGAGACATCGGCGAAATAGGAACAACAGATGGCGATACAAGCCGTGTACTGCTGTTGGGAATTGCCCAAGAGAAGGCGGAGCTTGATGGCAGCGAGGTTGATACATTCTTTGCTGTGAGCTGGTTGTACACACCCGAAGAGGCAAAGGCGGAGGGTATCCAGACCGAAATCAAACTTGGAAGTGAAAAGACTCACATCATATCAACACATGTCCAAGTCTTGAGATTCGGAGGATTCAACGGTGGTCCTTTGTCGATTAACCAACGTCAACGCGGAGTTCTCGAGGATCACATTCTGGATTTCAATGCTCGCCCGCGGCGAATCCGCCCGCTATCGTCACGCGGATGCGTTGTGCATGAAGCGATACAGTATTATTATCAAACGCAACAGCAAACTAAAGTCGATTCGGAACCCGTTCCAGAAATGATACGTTCATTGGACACAGAACCTGCACCCGAGACTGACTTGGAAGGCACCCTCAAGGTGCTGAACACAGATACTGACTCACAACCGCATACGCCTCCACCAGAGTACGATTCCGATGATCCAAGCGAACACGCATCTCCGCTAGACCCTCGCTTATCCAGTCCACTCATTGTTACCGCTAGTGGCCTCGATAAGGATGGAGATGGTCAGATTACCCCTACGATTACGGCGAAGATTGAGGCCAGCAGCGGCAGTGTTCTAGAACGGCTGCAACGTTCGATGGTTGCACTCAGCCCATTCCACTCAAAGTGAATCTATGGCGAGTCTCTTGCAAATCAAGCCATATGATGTGGGTGGTGGGCATTGGTATGATTTGCCGTCGTTTCATTAACACTCCTAAAGACAATGATGTCTATCTGCACTAGCCAGTCATGCTACAATGCCCAAAGCAGCTTCTATACGAATACCATCTAGTAGAAGAACTAAAATGACGTCTAGGGTTAAGCTCAACCTACTGAAAGGCTCTCCTGCTATGCTAGGATTGTCTGCCCGCTCGTAATGCCGATCAAGGAGAGCATCCCTCTGTCACTTTCTAAAGATGTCTGAGATTTCTTTCATAACTTATAAGTGGTCGTGTAATTGTCTGTTATATCTAACAAAATAAGTTTCAGTGTCACATCTTGGAGCCTCCTGGAGCCCTAGTTTGCACTTGGAGAGCAGATATGTCTACAGATGGTTCCCGCTCAGAAATGAGATCGTTGATCACAACGCCTGTTCCTAGAGCCATGGAGATACCCCATGGCCCATGGCCACTTGCGATCCACACCTTTGCACCCAATCCGGACCGAAAGTCTGCACCCAAGTCCATAGGTGCAATCCGCCCCACAGTCGGAACACCGCTCTTGCTTACTGGTCTGAAGCATAATCCTTCTCTTAGGATCTCAAGGTCATCTTCAGTCGGATTTCCACCCAGACCCGGCAGGCCGGTCATATGGACTGCGGTCTGTCGAAGGTTCGCTAAGTCTTCACTTTTCATGAGCTTTTTGCAGTCTGTAGCAAGCTCTGGCAGTGGCAGTTGGGTTTGGTCTCGATTCAGCCCTCCCACCCATATCTCGGGCTTTTCGTTCTCGCTGAGTCTGGCAAAAGCTTCTGGTGAGTACGTCCAGTGTTTCGTCGATGGGCAATAGATGGCGTACGAGACATATTTGTCCCTAGCGTTGAATTTCCCTTTCTCGCCGTGGGCAATATTTCGGAAAGGTTTGGTGTATCTGGGGGTTTTGTATACAATACTGTAGCCTGCCAGTGCATCTATCTCCAGCTTTACTCTATGTCCCGGAAAGAGAGTGTCCAAGACGCGTGGGGTCCAGCACCCTGCGGCGATGATCAGATTGGTGCAGCGGATAAACGACGGTGCTTTATCATCAACAGATGACTGGAGTGTCAACACGGACGACTGGTCATGTCTTTGTTTGTTAGCAGTGGCACGGGTGGATGGGACGATTTCCACACCCCTTTCCTGGCATTCAGACAGCAAATGCTCACACAACTTTCTTGGATCCAGCTGCCCACAGTCCTCTGTGCCAGCAACCACTTCCCATGTTGCTTCCTCTTGTGGTGTGATCCATGACGGAGTACCATCAGAATTGACACTTTCGCCTGGAGCGGAGACATGACCTACTGTCTTCCGGCCAACCGCTTGCGCCCGGCTTGTTCCCTCTAGCAGCCAGTCTTCCCCACGGGCAGCCCCGGGCGCGCCATTAAGCGTTAAACTGTATACGTGCGAGCCGCAGTATCCCCAGCGCCGATGACCATCAGAAGACTCCGCTAATTCACGATGAAGTTTGAAAGAGAATTCACCGAATGGTGCAAGTCGTGGGTCGAACCAGTCACGGGTGAGGAACCCTCCTGCATAGCCAGAAGCTGATTCGAGTAACGTTGGCGCGGAATCAATAATATGTATGCTTCGATTCGAGTTTGGGTCTTGCGAAAGATAGTATGCAATTGATAGTCCAATTATACCTCCACCAAGGATGACAATGTTCTCTTTTGGCTGAGACATGGTCCGAATCTGGCTGCTCTCGTGTGGGGGAGGCTGCAAGTGCCCATCTCTGCTAAATATACTAATGAGAAGTCGGAAAGTATCTCAATTCTTGGAAAGGGAATTCGCAGTTCTCCTACGGGAAACGCTCCATGTCATCGTTGTGCGAGACCGCGTGGGGTGGGGTTGGCAGGCCGGCAGGCTATCTCTTGGGCCGGTTACCGTCGGGCAGTTTAGGTGCACCACACACACTGAACTAGTTCAGATCTTTACACTTCCATGAGTACCGACTGTTTCCCGCAACAGCCTTGTTTCCGCAGAGGTTTTATTGCATTCCTGCGAATCTATGAGTATGTAAGTCCCCATTCGAAACATCTTTTTTACCAGGAATAGCAGTCAATGTTAGATTAGAGAAAGACCTAGACAGCTTGTGAAGAACTTAGATATGGCATTGACTGCAGTGTTTATGTTGAAAGTGCCTAGCTGCATTCTTTTTTCTCTAGCCAGTATATAGAGTTAATATATATGTTGAATCAGATGTCCGTATACATGTATCTCTTCTACGCAATGCGTTGGACGTACTTGTATGTGAATAACTGAAATGTAAGAAAGAGATCCTCACCAGGAGTGAAAGTGGTCAAAGCTGCTAGAGACTTTAAATTCCCGAAGACCAGCTCCTATAATTAAGACACTATGCACCACCTCGCGTGTGTAAGGGAGATATGCTGTTATTAAAACTAATGATAGTAAATACAGCATCAGATGAAGAGATAAGAGAGTAAAGTGATATCTTGCCGTCTATTATACCGACGACGAGCGAATGACAGATATGCAATCTCTACCCAGGCGCTGCACTTCAGTTGTGAAGCTTCAGAGAAAGTATCTTGTACGCGGTGCAGTTACATATTCAGTCGTACCTACTAGGTTACTTCGCAATCATCGTCGTCTCTAGATGCAGTGCTTATATTAAATCTTGCAACTTGTACCGTAAACTGGGGGCTAGTGGCCAATTCTAGCTGTCACCAGTTACCGAGTCGCCGGGCTTTCGTTTCACCAGGATTTACCTATCCTTTCTTTCCGCCATGAACAAACTACTGCCTTTACATCATCTGTCGACTTATGGATAGGCATACGGAATCATTTGACCGAAAATACAGGAACCTGCTTCTTGGGTACTAGCAAGGGGAGGAGACCAGAGTCACTACCTCCGAAAATGGTCCACGGTGTGAACCGACTCGTCGCCGCAAAAATGATGAGCTATGCTCGGCGTGTCAACTTCTAGAAATGGCAGTTACACATGATAGGTTATCGCAAACGAAGTCGTGGGATGGACGTTTTCAAACATTGTGTGATACTCATTAGCATCACACTGCACACTAATCAGATATAACAAGTTTCAACCGTACATACAGAAAGCCCAGTAACCACCGACTAGCCCCAGATCACAGCTATTTTCTTCGCCCACGTGCTGCGCTGAAGTTTATCATGTTTCATCTCTTCCACCCTGGTCCAAGTTGCTGCGTCATGTTCAACCTCTCTCAGACCAGTCGTCAGATCTACATCCAGAGGCTGCAACAGCCAGGGATCTTTCTTGCCCGCAACCAACTTATGACCCAGCCAAAGCATCAAGAAAAGAGGAATCCCCAAGTAAGTGGTCAAGAAGCCAGATGCAGTGAATTGACCAGGGAAAAACTGGGTAAATCCGTTCATCAGAAGAAGGAAGGTGAACAGAACTAGACAAACCCATGCTCCATACGGTTGTGCCTTGGACTGATAAGGGACCGAAATTCCTTGCGCGGTACATGCTCGTCGAAAACGCAGGAAAACAATAGTGCAAATGATCCAAGATGTGTAGCCTGCGGTGTTTGTGAGACTGATGAACCAGTTGAAAACAGTCCCTGCAGTCGATGCTACATTGAGGTATGCTAGCGGCGCAAAGCAGCTTGCTGCCAAAACTGAGTAAACAGGCAGACCATAGCGGTTGCACCTGGTGAATACCCTGGGAGCATTACCCGCAATGGCTAAAGAATATAAGGCCCGGCTAGACATGTACAAATACGCGTTTCCGGCGGACCAAGCGCTAATGAGAACGCCTGCGTTGACAATTGAAGGAAGGGCTTCGATCCGCGCGTTCCGAATCGCAATGACCCATGGAGATGCATTGGCATTGCCGGTGCCCGATGTGAGGCCATCGGCATTCGAGTTGCAGATAACGCCAATAGCCAACGCACCTAGGATATAGAAGAATACCAACCGAGCGAAGAATCGACGGCCTGCAGTCGGAAGGTTTTTACGTGGATTCCGCATTTCGCCGGCGGTAAAAACAATGAGCTCTGGGCCGAAATAGAACGAGAAGCCAGAGAAGACCCAGACGTACAGAAATGCTGTGAAGCGCCCGCCAGGCCCGTCAACCAGGTATTCTTTGGTCGCACCTGGATCATTCCAATATCGAAAGCCTACCAAGTATGTAAGTGACATGTTCTAGATCAGAGTCGAAAAGATGACAGCATGTTCCAATAAAGCTGACATTTTCAATGACATCAAAGCTGGAAGTGTCTCAGAGTGTTCCCATGAAGTATAATTTTATGACAGCAGTTGAGAGGGGAGAAAAGGAACATACCGAGACGATCATGGGTCGGGCCACCTCCCAGTGCAAGTATAAAGGCGAGGAACAACAACCCAATGATCATTATGACCTTCAAACCAGCAAACCAAAATTCGGTTTCGGCATATATTCCGACAGGTGCAAAGTTGAGCGCAATGATGACCACCATCATGATCGTTATCCAAACAGCGATGTGTACACTGTTTGGCCAAAAGCTGATGACGATGCCGGCGGCCGTGATTTCATACGCGACAAGGATCCCAAAAGAGTAGAAGTACAGCCATCCCAAGGCAAATCCAATCGATGGTGACACGAACCGATTTGCGTAGTAGGCCATGGAACAGCCAGCCAAGGGCAGGAATGTGGCGACTTCGATGATGGCGGAAATGATACCATAGACAAGGAGCGAGGTCAGGCAGTATGCCATGAAGGTGAATGCGGGACCACCAATGGCCAGTGCTTGGCCTGCTCCGACGAAGAGCCCTGTACCAATAGTCCCGCCAATGGCAATCATCTGAGCGTGTCTCGACTTAATGTTGCGCTTGGTGCCAGCGTCTTCTAACAACTGGATCTCACCAATGGCGTGACTCTCCAATTGAGATAGATCGCGGGTTCCGGACATCTTTTCGTCGGTGTCCTTACCACCTGAGGACGGGTCGTTGGCACGATATTCATCAGCCATCGTTCACTCTTGTAAGTAGAGTAGAGAAAGACAAGACAGACTGTGGTGCGAAGTAGAAGGGGGGAGGGAAAGCCCTCATTTTGTATCTCTGTCTGTTCACAATGAGACAACGTTTATGATAAGAGGGCGAAGCCAGAGCCTCCTTGGCCATGATGGCCGACCTTGATTGTGGGGTTGAATCCGGGGAGGCTCAGATCGCCCTCAGCACACCATCCACGAATTACAGCTATGGGAAGAGGGACTTGCGAGACGGGTCGCATGGGAAAGGGAAGAGCAAGAATATTTAGAGGTAAGTGATACCGGCGCGATATAAAAAATAGTTAGCGTTGGAAGATTTCAGGCCTAGACCCTACTTGTAGTTAACTGCTCCTCTTGATGCTCTATCAGTACAACACCTTCTATATCTTACTATACTTCCCATATAAGAAGGTATTCTCGGAGAACGAAATGAGTGAGTCTGCAACTGCATTTAGCAGCCCCTTGATGGATAACTTGCCGTGTGTGTTGGGCGTCGCATCCTGGCGTATTACTGACTAAGACCAGAGTCGAAATCGGGACCCCAAGTGCGATGAGGGTCGGCCGCCATGTCTAGTGGGTCGGCATGTCGGTATAGCTTCTGGGAACTATGAGAACAATGTTCTTTGACGTCGAACAAATTTCTGAAGCAGGAAGTGCACGCGTTCGCCAATCGCTGCTCACTGGAAAAGAACGGAATCTAGGGTGACAAGTGCGGTTCCGTCGCGTCTTGTTGGCCGATATCTTTACCAAGTCGACGAAGAGCGTGAGGGAATTCTTTCCTCGGAAATCAATCAGATCGCTCGCGGTCCTTTTGGGTATTTCGATTAGCTGCCCTCTTCGACCACCTCGACATGTAAACTTCATCTGCTTCGATACGGACAGATTCCGTGATCGGCACACGTAGTATCTGGCACTTAGACGAACATCCTCTTCAGGTGGATACCGCATCCCCACGAGGAATTCAGCAGTTCATCCAGAATATCTTCAATCAGTAAATAGGTAATCCATCCTGCCCATTTCCAGACGCACTGGGTACGGCTATGAGCAGCGGCCACATCGGAGAGAACCGATAATAGCATCATGGATGTACCACCAACGGCTCTCGCACGATATCCAGATGCCTTTATGAGCCCCACCAATATCATCGGTTCTACAGATCAACCAGTCCATTGGCACGATCTCTCCCAATAGAGTAGCACACACGATGCTTCAATTTGGCCGATGCACTATCAAGCAAGCGCACTCCGACTCTTGACACCATTCGGAAATACCACAATGCTTTTGCATACCCTCCTCGGCCCTTGTATCAAGATCTCCTACCCATGGAGAACATGTAGATTATGCTGCTCTGTGTGTATTCTCTAGTACCTTAGTAGTTAGTAAATCTATCATAGGGGACATCTTGCAATCTCCGATGGAGCTTAAATAAGGGATGTTCAATCAATGCTACAGGGTGCATAAGATTGTCAAGTCCCATGGAGCAACCAGACAATAGAAAAGATTGGTACCAAGAGCCAGGACGAGGATGGGACCGATCTACGCCATGAGAATCCCGGTATCTGGGTTCGACCACTATATCCCAAGATCTTCAGCGTACCCAGAAGTTGGGCGTTCTGCTTGTCCTTAATCATTCGACTTACAAGAAAGAGATTAGGACGGCACGGAACAGGAGAAAGAGATGAATATCCCAAGCGCGAAGGACTTTTCAGCTGTGCTAGAGGTGTATCGATATTGATACTTGTATCAGCCAGATGCAATGAAACCTACCAAGTTTTGATGATGATGATGATGATGATGATGATGATGTCGGCCACGTACAGAAAAACATGCTACACAGTACGTGCAATGCAGGGCGTATTGTCGATATACTTCCATCGCAAAGTTTACAGTGTAGTATCAGATAGTTTACAAATTAAAGGGTTGACTGTACGCGACTCTTTGCCGAGTTGCGGTCCTTCAGGTGCAGACAAATTATATTATGTAGAACTCTTAGGCTCTTGCGGTCAGCTTTTATAGTATCCGAAGCTGATGATCCGAAAGTCCAGGCTTCGTTTACAACGTGGTTCAAAGCTACTGCCCACGTCAGCAGTTTGAGTTTATTATACAACACGCTTGAGTTTCCTGAATGTATTTAGCAAAAAAATAATGTACGTAGTAGTGTTCGTGGTCCGTGACTTTGCTAGGAGAGATGCCTACAATTACCCTATAACGAGAGATGCGTAGAGATGCGTAGAATTCGCGTTGTGAGCACAGAATACCTCTACTCCTTTTACAGATATCGGCATGAGGTTCAGTTAGTAAAATTGATGATATGATGGTAGAATCTGTTAGTTACCGACTAATGACCTGTGTGATGGGGTAAACTGCGATTACTCTACTCGGCGACACGAAACGCTATCAAGAAAGTGTTATCGCAAATAGCACGTGCCGGGCTCACTTTCCTAACCAGCCATTACCATTACATCAGACGCTCAATCACAATCTAGTCATTTTATCACCTCCTACATACTCTCGCTAAGACATACTTGTATTACCCCATTAGCCACGAATATCTGAACATCGCTTCGGATCATTTCTACCACGCTAATCACCTCTATACGATTCGATACAGAAGATACGCACATCGATATGTGGGTCCGGTGCAGGTGGTGGCGATTTTAAGGAGGAAAGTCTCCCCCATGAAGAAACCCCGCAACCTAGGCAGTGCTCGCGATCAGCTGCCCTTAACCAGTGGTAGGTAGTAGGATGCATGCACTTCGAACATGGGCCACCGGATCTCCCAAGGAAAATCATTATAAGGGCAATGGTCATTCCATGAAAATTCGTCATCTCTCACTATGTCCAATCCTACTACTTCGTCCAAATCCCGCCTTCAACAAGTCGCCTGCCACATCGTGCCACAGTCTGCGCAACCGAAACGTATCAAGAGTACCATGGATGTTGCTGGCTATGCTCTAATAACAGGTGCAGCTTCTGGCATCGGTTCTGCGTGTGCAAGGGCTTTCGCGCAGGAGGGTTCGGCAGGCATCGCGCTTGTCGATTTATCCCGGGAAGCACTTGACCGTGTTAAGGCGGAAATCTTGAAGGAGACCGAGCAATCAGAAGCCAGAATCCGGATAGAAACTTATGCAGTGGATATTTCTGATGAGCAAGAAATCACGAAAGCTGTCAATGAGGCAGCAAAGACTTTCGGTCGTCTAGACTACGTCGTCAATGCAGCAGGTATTGCGATGAAGCACACAGGCGGAACTGCATTTGCAAAGACACATGACTGGCAAAAAATCTTGGACGTCAATCTCAACGGCACATTCTTCGTGCTTCGTGCTGCAGCGCAGATCATGCTGAAGCAAGACCCTATTCTCTCATCCCTGGACGGCCGGCCACTCCAACGGGGGTCTATCGTAAACTTCAGTTCCATTCAGGGTGTCGTCGGGATCACTCTCTCCACGGCTTATACGGTCAGCAAACATGCTGTTATTGGCCTAACGCGAACAGCCTCCGAAGATTATGCATCACAAGGTCTGCGAGTGAATGCTATTTGTCCAGGGTACACTGAGACGCCTATGACAACAAAGAATCCAGCCGTGAAAGCAGCAATGGATGAGAGGATTCAAAGTGCCGTTCCCATGAAAAGAATGGGTAGCCCATCAGAGATTGCGGACGGTGTGTTGTATCTTGCAGGCGGGAGGAGCAGTTTCGTAACAGGCAGTGCTTTGATGGTTGACGGTGGCTACACTTCACGATAGTTAAATGTACAGATTAGCTGCTACCCTATAGTATTGTGTTA